AACAGTTTCTAGCACTTCGGCCAGTGATTGAGCGATTCGGTGATGTAAAAAACCAGACATATCGCAGATTGGGTGAAGAGGTAGTCCTACGTTATGTATTTTCGGCAGTTCGTATAGACGTGGGATTAGGAAACCAATCGATCAGATATGTTTATGCAAATCAGAGGCAGTTATTGATTTATTCTTCATGTTTCTTGAGACACTTGTGATATACGTCTCAGTTGGATACGGCTTGTTGGTCTTATCTTCAGGTTTAGCACAGGGAATTGTTAAGAGTTTATCAACATATTCCTGTCGATTTATTAGGATGACTTATGATTATATCAGTGTTATTTATAAGTAATTTTAGCCGTTTCGTATAGTGTTTAGTCAACAGATAGCTAGAACTTATTTGGGAATAGGTAAATTGATGACAACAGTCGAGAAAATTGAACTTGAAATACTGAGTGTGGAGTCTGTTAACCCTAGATACACTGCTACAGAACTTCAGGTCCAGCGATAAAGCTTGGACTTGAATTGTCGACAGATTACCAGTGAAGTGATTAAATACATGTCTAAAGGAAGAACAAGTATATCTTAGTGAAGAGTCTCTTTTCAAAGCTGTACAAACATTCAAAAATTTACACATTTTTCTGGTATACGGATTTGATAGTTAAAAACCGGTTTGTTAAGCATATCAGGCAACACAAATAGTGTCAGTCATATGCGCTGTCATTAAAATCGAAGAACTAGATACTGACGAGTAGGGAACATTAATCGATGAATGTTTGAACAAGAAGACGTTTTGTAACATAACGACATAATTAAGAACTGAATTGTAATCAAGTAGAACATTGCAACAAGACTGAACAACAAATTACTTAAGAAGTGAATAGTGTCGAAACAGAAAGATGAAAATAAAAAAGGAGGAGTAGAGAGGACTGAAAACTAAGACCAAGAAAGAAGAAGAGGTTGAACAATCTTCTTCTGTGTATATACTTCGAGCTTCTCCATTTAGATGGCAAGATCTTCAGCGTTGTAGAGAATACGACGACATACAGCCTTTGTGAGGTTTGTTTTTACTTTACAGATGACTTTAAACGAGGAGGTTTTTGAGATAGAGTAATTTGTGTTGACATTGTGTTCAATTATAGCACTCCTTATCGCTCCATTGTTACCTATTTGTAACTATGCAGGATAGTTTTCTTGAACGACCTATAGACGTGACTTTACAAGAGCAGGTGAATTGATATATGCACATAGAAGTGGTCAGATGTGAGAGTTTCACCTTTGAGTTGTTAGAAATCGTTTTGCAACAAGAGAATACTAGTCTCAGCGTTGATGTAAAGAATGTTCTCCTTAGAGAGTTTTATATCCTCATTTTTACAGTGGCAGTGACAGAATCACCTTTGAAGTTGAGATTCATGTAGAGTATCCTTTTGGCACGGTAGTAAGGTTCTCTTTATAAGGTTTAGGCTTAATGTGTTTGTCTATGAAGCGTGTTGGGAATCTGTTTTCAATTACAAAGTTCTTTAGAACAAAAATTTCATCTTTTAGCACATCGGAAGTGGATATTCGTCTAATGTTATTGGCAAGAAATATGATCCGATTTCGTTTAGGACTCATAGGGAGTCAGCTATTAAAGTTTGTCAGTTGATCATTCAACAATGGTTTTCTGTGAATTGATGTGCTTAACGTTCCATCAGCTGTTCTTTTCAGCTTTACATCAAAAAGTGAATTTTCGATAGATTTTCCACCTCAAGAGTGAATCTAATTGCTTAATGGTAGTTATTGAATATTTGTGGAACATGATTCAAATCATACTAATTGTTGTCTATGTACCTTTTGTACAGATGAAAACTTTCAATCGCTGATTTCAAGGATACATTCTGCAAAATGGTTTGTTTAATCTGAATGACACTATTTGTGTTGCCTGATATACTTGACAAACCGGTTTTTAACTATCAAATCCTTAGTATATGATTGTTTTTATATCATACCGTCGTTGATTGTACCGAATTGATCGGTCTATATTGGCATATGGGATCCTGTGCGGACGCCTCGATATTACATGTGTTTCAATTATGTATAGTGATGATGGGTACAAGAAGTGGCTAACGTGGCTCGGTGGTGTTGTGGATAACGCTCTGGCGTTTGAAGCGATCGCTGCCCACTTCGAATCCCGGTGGGAACAATATCACTCCTCACTGGGAGGCAGATACATCCAGCTGAACGTTGAGTCCCAAGTAGGATGAAATGCGCATCAAACTGGATTCCACTGCTTTGAAAATGAAATCGCTGACGAGGTTATGAACCTTCATCGATTGAGATGGTTGAGACATGTGTTACGTATGCCTAGTCACCGATTGTCTCGTCACACAATATTGGCTGAAGTAGGCCCAGCCTGGAAAAAGGCCCTAGGTGGCCAGACTAAAACACGGTATCAATGCATGAATTGTTTGACTGTAGGTTTGAGCCATGTGGGACTATGCAGACTAGCCGGTTGGGGTCCGTGGGAGAAGAGGAACCAGTGGTTGGAGACTGCAGGTGATATGACTCAGAGTTGATGTCAGTGGCGCAGATGTATCCCCACTCACATTATGCTCATCTAACGACACTATACCGAATCTCACCATCTTCTCATTCTTCCTTTCTCTCTTTTCGTTCTTTATATTTCTTTCGATTGAATTTTCTTATCTTCATCTTCCACCCCATTGCCTTTTTACTTGATGTAGTGATATGAGGTGTGGCGAACTGGATGGTTACGCAGTAATGCCTGGTCCTGTGTTGATACTGATGATGTTGATGATGATGAAGAAAAGAGACTCTTCGCTGAGATATACTTGTTCTTACTTCAAATCTTTATGTGTATATTTCACATATCATACGTATATTTATCTGGATTATTTAAAAGTTTCTTTTCCATTTCAGCTGGCTTCAAACACTCGAGATGTTTAAAATCCATTGATTGAGACTGTATCTTTACGACAATAGAGCAATAATCCTTGAACTTATACTAGGTAATGATTGAAGTTAAGATGAAAATTTGAACTGCAGCCGGATTTGAACCATAGACTACTGAGTTTCCGACCCGATGCTCTACTAACTGAGTTATGAGGTAAAACATCGGGCCAGAAACTCAATGGTCGATGGTTCAAATCTGGACACGGTTCAAATTTTCATCATCCAGTATAAATACTGCAAGTCTATTAAACTATAGCTGGTATCTCAGATAGTTAAATGATAATCCTTGACGTGTTAACGTTCATCAGTGGATAATTCATAAGAAGCATAACTTGAATGATTTCTGAGATATTTAAAGTTTACTGCTTTACACACTTTGGCTGATATTTATTCACGTCTAATTTCACCTTTTTAGATGTATCTAATTACTTTTTTTGACAGCAAAATTTCATTATTATTTTATTACATGTTTTCTAGCTTTTAATATTCCAGCTTCACTACTTTAACAATTTAGTATTCGATGTATTCACTTTCCTGACTTTAAAGAATAGTTTATGTATGGATAGAGTGTATGAATTTTCAACATGTCAGTCTAGGCATACTCGACTTCCAACTGGGGGATTAAGTGTCCGAACCGAGTTCCACCTTACAAGGTCTCTATACAACGAAGTAGTTATTTTTACGTCTCATTACAATAGGTGTAGCTTAGTACCTACTCAATAAAGGTGAACAAGATTGCTAAGTGGATTTCAATTAAGATAAAGTGAAGATCATTATTGATTGACATACTTGTTATTCTCCGTTGTTTTATTGGATCAAATTGTTCGACCTCTATTGGCATATGGGCTCCTATGCGGATGCTTCGATATTGCCTGAATGTCAGTTATGATAATTTAGTTGCTTGTGGCTAGCAGAAGAATTCAGTACGCGTGTTTCGTGCCATTTGGGACTCGTCAGCTGGATGTACCTGGGCACCAGTGTAGAGTGATGTTGTTCCCACTGAGACTCGAACCTCGCACGCATCACTTCAAGCGCCAAGGAGTTATCCATTATGCTACGGAGGAACGATAGCCACTTCTTGTACAATGGGTGGTAGTTATTACTATTTATTGACATACTTGTTATTCTCTGTTATTTTGTTGGATAGAATTGTTCGACCTCCTGGATTCTTCTGCTAGCCACAACCAACCAAATTATCATAAAGTGAAGATCCTCAAAAGTTTAATATATTTTATATTTTAATGTTATTACCTGTATTACACCGTCGTTGATTGGACCGAATTGATCAGTCTCTATTGGCATATGGACTCGTGTGTGGATGCCTTGATATTGCTTGTGTTTTAATTATGTATGGTAATGATGGGTAGTGGCTAGCAGTGGAATCTAGCGTGATGCGCATTTCATCCTACTTAAGACTCACCAGTCAGCTGAATGTACCTGCCTCAAGAGAGGAGTGATATTGTTCCCACAGGGATTCGAACTGGGCGGCGATCGCTTCAAACGTGAAAGAGTTATCCACTACACCACTGAGCCACGATAGCGACTTCTTGTACCAGCTGATGAGTCTTAAATAGAACGAAATGCGCATCTTGGTTTCGACTGCTAGCCACCATCCATCATTACTTTACATATTTTATATTTAATTTTAAGGAAGTTGTGGGATTTTGGAATATTTCAAGTTGTTATTCATCGTGGGCTGACATCAGTTGGAGGAACAAAGGAAACCTGGAAGCACTGGATAGCTGTTTCGTCCTAGTATGGGACTCCTCAGCATTGTGCACCCACACCCCGTACCACCAGTGATGGAAACCGCGACTTTCGGGTTCCGTGGCCAGCATATTATCATTGAACCACTGTGTCAGAATCCAATGGTCCATAATTCGCGGGTTCGATCTCTGGTAGTGGGTGCGTACTACTGAGGAGGCTCATACTAGGATGAAACAGCCAGTTGTCCAATGCTCTCAGGTTTCATCAGTCTACGATGAATAACACCTTGAAATATTTTCTATTTGTTAATAAAATGTATACATATTTCATAATACATAATTTTTATCTAGCTAGAAAATGATGATCAATCATGAAGTGTTTAATCATTCAACATCACCAATTGCTTCATCATTCTATCAAGAGGTATTGAATACAGATCCAAATTTAACATTTGATGATCTGCCAATGCCATATAAAAAGCTAGATCAATTATTATGGAGTATATTTGATACAACATGGAATATAATTGAAGCAAGAGAGAAATATAAAAATACGAAGTTTATTCTTCATCAATCTTCTATACAAAATGTGAAGATTAATCTAGTAAGTTAAAATATGATTTTTCTATATAACAATAATTTTTAGAATATTGAAAATGTTCATCTATATACATTAATTGGACAGTATTTGTTTAAAACATATGAAAATCAAGTAACTGTATATAATATTCACAATCTACAATCAGTATCAAAATGGATATATAAAGATAACTTTTTCGGTGGTAACATTTCTATTCGTGCGTTGCAAATCTTTCAATTAAACAAAGATAATATCCTATTTACAGTGCTAATTAATAATATGGGTAAGAGTAATCTCTTTCATTAAACATTCTTACAAGACATTTATGTGAATAGTATTGTTTTCAATTAGATTTCATCAGGCTTTACTCTAATATTTATAAAATACAACAATATGAACAAAGACTATTCTTAGTATAATTGCTTGTATTCGACCGAATTGATCGACCTGTATTGGCATATGGTCTTCATCATTTATTATAATTATTAGTCCCTTGGGTTCCTAATGGAACATAGGGCTTCAGTAGGACGTCTAAAGTGCATTCCCTTCTCTGCAGTCTTTTGAACCTGGCTCCACGACAGCCAGAAGCTCTCATTTCCTCCTCGCACGATCTCCTCCATGTCACCCTCGGAAGTCCAACTCCTCGCTTCCCATGGGGGTCCCACTCGAGGGCCTAACGCGTGATGTCCCCGAATGGTCTTCTCAGTGTATGCCTAATCCATCTCCACTTCCCTCCACTGCATATTTGTTAAGCGATAGGTTCTTGCTTCGTTGGTTTGTTGCCCGGCCACAGTTCCTTCTTGCTTATTCTTATTATTCTGGCCATATGATCTTCAGTGAGGAGCCAGCGTAGGTGGCAGTTGTTAATGAATGTCTGTAGTTTATTGGAAATCCCTTTTCATAATGCTCCAGATCTCTGAACCATCACAGAGAAGCACTGACTTGACTGGCTTTGTGTTGAAAATCCACATCTTGTTCCACATGCTGAGTGCAGAAGATCTCCACACTGGTTTCAGGTTAATGAATGTCTGTCTTGCTTTTCGATTCTGACTTTGACATCCTCGTCGGTGCCACAGCCACATGTAGTTGAAACAGTGCTACCTAGATTAGTGAAGGAGGTTACTTCCTTTAAAGTTCTCCCGTTGATGGTGACTAGAGTTTGTTGTTGTTGGTGATGCGGTATTATCATCACCTCTGTCTTCTCTATATTCACTTGAAGTCCCGTCTTCGCCGTCTTGCCTCTTCTGTCAACTTAGTTTTCGCCTATAATCTTCAAGTTTGTGTGACATCAGGCACAAGTCATCGGCGAAATCCACATCTTCTAGGTTCTTTTCGTCAGTCCAGCGTATCCCCCTCTTCTCGCTCCACACTGTTTGTTGCATGATCCAGTCGACCACAATCAGGAATATCATGGGAGATAGTAGGCAACCTTGATTCACTCCTGGTCTTCATCATTTCTATATATAATTAGAACACAGGTAATATCGAGGCATCCGCACAAGACTCCATATGCCAATAAAGACCGATCAATTCAGTCCAATCAACTACGGTATAATACAACCAACAATACTAAAATTATACCCATCTCACAAGAAGTGGCTATTAGTTTCGAGTTCGAATCCCGGTGGATCAACATCACTCAATGAGAAACAACTGCATTCAGCTGACTGGTGAGTCCTTAATAGAATGAACTTTGCATCCCGGATTCTCTTATCAGGTCCTACAATTATAAAATTCATTTGTACCGCTTCAAATTAGGCTATGTTATGAGCAGTTACATTTTCAAAATGGAGTAAGTACTAGGAATTGTAAGGAAATATTGGGATGATACATATACAGAAGAATGATATGATGGTGATGAACAGAAAGATAACGAATTAGATGGCAAGAGTAGCCATCCAAATCAACGCAGGACCAGGCATTACTGCGTAACCGTCCAATTCACCACACCTCGTATCACTACATCAAGTGAAAAGGTAGTGAGGTGAAAGATAGAGATAAGAAAATTCAATCGAAAGAAATATGAAGAACGAAAAGAGAGAAAGGAAGAATGAGAAGATGGTGAGATTCGGTATAGCGTCGTTAAGATGAGCATAATGTGAGTGGGGATACATCTGCGCCACTGACATCAACTCTGAGTCATATCATCTGCAGTCTCCAACCACTGGTTCCTCTTCTCCCACGGACCCCAACCGGCTAGTCTGCATAGTCCCACATGGCTCAAACCTACAGTCAAACAATTCATGCATTGTTGACATGTTTTAGTCTCGCCACCTCGAGCCCTTTTCCAGCCTCAATCTACTTCAACCAACATTGTGTGATGAGGCAGACGGCGACTAGGCATACGTAACACATGTCTCAACCATCTCAATCGATGAAGGTTCATAACCTCGTCAACTGATTTACCTCTACTCCCTTCCTAAAACTCTACACCTGACTTCTGCGTTACTCACGTAGTGACACCACTGAATACGGCCTATACTATGAAGGCGATGGTGGTCAAACACCTGAAGCCAGCCTTCTCTTGTCTTCCACTTTCAACGGCCATGTTTCACAGCCATACAGTAGAACAGAGTGGACTACTGTGCACTACACACCACCTTTAATAGACAAACGGATATCAATGTGGTGCCACAGGTAGTGTAAGTTGGTGACAGCCAACGGAACCTTTTGTATCCGTGCAAAGACTTCATCGGCAACTGACCCACCAGGGCTGATCCTACTTCCCAGATAAGTGAAGTGTTCGGCTGAAGGCCAAGAGAGAAGTAACCTTTGAACATGTTTTTTTCTGAATGCAGTGTTCACACTTGATAAATCTTATTGCGACAGCCTCAGCTATATCGACCAGGCGCTGGCGAGCTACATGTGGTGTCGTTTTGGTAACATATGAATGACATTGAAAGCTTTGTTAGCATCTATATGATATTCTGTGTTGACTGGATGCTCGACGACCGAACTTTTCACCACTTTCACATCGTTCTTTCCGAGCCAAGCTCCTAAGTGATCTCGTATCCACAGATGAACCTACCTAATTGTACGCCCTGTGTAATTAATGCCATAGGAAAATACCTTTCAACATATTTATAAGATATCAACCAATCAAGGTAATTTGTGAGTCAATGATAACAAGCATCCGGATTATGTACTCAAGAATAATAAAATTAGCAGTACTATGAGGCGTAATACGAATATTCAGAATGCCGAGTATGATTATTTTGAACTTTTCTGTTTTTGGGGCCAGATGGTAGAAAGGGAACGACAAACGAACCAACATCGCCGGTCCGGCAGACCGTGGGGCATGGTGGAGTGTGTTATGTTTGGGGACGACCGTTTCTAACCTGTCTTCCACTAAGAACGCAGCATCAGCATGACAATGCTGGTCATCTGAGGGAAACACTTTACTGCTGTCACACCCATCCAGCTAGCAGCAGTACGACTTCGCCCTCACCCAAATGCAAATTTTTGCTCCAGAATTAGTTTTCAGCGGTACCACGGCTAACAATGGAGAGTGAAGTGGTTGAGTGTGTCGGCCACTTCACTTATCTGGGAAGTAGGATCAGCCCTGATGGGTCAGTTGCCGATGAAGTCTTTGCACGGATACAAAAGGTTCCGTTGGCTGTCACCAACTTACACTACCTGTGGCACCACATTGATATCCGTTCGTCTATTGAAGGTGGTGTGTAGTGCACAGTAGTCCACTCTGTTCTACTGTATGGCTGTGAAACATGGCCGTTGAAAGTGGAAGACAAGAGAAGGCTGGCTTCAGGTGTTTGACCACCATCGCCTTCATAGTATAGGCCGTATTCAGTGGTGTCACTACGTGAGTAACGCAGAAGTCAGGTGTAGAGTTTTAGGAAGGGAGTAGAGGTAAATCAGTTGACGAGGTTATGACCCTTCATCGATTGAGATGGTTGAGACATGTGTTACGTATGCCTAGTCGCCGTCTGCCTCATCACACAATGTTGGTTGAAGTAGGTTGAGGCTGGAAAAGGGCTCGAGGTGGCGAGACTAAAACATGGTAACAATGCATGAATTGTTTGACTGTAGGTTTGAGCCATGTGGGACTATGCAGACTAGCCGGTTGGGGTCCGTGGGAGAAGAGGAACCAGTGGTTGGAGACTGCAGATGATATGACTCAGAGTTGATGTCAGTGGCGCAGATGTATCCCCACTCACATTATGCTCATCTTAACGACGCTATACCGAATCTCACCATCTTCTCATTCTTCCTTTCTCTCTTTTCGTTCTTCATATTTCTTTCGATTGAATTTTCTTATCTCTATCTTTCACCTCACTACCTTTTCACTTGATGTAGTGATACGAGGTGTGGTGAATTGGATGGTTACGCAGTAATGCCTGGTCCTGTGTTGATATTGATGATGATGTTCAGAATGCCGTGACAATGTTTACTAAACATTCTTTTGGAGGAAAAAAGTTTAAAAGTCAATGAGACCGAAGTGGACCATCAGTCGATGAAGTTAGGCTTAGAGTCGTATGGGGGAAATGTAGGGGTACGCTTGACAATCGAAATCGGTGGCTGAACACTCTAAGTAACATAGGTCAGAATCGATATTAACTGGCATAGATGAACCAACGCGTTGTGTTCATTCAATCGTCATATCGAATTCGTGTATCTATACAGTTTCCTCCTTTGTTTCCATGGCTTCTTCCACTTTTGATTCCTTTCTTCCTTATTCCTTCATCTTTTATTTCGGTGCCTTCCAGCTTGATGGTTAGATATGAGGTGAGGTAACTTAGATAGCTAAGTAGTAATGCCAGGTTTCACGTTTATGTTGTAAGTAATTTAAAAAAATACATTTAATTGCCTAAAATTATGTGAACTAATGTAGTTGAAACTGTACTTACAGACTTTTATTATGACAGTTCAAGGGAATGGAGCACTTAAATCAATAGCATTGTAAAATTGTAATGATAAAGGTGACTAGAACATGTTTCAAATATATGGAAACATTATCAACTATGATGTTTGAAAGCAACTTTAGTAGGATAAGGTTGGGAAGACAGTAAGAGTGGTTAGAAAAAGAAACAACACTTAATCATCAAGTCACATATCACCTACTTAGCAGCTATCCTTAAAAAAGTGGTAAACAGTGTTTGCGAATCTTATGTGAAACCACTCTAAATCGTCCTCAGCATACATGGTACGTTCATTCTTCGCATTTTCCTAAATATTTAACCACTCTTCATCTCCTATTTTTTCTTATTCACTCCTCAGCAATATCCTTCCTATTGTTTATTCTCATATATTTCGAATTCTATCGTGTACATAATAGGCTCAAAAGATTGCAGGGAATAGAGTGGAATCGAGACGTGCTACTGAAGCCCTATGCTCCATTAGAAACCCAAGGGACAAATAATAATAATAATAACCGTATACATATGATATTATGAAAAAGTTGACATCATTGTTCGTCAGAGTTGTAACATGGAATCAGATTGCGGTAAAATGAATGCGTGCACAAACTTATCAAACTGTTTTCGTATAATAACTGTTTGCTTTCTTTTGACTTTGGAAGTTTGTGAGGATCCGGAGATATATTTAAGTTGATTTTCATCATAGACTGATATCAATTGGAGGATCATTGGAAACCTGGGTGAACTGAGCAGCCAGCTGTTTCGTCCTAGTATGGGACTGTTCGGCAGTGCGCACCGATGACCTCGTCACGGAGCGATTACAGGACCTTCAGGTTCCCTGGTCAGCACGTTACCATTGAGCTAATAGTCCATATTCCCAATTTCTGTCAGTTCACGACCTAGCGCGAGAAATCGTGACCAGTGGGACAAACCTGGTAGTCGTGAGGACAAGTACTAAACGATGACACTAGGTGATGGTCGCGCTATGTCGTGAACTGATAGAAGTTGGAAATATCGACCATTGGACTCTGACCCAGTGGCTTAATGGTAACGTGCTGGCCACAGCATCTGAAGATAGTGGGTTCGACCCCTGGTGGAGTTACGTGTGAGCACTGCTGAAGAGCCTTATACTAGGCCGAAACGCGTGTCCTTTGCTCCCATGTTTCCATTGTTCCTTCAATCGATGTCAGTCCATGATGAAAACCAGCTTAAAATGTTTACTTTCTGTCGGCAGCTGAACATTCTTCGCATACCAAAGGCAATCAAAATTAATGATGACTTTAGAAAGCATTTTCTTCTACCTGAAAAATGATCACTTGTTTATGTTACCAAATATTGTGCATCTAAATGTAATCTTTGATCTTCATTTTATCATCTCTTTATTTTTATCCATATTTTCTTGTTTATAGGACAGACAGCTATGTTGATGTTTGTTGAAGGAATGTTTATTCCTGTTAAATTAGTCAACTTAATGTCTGATAATCAGGCATATCATGCATTGAATGGCAAAATTTCTCCATGTGGACAGTTCTATATATCTTTAAATAAAGGTTTGTATTCTATATATGTGTATAGTTTCTGGTCTATTTGAATTTTATTGACTTCAAGATGGTATTCATTACAAGTTGACATGAGTTGGGGAACTAATGAAAACCTGCTAACACTCAATAGCTACGTCATCCTAGTATAGGACTCCTTAGCGTTAGGTATCCAGTGATCTCGTGAAGGATCGAGCTCAGGAACTTTACGCCTTGTGGCAAACCTGTTAACCTTCAGCCGCTGGGGTAGAGTCCAGTACCTCACACTTTCCCACTTCTGTCATTTCACGATATAGCACAACTCATAACCAACGTCCTCAATTCGATCATTAGCGTGGTACTGGGTGCGTACTGCGAGGGAATCCCAGGTTTCCAATGGTTGTCCAGTTGATGTTTGTTCGTGACAAATACTACCTGAATACATATATATATATATATATATATATATATATATATATATATATATATATATATATATACATACATACCTACCTACCTACCTACTTACCTACCTACCTACCTACCTATGCATCATCGTCTCAACGACAGGCGGTGGCACGGATTAGGACATCGAGGCCAGGACTGGAAAATATAATGAAAAACTTGGCACTGTGGTAGAATGTAGTTCCATATTAGATTTGTTTATTTGATATAAAGCGCACAGTGATACAGTATTATTTACTTGATTACGTTTCAAGCATAAATTATTGCTCGTAGTCATATCTCAATGTAATCACACTTCTTTCGATACCTAATTTTATAGTCCTGTCACCTGATCTCTCTTTTTTTGATTGGTAGTAAAGTTTTCCATATCTCTGGTATAGGTGTTGCGTCATTCCTATTCCACATGTGTTGGGTGTGGATTCGATGAACAAAGATTCAGTAATTAATCTCTCTCTCTCTCTCTCCACCTAGCTATATAGACTTAAGTACAGGTTATCCCACCCTATTGTGTGGTTGTGTGTAATGAATGTAGTGCAACGGCAGTGTTTTTCTGGATTATTGATCTATTAGGGTCTGCCGTTCTATGTTTAGCTAAATTCCTATGTTCTGCTAATCTAATGACCCGACGGCTAGTTTGACCTATGTATTGACCTCACAGTCATTACATGGAATTTGGTAGAGTATATTATTTGCCTAATTGGTTCTATCGGATCTTTTAGCGACAAAGCTTACTCTAAGTGAGTTTGTTGCTTAAATACCACCCTAATTCCAACTTGTTGAGAATCTACCTATGGTTTCTGATGTTCCTTCTTGTATGGTATCACAATAGAGGTGTTGATTTCCTTTCTACTTGTGTTGTCACTATTATTGTATTTGTATTAGTGTTATTTTTGCTCTTATGTGTCCGTGTGAATTCTTAATAAATGATGGGGATAATTATTGATTATTAAAGCTCTTTTATGTGTTTCAATTCCTTTTTTAAGTCCTTACAATGACAGTGAGTTTCTCAGCTCTGTATTTAGACATTTGACTAACCGCTTTAACTGACACTGGGAGATGACTTGAAGTCTAGATATCTGTTAGGACTGGAAAAGCAAGACATGCTTCCAGTAATTTGAGGTCAGTGTGGAGATCTACTGCACTCCACTCAGCATAAAGAAGAAGATCCAGATTGCCAACACTAATTCAATCAAGTCAGTGATTCTATGTGATGGTTGAGAGAGTTGGCGCGTTAGGGGAATCGTTTCCAACAAACTGCACACATACATCATCAACAGCTGCCATCTACCCTCACTCTGTACTGAAGATCGAGTCAGATGAGATGAGAAGGCAATAAAGAATAAGCAAGGAGGAATTGTGGCATGACGACGAACCAACGAAGCAAGACCCCATCGTTCAACAAACATGCAGAATAGGAAGTGGAGATGGATTGGGCCTACACTGCGAAGATGGTTTGGGGACATCACGCAGAAGGTGAGTCGTTGAATGGAAGTGAAATAGAAAAGGATGAGTTGGTTGTCTGAGGGTGACATGGTGTGAGGTGGAAATGACAGGTTATGGGCAGGCAGTTGTGGATGAGGTTGATAAGAGTGTAGAGAAGAGAGTGAAATGTCTCTGTACAAGTGAATCTTATGTTCCACTAGGAACCCAAAAGACAAATAATATAATAATAATGCTCACCTGGTATACTGCATACAAACTTTTAGTCTCATGCTTAAACAATCTTACTTCCTCCTGAGGATTTTCTCATCAAACTATTCCTTCATCATTATTTTGTGAAAAAGTAGTTTTTATCAAATTTTTGATAGAGGAATGATAACCATTTTAGAAATCAGAGAGTTCCAGGCAGTTGTTTCACTACAGTCTGAGAACTTTGAGATGTATTCGTGTTCAAGTTGATGTGAACTGTAAGGTAAACGAGTAGTACCTAGTTCATGCTTAAATCTGTAGTTCATATAAGCGTCTACTTTTCATGTTAAAATGGATAATGACTATGTCATTTCATTAAGAAAATGCTGTCGAATAAGCTAACCGGTTAAGTTTCACCTCGATGACTGAGATTAACAATGTAGTCCACTAATGGTTTAAAAGTCCTGGATTGTATTTTATTTTAACTCATATTTGTGTAATAATGTGCATTCAAAAACTATGATACGACACCTCTCTCATATTGTGTGAGTTTGAGCTCTTGTTTGCTCAATGTCAGTATAATGTGGAAACCATCATTTTAAGTAGTTCTATATATCCTGAAATGGATACCTAGCAAGTCATGAGTGCGAACTGTTGAGTCGCCTTAAACTAGAAGAAGAAACAGCTGTCTAGTACTCACAAGTTTTCAGTAATTCTTCAACTGATATCAGTTCATGATGACAGTTACTTCAAATGAATGAAGTGATCTTCCTGATTGTGGTGGACCGGCTGGATCATGCAACAAACTATGAGGAGCGAGAAGATGGGAATACGCTGTTTGACCGATGAAAAGACCCTAGAAGATTTGCATTTCGCCCATGATGATTTATGTCTGATGTTTAATGTCGCAAAAACTCGAAGATGTACAGGCGAAAACCAACAAGTTGGCCGAAGAGGCGGGGGAGCGAAGACGGGACATCCTTGTTGTGAACGTACAAAAGACAGAGATGATGAAGATACCCAACCAAAAACAACATCAACAACAAGCACCAATCACCATGAACGGGAGAAACCCAAAGGAAGTTGTCTGTTTCACCTACCTACCTAGGAGGCAGCATCGTTTCAACTACAGGTGGTGGCGGCGGTACAGATGATGATGTCAAAGCGAGCATTGGAAAGACAGCAAGACAAGCCTTCCTTCATTAATCTTGGAGATCTACTGTACTCAGCATAAGGGAGAAGATCCGAATTCTCAATACTAAGTCAGTCAAGTCAGTACTTCCATGTGATGGTCGAGAGACTTGGCACCTTGCGAAAAGCATTTCAAACAACTGCACACATACATCATCAACAGCTGCTACCTACACTCACTGGATACTGAAGATGAGATCAAATGAGAAGGCGAGAAAGAATAAGCAATGAGAAACTATGGCCTGGCGATGAAGCAAGAATCTATCACCCAACAAATATGCAGAAGTAGGAAGTCGAGATGGATTGAGGATACACTGAGAAGATGGTTTGTAGACGTCACACATCAGGTCAAGCCATCGAGTGGAACCGAAATGGGAAACGACGGGTTGGGCATGCGATGGTGACATGGAAGAGATGGTGTAAGGAAGAAATGATAGGTTATGGGCAAGTAGTCGTGGAGTCAGGTTAAAAAGACTAGAGAGACGAGAGTGAGATGAAGATGTGCTACTGAAGCCCTATTTTTTATTGGGAACCTAAGGGAAGAGGTAATAATAGTGTAATTAAAGATGTGTTGAAAGATGTTTAGCTTGATATTTCATTGAATTTTTTTAAACAATTTTTTCAGATTCCATTAACTCTCAAGTTTGGTTAGAAATTTATCGATTACCAGTTGATATATGGATGAAAGAGATTTCACCTCTCATTCAAGAATTTCAAAATACAAGAATAAATCCCACAAATGATGATAAAGTACCCTCTGTACAGGTATGTAATACTTCATTGATTATAAATTGTTAGTAATATATAGTTGAATTTCTATGACTATTTACGTTAATATGAACTTGGAAAATGTAATCGTGAGTATAAACGTAAAACTTGTACACTGAGGTAGAATGTAATTCCATTTTTATTGATTTATTAAATTTATTACACAGTGAATGAACAATATTGTTTACTGGATTACGTTTCAGACATAACTTATTGTCCATAGTCATCATATCAAGATAAAATATTCTTTATATAATCCCAATTTCCTCGCCCCTGGGTAGTAAGATTTTCCATGTATCCGGAACATGTGCTCAGTCATTCCTGTTGCTGCATGTGTTAGGTGTTGATTCGATAAACAAAGATTCAGTTATTAATCTATCCCTGTACCTTGCTATGTTTAAGGGATTTCACCCTGTCCCATCCTATTTTGTGGTGATGTCTAATCGCATGTATTGCTATGGGTGAGCCTCTCTTTTCTTAACTCATTACCTTACTAGGATCTAGGATCTAGCTAGGGATTTTGTGTTCGGATAACCTAATTGACCCTGGTCGACTACTTTAACCCATCTATTTAACCTCACACTTGTTGCAAGTGACCTGGTAAACTAAGTTATTCTGCTTAGTTGGACCGATAGGATCTTTTAACCTACAAAGCTTATTTCGAAGTGAGTTTGTAGGTTTAAATGCCACTCTAATCCTAACCAGCCTTATTGAGAATTCTACGTGGTGTTCCTCATGACTCCTACAAACCATTATGACGTCGTCGACATATGTCTTGACACCGTAGAAACTCATATCAGTCTGAAGTTATGAGACGTACTCCTGAGTTGACGAGAAGATGGTTCTATAAGACAACTAGTTTACAGAAAGCCTACATAGACAGGACAATACCCACATTTTCACAGATTTTGTCCGATGTAATATAAGCGACGTTTAATGAAATGCCTGTTTAATAGGATCTATCCAATCTGTACTTTAGATATGATGGAGGAAGATATAAAATTACTTACGGAAAGTGAATATCAGTTAAAGTTTATAAACTGTTGAAGAAGTCAGGTAGCACTGAAACCAACTCCTAAGCAAAGAGTCAACATCACGCTACCATACACATGGAAGTTGAATAGTATAGTTTTGAAACGAAGGCACAAAGAAAACATCTACAGTTTTCAAGCGAAATTATTGTAGCAATTCAATCATCAATATCTCTAGTGTGGTAGATATTTTCATGGGGAAGTTTAAAATGTATGGAGATATGTGAATGACAAATATACTATGTTGAAATGTGAACATATTCATAACTTCTTCACATACATAAACTCAGTGGTAGATGAGATGCAAATTACTTTCTAGTTAGGTGAACAAGGAGAATTAACTATGTCATATCATAAGATGAAGCAAAGACAAGGCGTTAGTTTAAACAAAATTGGTGCGCCAGTGTTCAAATTGCATACTTGGATGTTACTAACAGTATCCAACCATTAGTTCCTAATATTCCTTCAGATGAACATAGAGAAGACAGAGGTGATGAAGATACCCAACCAACAACAATATCAACAACAAGCATCAATCACCATGGATGGGAGAAACCTCAAGAAAGTAGTCTCTTTCACCTGCCTAGGCAGCATCGTTTCAACCACAAGTGGCACAGATGAGGACGTTTAAGCCAAGATCAGAAAAACGTTAAGACAGGCATTCCTTCATTAATTTGTGGAGATCTATTGCACTCCACTCAGCATAAAGAAGATCCAGATTGTCAACACTAATTCAATCAAGTCAGTGATTCTATGTGATGGTTGAGAGAGTTGGCGCGTTGGGGGAATCGTTTCCAACAAACTGCACACATACATCATCAACAGCTGCCACCTACCCTCACTCCGTACTGAAGATCGAGTCAGATGAGATGAGAAGGCAATAAAGAATAAGCAAGGAGGAATTGTGGCATGACGACGAACCAACGAAGCAAGACCCCATCGTTCAACAAATCTGCAGAATAGGAAGTGGAGATGGATTGGGCCTACACTGCGAAGATGGTTTGGGGACATCACGCAGAAGGCGAGGTCGTTGAATGGAAGTGAAATAGAAAGGATGAGTTGGTTGTCTGAGGGTGACATGGTGTGAGGTGGAAATGACAGGTTATGGGCAGGCAGTTGTGGAATGAGGTTGATAAGAGTGTAGAGAAGAGAGTGAAATGTCTCTGTACAAGTGAATCCTTATGTTCCACTAGGAATCCAAGGGGAAAATAATAATAGTAAACAATAATTATGCCTCATTTGACTTCACTTGATAATTGAAAGCTCTCAAGACAACTTGACTTTATACTTATCGAAGAGTTCAAACGATTTCTTGGCGCCAAATAATTCTATTCGTAAAATAGTATTTTCTTTCTAAAGGAAAACTGAGTCGAATTTGTTTTATTATAATTTTTTTTGTTTATTGGTCTAAGGAGATAGTTGATAGTTTGCACGAAAGAAAAACATTTTATGAAAATGAATTTCAGCTCAGTTCACCCTTACTTTTAGGAAGAATCAGGTATCCAAATATACAGCCAAGTGAGATCTTATAAAATTTTTGTAATCTATAATTTTCTTCATTCATTACTGTTTAATTCAATTCGAAGGTTTGTGGAGATTTATGTATTTATGTATTATGTACTCGACATTGACTGACACCACTATTGGAAACTTGCGAGCACTGGACAGCTGTTCACTGCCATTATGGGACTCCTCCGAAGTTCGCACTCACGACCCCGCAGGGGATTGACTCTAGAACCTTCAGATTTTGTGGCCAATACGTTCCCAATGAACCACTGCGCCGGAACCCACATTTCCCAAATCTGTTAGTTCATGATATAGCACGGCCTCTATCCAATGATGTCATTGAGTAGCTGTCTTCATGTTCTACTTGATTGACCTCACCGGCCATAACATCTCATCAGAATCTCAGGAATTACATCTCAAAGCAAGTCACTAATGAGCACTAGACTAATTCAACTTGGAGGTTTATGGAGATGTAGGTATTGCAAACGGTGTTTTGCAGGTGGCAGTATACAGCTTTTGGTCTATCGTAAGAAGGCACTTATTTCATAATCACAAGTATCTGTCGAAAGGATGAACGGTTTGTTGGGTATTAATAACCTTAGGGTCATCCGCTACTCATCTAACAGTTTAATTTGGTTAAATGTCTTATGTAATTCCTTTCAGGTTTATCAGCAATTTACGTAATGAAGACGCCACGCTATTGAAGTTTCCCATGAACCGATTGAAGAAGGCCGTTCTTCCCAGAAATTGTCTGAGTTTTCTTTCTGACTCTGGAATAGAAATGTTCTTGACGTTGTCAGTCTTTTCGGGTATTGGCTTTATTTCATCATCCCCGACTTCGTGGTCCGACAATATAACATTTCTCTTAGTAATTCGCAACTTCGTCTTGTTTGTATGTAGCTCAAATCCCCAAGGGGTTTTTAGAATGGCGTCTAAACGTTTCAGATGGTTTCCGTCGATTAAACTAAGCATTCTAAAGTCATAATCATAATCGTCGAACTCTCCAACAATGGCATTATCGGTCGTCTAAGCGTACACTATGCCCCTGTAAAGCCAAAGGACGTTCGTCTAAATCAGTATTTCCTATAGACGTAGGGAATTGTTGACCTCTGAAGTCTGATCCGGTGGGTTTATGGTTAACGCGTTCGTTGCAAAACCTGATGGTCCTGGTCTGATGCCTGGAAAGACGGGGTTGTATTTGTGTACTGGTGAGGAGTCAGTTCCACAGTGGTAAGAAACAACTGTTCAGTGTTCTCAGGTGTTCAATGGTTCTACAAATGATAACTCTTTGTGATGAATACTACCCTATAAATTAAGCATTTGTCAATATATATATTTCATAAAGGGGTCAAATATCACACTTCCCAGTGTCAACAAAATTCCTATAACTTCACTTTTTAAGATTTGCATTTTAACTCTCTTAAATCCACTATTTCTTATAAGAAAACCTTAATTAAGCCAATGCGGTACGTGTACTGAAGCATGGTTAGTTATGGAGGAATTCTAAAGATTCTAAGACAAAGAGGTGAAAAGTTAGGTTGGCTATGATAACTGGAACTAACAGCTGAAGACTTAATGTAATATGGCTTAATGGTTATTAGATTTATTCCGCATTGCTGTTTTTCGTGATATTCTACTGTTTTCAACTTTACTTTTTCTATTTCTTCTCCTTTTATCTTATTACTACCTATCTTGATATGCCTGTGTATGGGATAGTAAATCGGACTGTTTGACCAGTTCCATCTTAACGTTGGCTAACTGATGATATCAGAGTCTTTTGAGAAAGTTTGTCTGCGTGAAAATTACTCACTAACCACCGTCAATTTGCCTAGTTTTCAGCGACTTATTTGCTCTATCTACAAAGTTTTGTACAGATGAAATTGGATTGATTGATGTAAGTAGTTAAGATATTCTGAATAAACACTTTCTGTCAATTGATTGTATCAGAAGGGATAAAACTTCAAAGTCCAAGTTTAATAGAACTCATCGACGTTTGGCTGACAACATACTTCCAATTCAATAGCAAGATATACAGACGGATGAAAGGAACTCCATTGGGGTCACCTATATCCGGACTAATTCAGAAGCAGTGATGCAGAGACTGCAAGTCATCACTCTACCTGTAGTCAAACTAATATTTCGCATACACTACATAGATGATACTTTAGTCACCATTAAAAAAGTGATATGGAGAACACTCACAGTTTGATGAATAACGTTTTCACCAATGACATGAAATTGACAATAGAGGAGTCAAACAACCAACTACCATTCCTGGATGTTCTAGTCAGTAGACAAATGCGGGAAAACCGGAAACCGAAGTATACAGGAAGCCAGCAAACACTGACTGATCAAATGCTCAACTACAGTAGCAACAATTCAACAACACACAAAATTAGTTGAGTGTGGACTGTATTGAAAAGAGCGAGAACACATTGCACTTCATTGCAGTACAACAACTTGGTTGAGAATGAAGAAAATTACCTGATGTTTATCGTGGGTAAGAATGACTAGTGAGAAAACTTTGCCAGCGGATGCGTATCGTGTGCCTCATCAACTACGAAGTAATCGACAGAAATCAACAAACGCATCACAGCAAGATTGGTGAGACCACTTGGAATTGGTGTGGCCATTCATCAATCGACAAATTCCCTTCAGGCAGTGTAATGCTGACCAGAGGATGCAGCAGCCAGACAAAATGACCAAATATCATTTACAAAATCAACTACAATAGTTGCGACCAACAGTACATTGGACAAAGTGTTGGCTCACCTTCGCCTTCATCTATATGAACACGAATTGGGTGGTAGTTGTCACACCTGACATTTCATGATTGATTTCAATGCACGTGGATAACAAGTATGGAGATGAATTTAATTTTTACAAAGTAGAAATGTTGGATGGAGAGAGGAAGCTTAAAGAAGAATATCAAAGAATCCCTAGAAGCTTTGGATTCAGATCAGTCTGTCAGCAATCGATAAATGGATGTATAGGAATAGACCAAATCTATCAACCAATGAGAAAACTACCATATATAATTGTTTTTTTTGCATCATACCGTCGTTGATTGAACCGAATTGATCGGTCTCCATTGGCATACGGGATCCTGTGCGGATGCCTCGATATTACCTGCGCTCTTATGATAGTAATGATGGATAGTGACTAGCAGTGGAATCCAGGATGCACATTTCATCTATTTGGGACTCCCGGTGGGAACAACATCACTCACCGGGAAGCAGGTACATCCAGCTAACGAGTCTCGAATTGGATGAAATGCGCATCCTGGATTCCACTGCTAGCCACTATCCATCACTAATAATGAGAAAACTGATAAATGACATAAAGGTGAGAGGTGAAGCAGAGGAACAGTCAACAGGAGGATCTATGTAGTCAGTCAATGACACAACAATCAAAGAAAACAAACAATCACAAACCACTTGATCAAGGCAAGCTACTGAATTACTTGGGGAGAGATATTGACAGCTCACTTCACAGTGAAGTTAGTGTTGGTGTTTTTCTTTAGGAGATCTATGAAAGCTTCTCCACTATTAAACAACCTATCTCAGGGAACACAATACAACGAATTATTAGTGTTCTGTTCCTCACTATATCGTTTCAATCTAATTTGGCAAAAATCTGAGAGTTTAGTCGAGTATAATATCTTCATCCGACGATTGTTAGTTATTTTGTATCATTTAAGTTGGATAAAGTAATCTGAAGAATGAAAATCTTTTACGTATTCTAATGTTCACTTCCATGTTTCATCTGGGTGGACCATGGATAAAGTAAACTTTTCCAAGATTTATTTAATGTTTTCCTGTTTTCTTTTTCATTGAAATTTTCATTGTTTATTTGTATTTTGAAAGTTCCTGCATACAAATCAGTAACAGCTGCATTGAAGCATGTTAATGAAAAGGCTAACCTTGTAAACTTTTCAAATATTGGCACTCATCTATATTCTGATATAATTTCTGAAGTGAATCAGCTAGCATTTATTCAGCATCGAAACTATTCGTCTTGTTTAATGTCTACTGCTAAATTTCAACAAGATGGAGAGAATCGAGACTCCGTGCAGGAGCTCATGATGAATAGCCCTGAATATGAAAAGCGTAAGTTTGTTAATAATAATAACGCCGTTTGTCGACATACTTGTGATTCTCCGTTGTTTTATTGGATCAAGTTATTCGACCTCGATTCGATCCAATAAAACAACGGAGAATCACAAGTATATCAATAAACAGTGATAATCAATACCTGTTGTACAAGAAGTGGCTATCGTTCCTCCATGACATATCGGAAAACGCTTTAAAGTTTGAAGCTATGAGTACGAGTTTCTGTGGGATCAACATCACTACTCACTGGGGTGCAGTCACATCCAGTTGATTAGTGAGTTCCAAATAGGACGAAACGAGCGTCCTGGATTCTTCTGCTAGCCACAACCAACAAATTAAAAATAGTAATACTAGTACATCGATGAAATTTTGTTGACTATAGAATGGGTCAATATATTATGAGTAATTTAAAGCAACGTAATGAGAAGACAAAGATAATCTTAAACATATCGTGATGTATTACCGCTATACACATTTCAACAATTTTATGATAACACATGGACTTGTCGAACTATTTATATGAAAATTACCAAAAAGGGTCAATGAAGAATAGGAAGGGTAGAGAAGAAAACAAATAAAACCTTATTCACGTTACTCTTGGTATGAAAACTATTACCTAGATAGGCTCAATGTGAGTACAAATTGTTTATATATATACATAAAGCAGAGGGTTTGAATTTGCGAACTACAAGAGCTTCAGTAAATGTAAGCATTCAACCCTGACCACTTTATGTTCAACTATCTTTAACTGCATATCACGATTACTCCTCTGTATATATGTGTCCACACTTACATATAAATTGATAAACATAGTGGGATGTGATGTAATCGTTTATATGTTGTTATGGTTTGTGTTGTAATATGAACTTTATCTTCCCTGTGATAATGACTTTAGCTGCATAATACGTTTTACAGATGGCTAATCTAAGTCTTTTCGTCACAACAAAGCTATGTGAATCACCTTTAAATGGTAATGAGATGTAGACATTTCTCTGAGTAATGGAACACTGTGTACTTTTCATTGGTGCATAACTTTTGTACCTAATGATACATTTCAACGGGTAGCCATTCTGTGTTAGTGTTATCGTTATTAAATTGGTTTCTTTCTCCTTCATTGACCCTTTTCATAAATTTTCATATAGATAGTTCGACAAGTCCCATGCGTAATCATATTGTTCGAAATGTATAGCGCTAATACATCACGACGTTTCAGATAATCTTTGTCTTCTCATTATGCTGTTTATATTATAAGTAAGTTTTTAATGGAAATATTACACACAATCATAAGACTTTATTTTGGTAATATTTCGAGCAAAATTACCACTCGTGATCACATCAACGGTTGGAAATATGTTAGCAATGTTTATTCACACATTTACCAGTTAGTGTCATATATATATATATAAATATAATAAATATATATATATTATATAGTCTTTCCTTATTGTTCGTTAGTCTGTTTGTTTAACACAATGTTTCACATGTAGTCATGGATAGTGACTAGCAGTGGAATCCAGAATGCATACTTCGTACTATATCGGATTCGTCAGCTGGACGTTTCTGCCCCCTAGCAAGTATTGTCCCCATCGGGGTTCGAACTCGGGACCGACCTCTTCAGATGCCACAGCCTAATCCACTACACCACTTCTTGTGCGATGGGTGTAGTTTTAGTATTATTCCTTGTATCATACCGTCCTTGACTGGACTGAATTGATGGGTCTCTACTGGCATATGGACTCCTGTGCGGATGGCTCGACATTGCCTGTGTTTAAGTTACGTGTAGTAATGATGGAGCCCATATGCCAACAGAGATCGATCAATTCGGTCCAATCAACTAAGGTATTATACAAGCAATATTGCTAATGTCCCGTATGTTTGATAGTTGTGTTGATTAATGTTCACTGCTGTATGTTTGACTTATATAAATATTGATTTTGTGATTAACTCTGCTTTCCATTTGGTTTTGCTGGTCGTGTTGTTGCAAATGATGTTATATTTTTCTTCCCATGCATAAGGTGTTATCGGTGAACTATTTTTCAAAACTTTTGTCACTCTGAAGGCTGACCTTTGGTTAATCTTCGATGTTCATTGAATCTTCCATATCAGATTTGTTTATTTGATGTAAAACACAGTGATACAGTATCATCTATTTACTTGATGACATTTCGAGTATAAATTATTCTGAGGGAGTTGTGGGGATTCGGAAATATTTCAAGTTGTTATTCATCGTAGACTGACATCAGTTGGAAGAACAAAGGAAACCTGGGAGCTCTGGATAGCTGTTTCGTCCTAGTAAGAGACTCCTCAGCAGTGCGCACCCACGACCCCGTACCACCAGGGGTCGAACCCGCGACTTTCAGGTCCCGTGTCCAGCACGTTACCACTGAGCCACTGTGTCAGAATCCGATGGTTCATATTTCGCCGGTTCCATCCCTGATGGTGCGGAATCGTGGGTGTGCACTGCTGGGGAGTCCCATACTAGGACGAAATAGCCGGTTGTCCGGTGCTCTCAGGTTTCCTTTGTTCCTCCAACTGATGTCAGTCTACGATGAATAACAACTTGAAATATAACTTATTCCTCATAATCATATCAGTGTAGTTACACTACTTTCGACATCTGATTTTTATAGTCTTGTCACCCACCTCTTATATTTTGTTGTTATTGGTAGTTAAATCCTCCATATCTCTGGTATAGATGGGTGTTGCATCATCATTCCTATTACATATCTCCACTTAATTATATTGGACTTAAGCACAGTAGCTTTATCCCACCCCATGCATTGCAATAGCTGAGTTGCCTTATAGATTATTGATCTTATTCAGGTCTGTCATTCTTTATTTAGGGTTAGGGTTAGTGACCGCAGCACCACTTACTTACGTGTTCAATTGACAAGGAAGGCGGATGGAACTGTAAAAAGAAGTGTATATCGGAAACCACCACCAGCAGGTCAATACATCCACTTCTTGAATTTTTTCCCCTTACAGTATAAACGAAATCTAGTCGAATGTTTGGTCCATCGGACAGACTCATTTGTTCAGATGATACTTATGATAAAGAACTTTAAATTATCCATGATCTAATCGGTAGTCATGGGTATTCAGAAGCGTTTCTGGCTAAAAAAAATATGGACGCGTCGAATACGAAAACCGGAAAAACAACAGTCTCCAAGACACCATTCATCCTAAGACTACAATTGCGAGTTGACACAGCGCCTAAGAAATGTCATAGGATCAGTTAGTGCCACAAAGTTATGCTGTGTATTCTACAGTCGGCGGTGATGACCACGCGAATCAAGGACAGACCACCTGACTTATCTTCTATGTATATTTTTATCAGTTCAACTGCTCCTGTGGAGCGAGTTACATTGGACGTACAGTTGGGCAAATCCGTCGTTGAATCACTGAGCATCATCCTTCAAAGGGCAAACCAGATCGATACGAAGGTCATTACTCTCACATCTGATTGTTACTGGTCATCGAGTTATATTCATAACGCCTTTGAAGTCATTTATCACATTCCTTCTGACCTCACCTATGCTCTATGAGTTCATCTCTTATATACAACAGAAGCCACCGGAATCAACCTAAACAAGCCAAGTTTGTGTGTTCAGAAGAAATTCGTACAGCCTCTTTCTTTGCCTTGGCCATCTGTATACTTCATCTATTACAACAAGACCCTTCCTTTCATTGTCCCACAAATGATTATCACTAATATTTTAATACCCCTATTATTATTATTATTACAGTTTCAGTTATCTTGTTCTCCCCTGGTCTCTCTAATTACCATCAACAATTTACCACTTGACGTAACAGTTCATTTTCACTTTTTTAGTTATTACTATATGAAATATCAATTATGCAACAACCTATGTATAGTAATGTTGAGCAGTGGCATACAGCATGCATATTTCGTCCTATTTGGAACTCGTCAGCTGGACGTACCTGCCTCCCAGTGAGTGATGTCGTTTCCACCGGGATTCAGACTCAGCAGCGATCGCTTCGAACGCCAGAGCGTTATCCACCACACCACCGAGCCACGATAGCCACTTCCTATGCGACAAGTATATTTTTAGTGTTATTGCTTGTATTACACCGTCGTTGATTGGAATGAATTGATCAGTCTTTGTTGGCATATGAGCTCCTGTGTGGATACCTCGATATTGCCTGTGTTTCAGTTTGTATAGTAATTAACTTATGCTGTAGTTACTTATCTTAATTACCTGATCAATTATCACCTTCTTGATACTTTGAGATTGATAACCTTTCATTAAATAACTCTCATCACTAGATTGATAAGTAAGCTTACGGGTTTGAAAATGTTACACATATTAGTGTAGAACTATTAATGAGGAACTTAATGAAAAGAAATATTTATTCGTTCACATTCTTTGTTTCACTAAATACAACATTCTTTTTCAGTCTTTCTATAATTTCATGAAGCTCTGTAGTGAAAATGCCTTTTCATATAATTATTGTTGTTTCTATGCTGATATATATGTAATCTGCAAAGACTGATTAAAATTCCCACAAGGAAGGCAAGCGAATTGGAACGGACAAACAAGAAAGGAAAAGATGACAGTAACACAAGTACGAATAATAACGACACCACAAGTAGAAATGAGTTCATAGCTTCCATTGTGTTATCCTTAAGGAGGGTACATCGGAAACTTTACATAGGACGCACAACAAAGCTGGAATTACTTGTGGTAGTCTTTAGACCTACAAACTTACTGAGAGATAAGCTTTGTCGGTTGGATTAAGAATCCGATAGAACCAATTCAGCAGAATAATCTAATCTATCAAATTCCATATAACGACTGTGAGTCAGGTCAAGTAAATAGATCAAACTAGCCGGTTTGGGTCATTTAGAATATTCGAACATAGGAATTTAGGTAAGTATAGGATAACAGACCCAAAGAAGATCAATAATCTAGAAAGTAACTCGACTATTGCAGTGAATGCACAGTGACCTACAACCACATAATAGGGTAGGTGGGATAAAGGCACTGTACTTAATTCCAATAATCGAATCAACACCCACCCAACACATGTGGAATAGGAATGATGACGCAACACCCATATATACCAGAGATATGGAGGATTTTACTACCAATAAAAACAAAGAATGAGAGGTGGGTGACATAACTATAAAAATCAGATGTTGAGAGTAGTGTGATTACACATTGATATGATTGTATGACTATGGACAGTGAATTGTATCCGAAGTGTGTAATCCAGTAAATGACAGACAAAGATAAGATCAGCATAGAACTTCGAATACAAGTACATTGATCTAAGTTACCATACTTCACAGCAGTATAGAAGGAACAGGTGGATAGAAACAGAGTGTTCTCAAACTAAACAAAGTTGTGTGAGAGAATAAACAATCTAAAACGAAGATAACCGTTAGCGTGAATGTTCAAGCTTTAGGTGTCGAGAAGTGAGTATATCTGCTCCACTGTGACCGGTATTGAGCCATGTCACTTCAAGAGTCACCAACCACTGATTCCTTTCCTCTCGTGACTCCAACCAGGAAGTTTTCATCTTGCCACACGCCTAAAACCAGCATTAAGAGACTTCACCGACTGGTCGCAGGTGTTAGTCTGGCTACCTTTTTTCAGCCTAATGCAACTACCCCATCAGTATGACACGTTGAGACTAGAGGTGGAATAGCATGCTAAATACATGCCCAATCCTGACCTCAACATTGTTAAACGCGATGATTCAATCAAATGCGAGCGATCCCATGAAGACATCTGTGATCTTACAGCCGATAACAATCTTACAGGACGTAACAGACTACAACGCAGTATACTCGTCATTTGATAGGTGGCCAGTTGGTGCCAAAGGGAACGCAAGTTGGCAAATGCCAAATGAGCATTTTATATCTGAGCTGAGCACCGAAGTAAGTGAATTGGTTGATTTATTCCACCACTTCATTTCTTTTCATTAAACTGTGAGTGATTGCTGCAAACTAATCATAGAACATCAATTTACCCTTGACGAGTATGAAACCCATGCCAAAGATACTCGGTGAGTAGGTGAAACTTTGTGAAGTCAGACGTACCTGAGGTTATATTCATTAGTACTTTCAGTATGCAGATGAATGGGAAGGATGACAATGGGCATCCCTGGTAGACATTGTTAAATATCTAATAAATCAATTGAAATTACGTCAACTATTTCTCGGAAGTCGTCAAACTGTACATTAATATTTATGTGATTTACTTTTTTGCGACAAGTTCAACACGATTTGTCTTGGTTGTATTGTGTTCTCGCAGAGGATTTACTCAAAGACGAGAATGTATTTCAACCACTTAAAACCAATCCTAACACAAAAATTCAACAACCAGATCAATAAAACCTTGAACAAACTCTTCATAGCAGAAGAAATAACAAACCAATACAAATGCCGAATAAAATCGAATGGACCTGTCCTTCCATGGTTCTATGATGCACCAAAACTACACAAACCAAACATCTCTCTACTACCAATAGACTCACATCCGGGAACTCCAACATACAACATATCAAGAGAACTTTCGAGAAAACTGAAACACCTTGTTCAGTTATGTGGACATCACATCGATTCACTAACAGAGTTATTAGAAAGATCAAAACATTGACATAGAAAACGATGAATTAATGATATCCTTCGATGTCACAACACTTTACACTTCATCGAACCCTAATTGGCCAAAGAAACTATGTCTTTCCTGTTCATTTAGACACAAGCCTCTCAGAACGCACAAAACTTAAATGTTTAAGTCCGATGGAACTCATCGACGTTTGGCTGACAATATACTTCCAATTCAATAGCAAGATATACAAACGGATGAAAGGAATCCATTGGGGTCACCTATATCCAGACTAATTGCAGAAGCAGTTATACAGAGACTGGAAGTCATCATTCTACTGTAATCAAACCAAAATTTCGCATACACTACGTAGATGATACTTTAGTCACCATTAAAAAAGTGATGTGGAGAACACTCACAGTTTGATGAATAACGTTTTCACCAATGACATGAAATTGACAATAGAGGAGTCAAACAACCAACTACCATTCCTGGATGTTCTAGTCAGTAGGACAAATGCGGGAAAACCGGAAACCCAAGTATACAGGAAGCCATCAAACACTGACTGATCAAATCCCCAACTACAGTAGCAACAACTCAACAACACACAAAATTAGTTGAGTGTGAACTGTATTGAAAAGAGCGAGAACACATTGCACTTCATTGCAGTACAACAACTTGGTTGAGAATTGAAGAAAATTACCTGATGTTTATCGTGAGTAAGAATGACTAGTGAGAAAACTTTGCCAGCAGATGTGTATCGTGTGCCTCATCAACTACGAAGTAATCGACAGAAATCAACAAACGCATCACAGTAAGATTGGTGAGACCACTTGGAATTGGTGTGGCCATTCATCAATCGACAAATTCCCTTCAGGCAGTGTAATGCTGACGAGAGGATGCAGCAGCCAGACAAGATAACCAAATATCATTTACAAAATCAACTACAATAGTTGTGACCAACAGTACATTGGACAAAGTGTTGGCTCACCTTCGCCTTCATCTACCTGAACACGAATTGGGTGGTAGTTGTCACACCTGACATTTCATGATTGATTTCAATGCACGTGGATAACAAGTATGGAGATGAATTTAATTTTTACAAAGTAGAAATGTTGGATGGAGAGAGGAAGCTTAAAGAAGAATATCAGAGAATCCCTAGAAGCAGCTCACTTCCCACTGAAGTTAGTGGTGATGATAACGTCTAGTAAGACGATGAAAGCTTCATGACTAAACAATCCAGTTGAGAGAACACAATGTAACTAAGACCATCCACCTGAGCTACAAATATTCCCCACCATTTCAACATTCATTTCTAATTTATTAAGGTTAAATTTTGAATTAGTTATGAAGATAGATGTCTCATCTTAAAAGCGAGACAGGCGTTCATTAACCTGAAATCAGTGTGGAGATCTACTGCACTCAGCATAAAGCCTGAACAGGATCCAGATTTTCAACAATGAGTCAGTGAAGTCAGTGCTTCCATGTGGTTCAGAGACTTGGCGCGTTACAAAAAGCATTTCCAACAAACTACAGATATTCATTAACAACTGCCTACGCTGGCTCGTTACTGAAGCTCAGAAGGCCAGGAAGAATCAGCAAGGAGCAACTCTGGCAACGAATCAATCAAGAACCGATCGTTCAACAAATGTGTAGAAGATGAAAGTGGAGATGGATTGGGCATGCACTGCGAGACCATTCGGGGACATCACGCCCCATACTAGTTGCTCGAGAGGAACCCAGATGGTAAACGACGAGTTTGGCGTCGGAGGTGAGGGTGACATGGAGGAGATGGTGTGAGGAAGAAATGAGAGCTCGTGGCAGTGGTGGAGCCATGTTCAAAAGATTGCAGAGAAGTGCAGAGTGGGATGGAGACGTGCTACTGAAGCCCTATGTCCTACTAGGAACCCAAAGGATAAGTAATAAATAATAATAGGTACCTCATCTAAACTTGTAGGAAGTTCTGATTGTATTCTTCGACTATCTAAGCTTATGTGTATTCAATAAACTGTTATCTCACACGCTTCCTTTGTACATTAGAAGTATATCTTCTCTCAAGTTGTTTTCTGTTACATACCGATATTATGTTTCTTTTGTTGTCTTGTTATCTCAGTACTACGTATTCATAAAATACTGATTATGTAATGATGAAATTCAATAGTTTTATAATGAGAAACTCACTTTCATACTTGTCTAATACTCATCTAATATTTTTAATCTTTAAAAGAAGAAGTATCTGAATCTGTAACAGGAAGAACTAAATCGAATACACCAATTTTAGCTCAACATACAGGAAGGCATTCAAAGTCTTCTAAACGAAAGTTAGCCAGTAAAGACAATTCTACATTAACAGGTAATCGTAAGAAAAAAGGAGATAAAAATCATTACACTGCTGAAGTTACTGAGACATTGATAAATAAAGAAAATGAAAGCAAAAAACAGTTTATTGAAGAACTAAATACTGAAGCAGTTGGAAAACGTTCTACTTTAGATGAATATGAACTATCCGATGAACTTCTTGACAGAAGTCAGATGATTAAAACAATAAGAGAACAATTGATAAAAGATTTAAATGAGGCACAGCCTAAAAGGTAAGATGCGCACTATGTTTATTCACATAAGTATTCGGTTTTTGAAAATTATTTATTATTTTGATAATAATGATGGATAGTGGCTAAGAGTGGAATCCAGGATGCATGTTTCGCCCTATTTGGGACTCATCAGTCAGCTGGATATACCTCCTTCCCAATGAGTGATGTTGTTTCCACCAGGATTCGGAAACGATCGCTTGAAACGCCAGAGCGTTATCCACTACACCACTGAGTCACGATAGCCACTTCATGTGCGACGGTTATGGTTTTTAGAATAATTGTTTTTATAGGAAACTGCTTGCCACGATCCATCATTAACATAATTCGAACGCTGGCAATATCGAGACATCCACACAGGAGCCTATATGCTAATAGAGACCGATCAATTCGGCCCAATCAATGACGGTATCATATCAAAAACAATTATACTGATGATGGGTAGTGGCTAGCAGTGGAATCCATGGTGCGGTTTTTCGTCTTTGTTCTGACTCGTCACCCGGATGTACGTGCCTCTCAGTGAGTGGTGTTGTCCCCACTGGGACTCATGCCTCAATACCATCGCTCTAAACTCCACAATATTATCCACTAGGCCGCTGAATCTCACCAGCCACTTCTTGTATGACGAGTATACTATAGTTCTGATGCTATAGCTTGTTAAACATCGTAGTTGACTGAACCGAGTTTGTCGGCCACTTTTGACAGATGGGCTCCTGTGCGTATACCCGAATATCGGTGGTACTCTCAATTTTGATATTACTGATAGCTAGTGGCTGGCTACCAGTGGAATCCAGGACGCTTGTTTCTGTAGCTTTTAACTACAAACTTGATGTGTTACCATCTGCATGTTGAATTGTGCATCACTTTTAACTTTCAATGTTTATGTCATGGGGTACATCAGTTTCCTCTAGATTCTTCAAAGAAGCCTGGAATTCCCTGGAAAGTTTTTCATAGCTTATTACGACATTCCGAAGTTTCGCGAAAAACCAAGTGGTCATACTTATGAGTCTCAGATTTTCCAAAGGTTTTTCTAGAAAAGTGAAGAACTTACCGAGGTCATCAAAAAATCTACACAAACTGTTACTTTACCTTTATCAATCTCATTCAACAGCTATATGATGATGCTACATGTCAAGTGATTCACAACGGAAAGCTCAGTGATGCCTTTGAAGTGAAGATAGAAGTAAGACAAGACACCCATGATCTTCCTGATTGTGGTCGACTGGATCACGCAGCAAACGGTGATGGGCGAGAAGATGGGTATACGCTGTTTGACCTATGAAAAAGCCCTAGAAGATCTGCATTTCGCTTATGATAATTTATGTCTAGTGTCGGACAAGCCAAAGATCTACAGGCGAAAACCAAAAAGTTGGCGGAAGAGGCGGGGGAGCAATGACGACGCCTCCTTCATGTGAATGTAGAGAAAACAGAGGTATTGAAGACACCCAACCAACAACAACATCAATAACAAGCGTCATTCACCATCAACGGGAGAAATATAAGGGAAGTTGTCTCTTTCACTTACCCACCTATCTACGCAGCATCGTTTCAACTACAGGCAGCATAGATGAAAATGTCAAAGCCAGAATCGGTAAAGCAAAACAGGCCTTTATTACCTTGAAATCAGTATGGAGATCTACTGCACTCAGCATAAAGCTTGAACAAGATCCAGATTTTCAACGATAAGTCAGTGAAGTCAGTGCTTCCATACGATGGTTGAGAAACTTGACGCATTACAAAAAGCATTTCCTTCCAACAAACTGCACACATACATCATCAACAGCCGCCGCCTACACTCACTCCATACTGAAAATCAGATCAGATGGAAAGGCGAGAAAGAATAAGTAAGCAAGAGCTCTGACCTGGCAACCAACCAACCAGCGAAGCAAGAAAAAGAAAGCTGAGATCGATTGAGTATACACTGAGAAGACGGTTTGGTGACATCACGCGTTGGGCCAGGCTGTCAAGTGGGATCCAAATTGGAAACGATGAGTTGACATGGAGGAGATGGTGTGAGTAAGAAATGAAAGTTTATGGGCAGTTGTGGAGCCAAGTCGAGAAGACTGGAGAGAAGAGAGTGAAGTGGTGATGTGCTACTAAAGCCCTGTTTTCCACTAGGAACCTAAAGGACAAATAATAATAATAAACCGTTACTTTGGCACCGGACAATAAACCTGTATTCCTTTTACCGCTTCTTTCTATTTCCGAGGAACTGAGTGACTTTCAAGGATAAAGCCAAAAGTTATTGTTTAACAGTCTACTCATATATGGCAATATATAATCTACCACAAAGATATTTCATTTTGACGTCTTTTTGAATAAATAAGTTCATTGCATATTAGATCAAGGACTTGCTGATAGTATTTCGTTACTCACAAAGAAAAGCAGAGGTATGCATGTTTCCAAGACGTTTTCTATAATGTAAAGGTAATCAATGCGCTTCTTACAAATTAGAGTATTTTCTATAACTGATTAGTGTTCAACACTGACAGAAACGATTACTGTCTTGACTTGTTACCATTGATTCGTTAAGTAGTGAGTGGGCTGGAACGTTGATCCGCTTTTCTTAAGTAGAGATAAAGTTAGTATTGTACTTAAGCGATTCATTCCATCCCTAAAGTGGACTCATCATAAAGCTGTATTTGAATATCTGGAAGTCACTGGTTCGCGAATTGTACTGTGCCCCAAATTTCTGATAGAGTATACCTTAGTGTCTCATCGTCTAGATCACTATCCACACAGTAAGACTGATTGGTAGATATTGATGTACCTTCAAGGTATAGGACTTGATAGCTACCATTCAGTGACCAGATCATAGTGATTATTATTTACCATAGATGGTCACGGGAATACTTACAAGCTTAAAACCTAAATTTAAGACTTTATATAGGCTGACAAATATCTCTGTATAGTAATGATAGTTGTTAAGCTTTTTCTGAGACTTTTCGATTTAGTCACAAACTTTTTTTCACAAGCTTAGCAAAATTTTTGAGCATTAGATGATTAGTAGAGATATGTAACATATCTAATTTTCATGACATACCACTGTAGCTCATTTATTTAAGGAGACAACTTTTAACCATTGAGTCATTGGCTTGAACACTGACCTCTCCGGTTACACAGGTATAGCCAGACAGGTGGTATCATTTGTCTTCAAATAATAGGTGTAGCTGGTTACTTACTGCATAGATGTGTTCATGCTATCTGAGTTCATTTCGATTGGATCTGTAATTTGTATGACTGTTGATATAGAGCCTTTTTGGGGTTGTCAGTGGACAAGAAAGTTTTGTCACACACATACACACACACACCGACCCTTCTACATCTGAATCTTATTTATACGTAAAAATTAAGGGAGTTTTGTTGTTACTCGTCTACAAATCTCCCTATTGATGTGTTATTTGACTAACAGGTTAATTTGGTGAATTTTCCCACTAACTTAAGCATCATTTTTTTCCTTTACTTATTATATGGACTAGATCTATGTCTACAGGTGATAAATATGTCTGAATGAAAATCTTCTAAAGAATTCGTTACCTTAGGCTTCTAAATTCTTAGACTTCTTCATCTTGTCAGTCAATATAACCTTTTCTTATATATAGATATTAGGGGGGAAGTCGGTTCGCTACACATCTACCTGCTAAATAATGTTCAGAACATGTTTAATCTAGAATTGATCAACCTAATTCTTTTTTTCATAGTTAAAGTATACTTCATGTTATCATAAAGTAACTGTTTAAGTTTTCACTTTCCATAGAATATTCTTTTGTGCTTTATACTTCTTCTTATTGTCTAACGAGTAAAATAGACGGTGAACTTCTAAGCTTATTGAAGGTAACTTGACCTCTTCTATATATGCTGACTTGTTGTTATCATTAGTAGTGAAAGGATCATTTTTAGTCTTCGATGCCTTGTATTGGGTTGTGAATATTGGGATCAGTATTTTCAGGCAATTCTCATGATCTAAAGACCTGCGAAAATATATCCTTAATTAGTGTACTTGACAAATAGTATTACACTGCACAGTTCTTAGTACTGGTCATAGTTTATTGACCACAACAGTCATTTGATTAAAGTGATATGACAATATATGAAGTATATTCAACGCTGAAATTCTCAGTTTTTATCTGCTGTTGAAGTTTATCTGAACCGTTATGCTAAACTGTTTCCATTATTTCTTAGAATCAACTACTTTGCCTATAGTACCACTGATGTATAATATACCTATCCCAACAAACGAGTTAAGGAAGTTTCTAAATCTATGCACCAAAAACATTCAGTTCTACTTCAATGGACAGTTATTCCACCAAACTGATGGAGTTGCAATGGGAAGCCTTCTGGGTCGCTTTTTAGCTGACTTATTTTTATCGTCTGGAAAATAATAACTTGAAGCTCTTCATAGGTCAAACGTTACATGGAAGACATATTCATTGTATGTAATAGCAAAGTGAAGGCAGAATAGTAATAATAATAATCACTTTATTCTAAACAGTATGTATGATAGTATGGAATTCTCAGCATGTAAATTCACTTCAAGAACAATACTTCCAGACAAAATAGTTGTTGCATTGGAATGATGTTAATAATAACAATATTCAAGGCGCTAATCTGAAATAGCCAGCTGGTTCTTGATGGGCTTCTCGTCCACAATGAAGAGTTAACAGAAATCCATGCAGAATTTTGGTGTTGGCGGTTCATTCAGACGGTACAAATATCTGTGACTCAAGTTAAACATCTGACGGACAGAAATATGATATACTTTTTTTGCAACGAAAATTCCATTTACATATAACCTAACATTTTTCCTCCGCTTTGTTATTGACTCGAGAAACGTAGAGTTGGAGACAGTTTAAAAATGTGCCAGAGTATATGATACGTTCAGAGAACATATTTAAATGATTAAAACAAATTGAAAGGAGAGAATTTGATGAAAAATGTTCAATGGATAAATTTAGTAGCGCAAGGTTCAAACAGGCACTACCAAAGAACTTCGATTCATGACACCCAAACCTGAGCAGAAGGAAAATAATATGATTAGTTTTTTAGATGTCTCATTAGTGAAAAGAATCGATGGATCTATCGAGAGGTCCACCTATAGGAAACCTTCATGGACGAGACAGTACCTTCATGTTAGGAGCTTTGTGCCTATCTAATACAAAGTGAATGTAGTCATAACGCTGTTTAACACAGACAGGAAAATTTATTCCGACAGCATACTAGACTGAGAAATAGTAACTTTGTGAAACATGCTACTGAAGAATGCGTACCCAGAAACCTTTGTCATCAAGCATGCAAAATGGGTAGGAAGCAGAACAACTTCCCCAACAGTGCAGAGGAAACCAGTCTGTACCACGTAGCCGTTTAAAGGTGATGACGTACTAGAGGTGGTAAGACGAAGACTGAAGAAGTCTATCAGAAGGGCTTAATACACTGCTAAACTCGTTCTCAGCACCACCAAAAAAGTACTGCAACAATCAAGGGAAGGCAGGGCTAGGGTCTTCGACACATCTAAGTGCATATACCAATTCTAATATACCTACGGAAGAAAATACATTGGTCATACGTAGAGGCATCTGTCTGCCGGAATGGTTGAGCATCTACCGAAATGGTTAAAGTTTGCCTAGAAGAAGACTCCGAGAAGCTCGATAATCCAACACTTAGTAGATTATGAACATGATATTGGTACCTGGAAGTCTTTTACGGTTATCAGTAGGCAGTAAAATAAGAAATTACTTGGATGTACAAAAGCCTGTACGATTCAAGTTGTCAAACAAAACCTTTGCATTCAGAAGGAAATGGTAGTCAGGTTGAGTTTACCATGGTAAGAAGTATAAAATCGTCTAATCATATTTAATCTTTCTTACCTGCTCTTCTCTCTTCATTATCACCCATCTTATATTTCGTTTTCCTTCCCTAATTTATTTCGCTTAATTAACCTTATTCTTATTACCACTGTTATCAATGATTAATCGTCTCACTATATATACACCTGCTTGTCTGCATAAGTACTATTAAGTATTTTGTTTTGAATAATGTGATCTACGCTCAATCGATCCAGTTATCACCTCTTAGTCTCGGTCGAAATTTTCATTCCACGTTTAATCATCACCCAGTATCAATACCAGTCTGCCAAACTACGGCTGTTATCTCACATAGTCAAATAATAATCAATATGATACTCCCTTCCCTCTTATTCTAATTCAGTCAGATTTGGAATGAGATGAGTAGTCCTGACTGATAGGCGGCCAGTGTGAATACGATCAAGCTGTAGTAACGCGTCACGAATTCCCATAGTAGTCATCGAGTAAAACCCATGGTGGTTGAAGTGAAATAACAATACGGTGAGCATTTGGACCTCGTAGGTGAGTTGGTAGAGCATGGTGCCGGAAACTCGGTGGTCAGTGGTTCAAATCTGGCAGCGGTGCAAATTTTCATTTCACTTTCTATCATCACCCAGTATAAATAGTTATCATCATTATTTTTCTGCCTGAAATCTACCACTATCCAAACTCAGTTAACCTATCCCCAACTCATTCAACTTCCAATATCCATTTCTAGCATTTCCATTACCATTTAACCCATAAAAAGTGTTCACTTCTCCGTTGTTACACCTAAATCTGTCTCAGTTTACGTTATGTATATAGGCATCCATGTATGCATGCTTGCATATATGTATGTGTGCATATATGTATGTATGTATGTGTGTGTATGTATGTGTGTATGTATGTATGTGTGTGTATGTGTATGTATATATGTATGCATGCATTTATGTATGTACGTATGTATGTGTGTGTATGTATGTATGTATGTATGTATGTATGTGTATGTGTGTATATATGTATGCATGTATGTATGTATGTAAATATGTGTGTATGTATGTATGTATGTATGCATGCATGCATGTATGTATGTGTGTATATATGTTCTTTTCCATTGTTTAACTGCATGAATAATCAAGTATGCAAATTATGTAGCTGATGAGTATTACTGAAATTTATGAATATAATATATCCTGCTTTTTTCATATATTCGTTATTTAAATTTGTATCGAGAAAACAGTATTTTGAATAAATTTTTAAGTTGTATTTTTCATTTTTCTTCATTTTTTGTTATAGTTATCCTTATTTTGAATTTTTGCCTATATATCTGAATTCTGATGTTAAATATCAAGAAACGTCAACTTCAAACATTGTTGGTAAGTAGTGATGAATGAAGTTTACAATCTTCCTTTAATTATTCGAAACATATTCTTCTGTATATCTGTGTAGCAAATGTTACTATAATTTAGCTTTATATTGATCTCTGTTAAAATAGGTGTAACCTCGCCTGGTTAACTAGTTCACTAGTTACTAACCGGTCAAAAGCCCGGGTAAAGAGGGAAGGTTGGGTATAGGGCTAGAAACCCTACCCAGGAAAACAAATCTAACCACTAAAGAAACTTCAAAGCACAAACGAAATATAAAAAATTATAACAAAATTACTTCTCATTGGAATCAGAGAGACCAAATGACGCCAGTTGGTGAAAGTCTTCGGGAAGCCGATTGGCCGATGTGTCTCCTCTTCTCTCGATGAAAGCGAAAGTAAACGTGGGGACGTGGAATGCCCGCACCATGTTTGAACCCAGCAAGGCAGCCCAGATTGCAAACGAGATGACAAGGTATCATACTGAAGTGCTTGGAATTTGCCAAAGCAGATGGAATGAGAGTGGACTCTCCAAACTGTCAACTGGAGAATCAATAATCTACTCCGATGTTGTCACCCAGACGATAACCACGAGCACACTGAGTTATGGAGTGGCTATCATGATGTCCCCAACAGCATCACAGGCTCTCATACAGTGGGAACCAATCTCCTCCACGATCAGGATCATGACAGCAAGACTCAACTCAAAAGGAAGGAAAGTCACAATCATACAATGCGAATACTACGCACATACAAATAATGCAGAGCAAAAGAAAAAGGAGGAATTCTACACACAACTGTAATCAGCACTGGACAAGACCTCAGTTGGCGACATGAATGCCAAACTGGGAACAGACAACACAGGAAGAAAACTCATCATGGGTTGAGAAGCGCTCGATGAGGTGATGAACGAGAATAGAGAATTGTTTTCAGAATTCTGTGCATTCAACGATTTGGTGATTGGAGGCAATGCGTCCAAGCACAAGGATATCCACAAAGCCACATGGATTCGATTTCACCAGATGGGCACACTAAAAATCAAATCGACTTTATCTCAATCTCAAGAAAATGGAGACGCGGTCTACTTGACACAAGGTCAAGAAGAGGAGCACATGTAGGCTCAGAACACTATCTAGTGCAAGGAACCTGCCTTCCAAATCAAGTTGAAAGCCTTCAAGGAAGCTGGTGATGGACCATAGTTCAAGTACAACACTCGAAAACTGCAGGAAGTAACTACAAAGGAAATCTTCACGTCAGCAATCAAGACAAAATGAGAGATGTCGAGGAACATCGCCGAACAAAGCTGTGTAGGAGAACACTGGAAGTCTTTGAAAGCTATGTGGAAAGAAACCTGCACAGTCGTATTAGGAAGGAAGAAGACAAGGACAAGACAAGGAATGGATCTTAGTGGATACATGGAAGCTGATAGAGGAGGGAGAGGAGGATGGTGAAGCAGAAGATGAACCAGTGCAGTGCAAGGATGAACGACGAGAAGAGGAACTGAGTACAATGTATAAAACACTACACTGGACAAAGAAGTGAAGAAGAGTGCACGGAAAGACAAAAGACACTTCCACGACACACTGCCAAGTGAAGCAGAACAGGCTGAAGGTAGGAGAGATAGAGACCTGACAACATTGTATCAAATAACCAGGTTAATGCCATCTGGGAAGGAAGAGATCAACGCAGACGAAACCAATAAAAGATGATGAAGGAAATTTAATTACGAAAGAAGGGAAACAGAGGAAACAATGGGCTGACCACTCCAAGAATCGACCAGCACCTGCACTTCGTCCAGAAAAACCACCTACAGCCCAGCCGCTGAACTACAAGTGAGCATAAAACCTCAAGAAAAGTGAAAGTCGTGAACGCCATAAAGCTACTGAAATGCAGAAAAGCAGCAGCAGCAGATGGGATCCCGATAGAAGCACTGAAAACAGACGCAGAGACAACAGCGGACATGCTCACACCACACCACTATTGCAGAAGGTGTGGAAGGAAGAGAAGGTACCTGGCCATTGATTGGAAGAAGGGTTACCTTGTCAAACTGCCGAAGAAAGGAGACCTCAGTGTTTGCAAGAACTGGTGTGGAATCACTCTCCTGTCCACCCAGAGCAAGCAAAATATTAGCCACATCATCCTGGAGAGGCTGAAGGATGCACTGGATTCAAAACTACTACCAGAACAGACTGGCTGGCTTCAGGAAGTACAAATCATGTGCCGACCAAATTGCAACGCTACACTGCGCATCATCATAGAACAGAGTATAAAATGGTAGTCAACTCTACACCTCAACTTTATCGACTTTGAGAAGGCCTTTGACAGCGTCAACCGAGAGGTAATTTGGAAACTGCTTCATTACTACGGAATACTGCAAACCTTTATCAGCCTCATTCAGCAACTATATGAAGATGCCACATGACAAGTAATTCACAATGGGAAGCTCAGTGATGCTTTTGAAGTGAAGTGAAGACAGGAGTGAAACAAGGTTGCTAACTTCCCCCATGATATTCCTGATTATGATCGACTGGACTGGATCATGCAGCAGACAACAGTGAGGAGCGAGAAGAGGGGGATACGCTGGCTGGACTGCGGAAAAGATCTCAGAAGATTTGGATTTCGCCAATGACTTGTGCTTGATGTCACACAAACTTGAAGATCTACAGGTGAAAACTAGCAAGTTGATAGAAGAGGCCAGGCAGCGAAGATGGGACTTCAGGCGAATATAGCGAAGACAGAAGTGATGAAGATACCGCACCAACAACTCGAACAACAACAACAAACTCCAGTCACCATCAACGGGAGAAACTTAAAGGAAGTAACCTCCTTCACCTATCTGGGCAGCACTGTTTCAACTACATGTGGCTGTGGCACCGACGAGGATGACGAAGTCAGAATCGGAAGACCAAGACAGGCGTTCACTAACCTGAAACCAGTGTGGAGATCTTCTGCACTCAGCATGTGGAACAAGATGTGGATTTTCAACACAAAGTCAGTCAAGTCAGTGCTTCTCTGTGATGGTTCAGAGACCTGGGGCGTTACGAAAGGCATTTCCAACAAACTACAGACATTCATTAACAACTGCCTACGCTGGCTCGTTACTGAAGATCATATGGCCAGAATAATAAGAATAAGCAAGAAGGAACTATGGCCGGGCAACGAACCAACCAAGAACCTATGGCTCAACAAATATGCAGTGGAAGGAAGTGGATATGGATTGCATTGGATTGGGCATACATTGAGAAGGTGGACTGGGGACATCAGGCTTCAGGCCAGGCTGTTGAGTGGAACCCCCATGGGAAGCGACGAATCGGACATCCGTCGGTGACATGGGGGAGATCGTGCGACGAGGAAATGAGAGCTTGTGGGCAGTTTTAGAGCCATGTTTTGAAGACTTCAGAGACGAGAGTGGAATGGAGACGTGCTACTGAAGCCCAATGTTCCATTAGGAACCCAAGGGACTAATAATAAATAAGAAAATAGGTGCATATTTCATACGTTTTCCTTCATGGTTTGTCTTCATTTTACTGACCCGAGTTGATGATTGAGATACCACTAGAAATACGTTGCTATCAGATATCTTGTATTACATGATCAAGGCAAATTTATGTCATTCTAGATATTGTCAATATGAACGGTGATGAAGATGATTAGAACAATTTTTCTTCTTACTCTTCTTCCTATTCTCCTTCTTCATCTTCTCACTTGGTTAACAAATTCTACTGTTCGGCTTGAACAGTGACAAAATGTTCATCACCCATCTCTGAATTGATAATAAAAAGAAATTTCAGTTTAAATTTCTATGAGAGTTTAATTGTTTTCAAGGCTGTATTCTTCATCGACTGATAACCAAATGGTACTCTATTGGTTCTCCAACTAATAACACTTCGTGACGAATACTACTCTAAAATAAAAATAATTACCTAGCACACTATGAACATGAGGAGTTCTGCATAATATGTATACTATAAAAGCAATCGCGTAAATCCCTATCTCCTCCAATAAGGTTCCGCCTCCTAAGGTGATATAAGATATCGCCTTGAGGTGTGTAGGAAAAGGAAAGCTCCTAGGAAAGAATCTTTGGTATTTTAGGCATTAGGACATGCGAACAGGTTTTCATGTGATTAACATTATTATTATTATTATTGTTGTTATCATTATTATTATTATATAGCCCTCGGGTTCCTAGTGAAATATAGAAATTCACTAGCACATTGCTATTTCACTCTCGTCTCTCCAGTCTCTTCAATCTCACTCCACCACTACCCATAACCTTCCATTTCCTACTCACACGATCTCCACCATATCATCCTCGCACACCCAACTCGTCGTTTCCTATTTCACTTCCACCTGATGGTATGACCCGACGCGTGATGTCATCAAACCGTCTTCACAGTATATACCCAATCCATCTCATCTCCACTTTCTCCTTCTACATATTTCTTGGACAATAGATTCTTGCTTCTTCATTGGTTGGTTCGTTGCCAGGCCACACTTCCTCCTTACTTATTCCTTCTCACCTCAACATCTGATCTTCAGTATGGAGTGAGCGTAGGCGGCAAATGTTGATGAAATATGTGTGCAGTTGTTGGAAGGAAATGTTTTTCGTTTTGTTCCAGCTCTCTCAAATATCACATAGAAGCAGTGAGTTGACTGACTTAGAGTCTTGCATAAAGCATTCCCAGCCGCTAAATTATATCCCACCTTCTACAACCACCCGATTCTAGGTGCAATGAAATAAAGACAAACTGCCTGATTCTACCACTTCTATGTGCATTTATCAATTCAACTGCTCCTGCGGAGGGATTTACATTGGGTGTACAATGAGGCAGTTCCATCGTCGAATTTCTGAGCGCCAACCATCATGGTTGAACAAAGGACAAATAAGAACAATGAACAGCTCCATACTTCCACACCTAGTTGACATGGAACACCAAGTGGATACTAGGAAAGCTTTGAAAATCATTCATCAGATTCCAAATAATTTACCACATGGATCACGCACTCGCGCTTACTTCACATAGCAGAGGTGATTACAATCCACCTTTATAAACCCCACCTTTGTATTAAAAAGAAGTTTATTCGACCACTTTCATTACCGTGGCCATCAACATGGTGTAACTTCTAGGTTTATTTTGTGCACCTCTTCCACTTCTTGTTTCTATCAATATTCATATTTCCTATTTTAGTAACTCTATTGATTATTTACATCATTATTTCCGAAACATCACCACATGATTGGTAATTTGATTAGATTGTAAACCCACATATATTAGTGTAGAACCCAAGATGAAGACCTAATTGAAAAGAAATATATTTCTTCGCTCAACCAGTCTTTTTCTAAATGTCTAAATGGGAATATTCAATGTATTGAAAATCCGGATGTTGTTCACGCCTTATGCTAAGTGCAGTGCAGTAGATCTCCATACTGATCTCCACAGATTAATGAAGGGGACGTGGCTTTGATATCCTCATCTGTGTCGCCGCCGCCGTCGCCTGTAGTTGAAATGATAATGCCTAGGTGAGTAGGTGAGTAGGTAGGTGGAAGAGACAACTTCTTTTCGATTTATCTTGTTCATGGTGATTGACGCTTGTTGTTGTTGGTTGGGTGTCTCCGTCACCTCTATTTTCTCTGCGTTCACTTGAGGGAAGTCCTATCTTCGCTGCACTGCCTCTGATGCCAATTGCGTACTTTTATTATATCCACGAATAATTTGTGCTTTGTGGAGACTTAATGTATTATTCATTCATGTACTTCAATGTTTATAAGGATTTTGTTATTAAGGTAGTATTCATTACTTACCAAAATCACTCGGATAACCACTGAAAACCTGGGAGAAGTGGGCACCTGTTTCTTCCTAGTATGGTTGAGGGCTCTTGATGACGCGGCTGGAAATCAGTCACAACAGCACAGATGTATTCACTCCTTGACATCTTCTGAAGCTTAAATATTATCTTTAGATCGTTTATTCTCTTTTATAACGTCCTCTACTTTAACATGAGTCTTTTTGTATTCTACTATGAAGTGAAGCAACTTGAGCCAACAAACTTCTATGAGAGGTTCTACGTTGATTTTGTTTGTCTTAGTATGGAAATCCTTCGCACTGCACACAACGCACCTGAAGTGAAACTCAAGGCCTTCAGGTTTCGCATTGAAAACCTCACCATTAAGCCACTGGGTCAGAATCCAATGGTCTATAGTTTCCCACTTCTATCAGCTCATGAAATAGCTTGACTATTCACCACAGCGTTCAGTAAACGTATCGAGGTGTATTGTTTGTTGGTCGAATTGCTAGACCTCTATCGACAGAAGAGCTCCTGTGTCCATTTTGGGAGGCCGAACCTTATTGGAGGAGATAGGGATTTACGCGACTGCTTTTATAGTATACAAATTATGCAGAACTCCTCATGTTCATACTGTGCTAGGCAATGTGCTAGTGAATTTCTATATTCCACTGGGAACCCAAGGGATAAATAATAATAATAATAATAATAATAATAATTTAGTAATGAGTTTACTGTAAGCCTACGGTGTTTTGCTGAAAACAATTGTTTACTATAATAATGAAGTGAGTCTGTATTATTGATTTTTCTTCATCATTGGAGATACTGAAAATATGTGTGAACTTGTAGTGCATCAATAGTTCATTTTCAATGTTCAATTTTTCTTGTCATGTTTTTTTTATTTAAGGTTATTCTAGATCTCTATGTGTTTACTGGTCAGAATCAAGTTATCTTTATTTTTATTCTTTGGATAAATTTACAAAATGTAAGTTTTCTTTTTCTATCTGTTAGTTATATTTAAGCAGAATACGAGAATGTTTTGTTAAACATACATTGAAAGGAATAATTGAACAATGCTGTTGAAGATTGGAGAATATGTATCTAAACATCTTCAGAAATAAATGCAGTTTGAAACTTTTGTAAGCATAAGTTTGAAACAACCCTCAGCTAAGCATAGGATAGAAGAATATTTGGGAAACTGAGGTAGATAAATTTGCGTGGCTGTTAGATAGGGATACAATAGAGCCGCGGTACAGAATGCGCTTTGAGTTATTAGTTTGTTTACTCAATGGGAGAAACTTAAAGGAAGTAGCCTCCTTCACCTATCTAAGCAGCACTGTTTCAACTACAGGTGTCACAGACGAGGACGTCAAAACCAGCCAGTATCAGAAAAGCAGGACAGGTGTTCATCAACCTGAAATCAGTGTGGAGATATTGTGCACTCAGCATAAAGCGTCAACAAGATTCAGATTTTCAACACCAATCTAGTCAAGTCAGTGCTTCTGTATGGCTCAGAGACTTGGCGCGTCACGAAAGGCATTTCCAACAAACTACAGACATTCATCAACAACTGCCTACATCGGCTGTTTACTGAAGCTCAGATGAGAAGGGCAGGAAGAATAAGCGACAAGGAGCTCTGGGAACGAATCAAGGAATCAAGAAGCTATCGCTGAACAAATATGCACTGGAAGGAAGTGGAGATGGATTCGACATGCACTGAGGAGGCCGACTGGGGACATCACGCGTCAGGCCCTCGAGTGGAACCCAGATGGGAAGCTACGAGTTGGACTTCCGAGGTGAGGGTGAGATGGAGGAGATTGTGCGAGGAGGAAATGAGAGCTTGTGGGCTGTCGTGGAGCCAGGTTCAAAAGATTTCAGAGAAGAGAGTGTAATGGAGACGTGCTACTGAAGCCCTATGTTCCATTAGGAACCCAAGGGACAAATAATAATAAAATAATAATAACTAATTGGTAATGTCTATCAATTTACAACTTAGTCACTCAGGTTTGATCCTCCACGTTTTCTATAAAAGTTGCAGATGCTTCTTGTGAATAAGTGCAAAGGAATGGTAAACTTTTATCAGAAGAAATAAACTTTAGTGAGGGCCAATCACGTCCAAGTGTCAACTGACCAGTCAGAATTAGGTATTTGAAGGACAACGTAGTTACTGAGGGAAATGGTACTTAGTTCACAATCAATAAATATATTATATTGATCTTGGTGTCTAGCAGAGGAATCTAAGACGCGTGTTTCATCCTATCCGGGACTCATCAGCTGGATGTACCTGCACTCCAGTAAGCTAGAGATGTTGTTCCCACTGGTACTCGAAACTAGTACCCATTGCTTCAAAGACCACAATGTTATCCACTGAACCGCTAGGTCACCATAGCTTCCTCTTATGCAACGGGTATCAGTTGTTATAATACTTTAAAAGTGGCTATCGTGCACTTGTGGCTTAGCGGATAACACTTTAATCTTTGAAGGGATGGGAACTGGATTTGAGTATCAATGGGAGCAACATCACTCACTGGGATGCAGGTACATCCAGCTGACAAGTCTTAAATAAGAGGAAACATGCGTTTTGGGTTCCTGTGCAAATCACTAAGGTGAATACAAAGTCATGAATATCCGGCAATGTACATTAACTTGATGGGATAATCCATTCCCGATAATAGGATGTCAGACTTCTAAGCCGCTATGTATACTGTATAGTACTCTATTCGACGCAGTTTTTTATTACTGACAGCATAGGTGGTTCTTCTGATCTATACCTTATCTACTGAAATTTTTCTTTCCCTGTATTTAATCGTAAATACTAAGAATCTTCAATTCGTCAGGACATATGTATGTAACTTACCCAGTCTTGTTAAAGTCGTCTTCCACAGTTATATGTACATTTGCGAACATCACTTTCACCTATTAATATAGGTGTAAAACTTGGTCACTATGGTAGAATTTAATTCCATATTAGATTTATTTATTTGATATACACCAGTCACAGTGATACAGTATCATCTATTCACTACTTGATGACATTTCCAAGATAACTCATTACGCCTCATAATCATATCAATGTGGAATCACACTACTCTCAACATTTGATTTTTATGTCACCCACCTCTTATTCTTTGTTGTTGTTGGTAGTTAAACCCTCCATATCTCTGGTATATATGGGTGTTGCGTCATCATTCCTATTCCACATGTGTTGGGTGGGTGTTGATTCGATGAAGAAAGATTCAGTAATCAATCTCTCTGTCTTGACCTGATTATATTGGACTTAAGTACAATGGCTTTATCCCACCGAATCTATTGTGTGGTTTTGGTTAATATGCATGCATTGCAATAGCCGAGTTACTTTCTAGATTATTGATCATATTCGGATCTGTCATTCCATATTCAGCTAAATTCCTATGTTCGACTATTCTAACTGACACCGACCGGCTGACTACTTTGACCTATGTGCTTGACCTGACTCACAGTCATTACGTGGAATTCGATAGATTCGATGATTTTGCTTAATTGGTTCAATCGGGTTCTTAAGCCAGCCGACAAAGCTTACCTCTGTGTGAGTTTGTTGGTTTAAATGCTACCATAACTAAATCCAGCTTTGTTGAAGATCCTACGTGAAGTTTCTGATCTACCTTCCTCATAGAGTAACACAATGGAGGCTGTGACTCCTTTTTACTCGTGTTGTCGTTATTATTATTATTATTATTATTATTACCATTAATATTATTATTATTATAATAACAGTAACACGAATACGAATACTAACGACAACCCAAGTAGAAGGGAGTTCACAGCCTCCATTGTGTTACCCTATAAAGAAAATATACCAGAAACTTTACGTAGGACGCACAACAAAGCAAGATATTCACACTCAATTTTGACCGAAGGCTGATAACTGGCTGAATAGGGTAGATGTAAATTCTGCTGATTTTAAAGGCCATGAAACACCCAATCATGTTTCTCTATTCTATGAAAAACGATCTTTCCAGACAAAATACTGCAACCTGATTGGTTATTTTTTTGGTTGGGTTAGGGTGTTCTTTAAAGTCGCCCGTAAATTGGGAGACTAAAGACCCCCTTAGCAACAACCAATCAAACTGCTTTATTTTATTAATATCTGTCCTTCCACCCGAAACGAAGAAACCTGATTGGCTATTTCAGTCGTTGCTAAGGTGGCCTTTAAAGTAGCCCGTAAATTTGTTCAAATTTATAAACTTCATTGCATTAGTACATTGATAATTTACTCTAGGCTCTTGAGAAAATGCCCAATAATGAAAAGGAAACTGTTAATAGTTGCGAGCCCTGTTGATTGGATCGAGGAAATCGGTAAGAAGCCCTGGACCTAGGTTTAGTACTTTTTGGCACTCTTCAGCAAGGCGTATCTGCAACCTCTACGGAACTGATGTCCCGTGTCACCCAGTGCTGCAGTTAGAGACGCTACCACTGAGCTATTTTGCCCGTGACTGACCTGCTTAGCTAATCTTTGTAAAGAACTAAATCCTGTGTCGAACGTTTTTGCCTATCTGTGAAGAAATACTAAAACTTCTTCTCAATAGAGGTGAACATGGGTAGCATTTGAAAGCATATATATCTGTTTTGGAACACAATACTGCTGTTAACTAAATGTGAACCCAGTGATTCATAGAACAAGAGTAACTGAAGAGCACTGATTAAGAGGAATCATTTCTTACTACTTATGGGTTTTTATCATTCATATTTATACTGGGTGGCTCAGCAGGTACTCACAGAACTTTCAGTAGAGTATTTGACTAACTTTGGAAAGTAGAAAGCACATTTAGGTTCCCGTTTCGAATATCTGCAAATAATGCGTTTTTCATGGGGATAAATTGACAGGTGTTGGATAGTAGCAACCTGAAGTTTGTTCAAACTACGAAAAGATGAATGTTATGAGTAGAACAGTTGATCTCGCACTCTTTCACTTTATTATTATTTGTCCCTTGAGTTCCTAGTGGAACATAGGACTTCACTAGCATGTCTCCATTGGACTCTGTTCACTGCAGTCTTTTCAACCTGGCGCCACAAATATCCACAAGCTTTCATTTCTTCCTCACACGATCGCCTGCATATCACCCTCGGGCGTCTAACTCGTGGTTTCCCCTTTGCCTTCCACTCGAAGGCCTCATGCGTGATGTCCCCGAATGGTTTTCTCAGTGTATGTCTAGTCCAATCCATCTCATCTCCACTTTCTTCTACATACTTGTTGGGCGATGGGTTCGTGGTTGATTCGTTACCAGAGTCCCTTGTTGCTTATTTTTCCTGGCTATCTGATTTTCACTATCGAGCGTAGGCAGCTGATTCTCTCACTGATCGTTGATTATTGTCCATCTGAAGAGTGGGGGGGAGGGTGGCTGCATTGCTCCTTAATGTCTCGTTTTATTCATTTTCGGACTACTTAGTATTTGAAATTTTACCCTGTTCTATGATTAAATTGTTAAATTTAGCCGGCGAATGTGTACCAGAGGAAGTACGGTACGTCGGTTCTTACATAACGCATATGTCAGTTGTGCGTTCAAGCTATCCAGTCAACACGAATCAATCTTATGCAAATAAAAAGCAACAGCAATCACAGGGATCAGATCCAGTCAATTCATGCAATGATTATCTATTGATCGGTCTTCAGTCAGGTTTAGTTATAGTTCAACAACTACAATCAGGTTAGTTATCTTGCATTTTTTTTGCGCTACAGTAATTTCAAGTTATTTTTATCCTGTTGTTTATACATACTCGTAATTTCACATTGCGTTACTCAGTCAAACTGTTTGACTTATGTTTGCAGATGCCTGGATACTGCGTAAATATTCAGTATATTGGTGTTTGATACAATGGGTGGGAACAATATCACTCAGTGGGATGCAAGTACATCCCACCTAACGAAACATGCAGCACTAAACACCAAGTAGGCTACAAAATTAGGTACAATTTGTTGTACTTATAGGATCGTTTAATTGATTCGACAATACCTCCGTTAACCATACGAATTATACTTAAATTTATGGTCAGCGTATAATGTTGCCTACCTCGTAGTTATTGATCACTTTCACGGTTTACACTTTTCTACCGATTTGTTTTTTATAACTATTGTCATGAAACAGATTTCTTCAAGTTTTACAAAGATACTTTCGGTTTTATAGATATTCTATTTTGATGCATATCTGTTACAAGTAAACTAACTATTATTTATTATTATTTTGTCCCTTGGGTTCCTAATGGAACACAAGGCTTCAGTAGCATGTCGCCATTTCACTCTCTTCCCTGCAGTCTTCTCAACCTGACTCCACGACTGCCCATAAGCTTTCATTTCTTCCTCATACGATCTCTACCACGTCATCTTCGTACTCCCAACTCGTCGTTTCCCCTTTGGATTCCACTCGACGGCCTGGCCCGATACGCGATATCCCCAAACCGTCTTCTCAGTGTGTATGCCCAGTCCACTCCGTCTCCACTTTCTTATTCTACATATTTGTTGAACGATAGCTTCCTGGTTGGTTCGTTGGCAGGTCAGAGTTCCTTGTTGCTTATTCTTCCTGGCCATCTGATCTTTTCCTTGTTCATTCCTCCACTTCACTGCGCTGGTTCATCTTCTGCTTCACCATCTTCTTCTCCCTCCCCTATCAGCTCCCACGTGCCAGTGGAGATCTATTCCTTGTCTTGCCTTTGTCTTCTTCCTCCCTAACATGGTTATGCAGGTTTCCTTGCACGTCGCTTTCAAAGAGTTGCAGTGTTCTTCCACGCAAGTTTCCTTAGGGATGTTACTTAATCTCTCCAATTTTTTTATAGTTTCGTCCTTCAGTTTCTGTTCTGGGTGTTGAACTTGAACTGTGGTCTATCGCCAACTTCTATGAAGGCTTTCAACTTGATTTTGAAGGTAGGTTTCTTGTACTAGATGGTGAGTGATGTAAAGCTACATCTGCTCCCTTTCTTGATCTTGTGTCCAGTAGGCCGTGTCTCCGCTTTCTACGCATTGGAATGAAGTTGGTCTGATTTTTAGTGTGGAGTGTCTGATGTCTTGTGAAATCCATGTCGCTTTGTAAATATCCTTGTGTTTGTGCACACTGCCTCAAATCACCAAATCATTGGAGGCGCAGAAGTCCGCAAAGAGTTCTCAATTCTCATTCATTTCACCGAGCGCCTCTCGAGTCATGATTGATTCTCTTCCTGTGTTGTCTGCTCCCAGTTTGGCATTCATGTCACCCATTAGAATTTTGATGTCGCCAGCTGAGGTCTTATCCAATGTTGATTGCAGTTGTCTGTAGAATTCCTCCCTCTTCTCTTGGCCCGCGTCTGCATTATTTGTAGGTGCGTAGTGTAGAATTGTATAACTTGACTTCCCTTCCTTTTGATTTGAGTGTTGCTGTCATGATCCTTCAGGAGGAGATTGATTCCCACTGCACGAGAGCATCCAATACTCTTGGGAACATCATGATTGTCACTCCGTCAGGGTGCTCATGGTTATCGTTTGGGTGACAATATCAGAGTAGATTATTGACTCTCCAGTTGACAGTTTGGAGAATGCACTTCCACTCCATCTGCTTTCGCGGATTCCTAGCACTTCTATGCTATACATTCTCTTGCAATCTGCGGAGCCTTGCCAGTCAACCAGTCTCAAACATTGTGTGGACATTCCATGTACCTATACCTACTTTTGCTTTCATCGAGAGAGAGAGAGAGAGAAGACACATTAGCCAGTTCGCTTCCCTGAAGGCTTCCATCAACCGGCGTCATTTCCACTCCCTGATTTCAGTGAAGAGTAAGTTTATTATTTATATTTTCTTTCGCTGTTAGATTGGTTTTCCGGGATAGAGTTGCTAGCTCTACGCCCAAACTTCCCTCTTTATACGAACTAAGGACCGTGTAGTAAACTAGACGGTTAGATATTTTATTATTATTTTCGCTTCCTTTCCTTTGTCTGTAATTATTGATTTCGTTAAAAATTGTCGTTTGTCAAGTTTTATTACTAATGATAATAGCATTATGTCTTGTATACTATACCCATCAAGCAAGAAGTGGCTATCGTGGACCAATGGTCTATTGGATAGCTCTCTGATGTTTGGAGCGATTGGTCCTGAGTTCGAATCCCGGTTGGGACATCACTCACTGTGAGGCAGGTATATACAGTTGACTGGTGAAACACAAAAAGGACGAAATATGGGTCGTGGATTCCACTGCTAGGCACTATCCTTCAATACTTTTGATAACAGTTTTAAGAGGTAGTATTCATCATGGACTAGCATCATTTGGAGAACCATTGAAAATTTTGAAGCACTAGGAAGCTGTTTCGTTCTAATATGATACTTCTAAGTACAGAGTCATTTGATCAAATTGAATATGATATCATCTCTTTCATGAACTTAAATACACTGAGAAAACGGTTTGGGGACATCAGGTGTCAGGCTGTCGAGTGAAACCGAACTGGGGAATGAGGAGTTGGACGTCCGAGTGTGACATAGAGAAGATGGTGTGAGGAAAAAATGGAAGTTTGTAGTCAGTCGTGGAGCCAGGTTCGAGAGGCTGTAGAGAAGAGAGTGAAATGGCAACGTGCTACAGAAGCCCTATGTCCCACTAGAAACCCAAAGGACAAATAATAACAATAAAAATATGTATTTGCAAGTGTTGTTTTACGAAATCTCTTATGTTGTATATTATTTACAGATTTTGTTCTAGAATAATCCCCCATAAAGACATACAAGAAAATGAAAACAAATGATTCAGTGAAGAGACTCTTTTTGCTGTGATTTTATTCACTAAACTATGCAATCGTATTTCTCTGATGAGAATATACAATTTGTTTCATAGGTGAAGGTAGTTAAAGCACGATAACAAGTAATGTGATGCAATCCAAACATCATTTTGATCCTAAAATAACCAAGTTGTCTAGGAATGTTGAAAAGCAATCAAGAGGCTTAGTAACTACTATTTATTGATGTACTTGTAACTCTCTGTTGTTTTATTCGATCGAATTGTTCAATCTCTGTTGGCATATAGGCTCCTATGCGAATGCCCCGACATTACCTGAATGTTAATTATGGTAATTTGATTGGTTGTGCCTAGCAGAGGACTCAAGGACGCATGTTTCGTCCTATTTGGGACTCGTCATCTGGATGTATCTACTCCTCACTACGAAGTGATACTGTTCCCACTGAGACTTGAATCCCGTACATTTAGGCAATATCGGGGCATCCGCATAGGAGCCTATATGCCAATAGAGATAGAAAAATTCAATCCAATAAAACAACAAAGAATTACAAGTACATCGATAAATAGCAATGACTGATGCTCATTGTACAAGAAGTGGCTATCATGCCCCCCTGGCCTGGTGGATAACGCCTTGGCGTTTGAAGTGATGGATATGAGGTTCGAGTCTCAGTGGGAACAACATCACTCCACACTGGTGTGCAGGTACATCCAGCTGACCAGTGAGTCCCAAATAGGACGAAACGCGCGTCGTGGGTTCTTCTGTTAGCTACAACCAAACAAATTACCACAATTAATGAGTAATGCTCAAGATATCGTAGTTAGTAAGTTGAGTAACATGGCAAAATATTTGATATTTATTTATCAGGGTTGATAATATGCAAGAAATGAGTGGAATAAGAGTTGGAAGGGGTTCGGGCGACGTCTTGAGACGCTAAAAATTTAGACAATGAATGGATTAAGGGTTGAAAAAGTTTCTTTTGTTTGCAAATCTCCAGCTTTACTATCTAAGTTACTAAAGCTTCAGGAATACAAAAGAAGACGGATAGGCACTGACTTTGGCAAGTTTCTTTTCCCTTTGTAAATACCTTTGTTAAGACTGAATGACCAGTGTCAACAAGGTGTTCCAGAATGACGCTGCATGTAGATCTACTGTCATCTCTTTATAGCCATGCAGGATAGAGTTCTTGAATCCTTTTGGACAGGATTCGTGACAAACGACTTGTATACCCAACTCCATAGGAACAGACGAACTGATATACACACATAGATGTCTTATCTCTTAGGATTTCGCTAAGTAAAAGATGTCTTCAGAAGAATTATTTTTAACTTCTCAATCTTGCCTCAGTAAAATAGTAGATTTCTCTCTTGCATTCATATTTCTGTTTTTTAAAGAACTTCTTTGCGATATTCTACTGACAATTGCTGGATTACAAAAAGATATTTCATTCTAACTAAACAATTTATGGTGACTGTTCACGTCGTTTTTTCTCATTCTCTTAAGTGTATTGAATCTGCAAAGTATGCGAAGTACTAACTTTTCAAGTGAATAAAACGGTTTCTACTTAGTACTAATTTTGTCTTCCATAACACTGAACATGACAAATGGTATCGCCATAACGTGAACTGACTGCAGTTAGAACCTGTTAACCACTGAACATCAACCTAATAGCTGAATGGTTAACGCTTTCACAATGAGATTTGAAGGTTTTAAGTTCGATCCCTGGCATGATGAGGTTGGGAGTGCCTACTGCTAAAAAGTCACTCCTGTAGCTGGATGAAACAGCTGTCTAGTGTTTTCAGATCTTCAGTGGTACTGTAACTGATGTTGGTTCGTGACAGAAAGCAACTTAGATATAATTATCATTTTATTTTAATATCTAGGTCGATATCTACCATTACTTCATACTGGATTGGGACCAATAGCAGACGCTAGTTTAACTATAAATGGTGATCAGATCAGTTTGGTTACTGCATGTTTATTAAACGAAAAAACCGAACGTTCAAGCTCAGAGGGGAACAATTTGAGTTTAAGCAATAACTTCACATTTGATGTCTATAATCTAGATCGTCAAAATAAGATCAGTTGGGAGAGACAATATATTACGTAAGTTTTAACAGGTTTCATTTTAAATGAAATATTTTTCATAAATTTAAGTAAAATTCCTTTAGAATCTACAATAAAAGTTTTATTCACTTGAAATGATAATAATATTATTGAATGGCAAAAGGAGATAGTTTTATCTTGGTTATATTGTTCTCTGAGAAATCATGACAAGATAACTGAGACCATAAGGTGGAACACGTGTGGCCACTCTCAAAATCAACAAATTCACTACAAACACTATGATACACACACACACACACACCAAAGGATGCAACAAACAAAAAAGACAAACCATATATCATTTACATAATCAACTCAAATAAACTAACTGTAGTCAACACTACATTGGACAAAGTGGTCACCCACATTCACCTTCGTTTACATGAACACTAATTGGCTGGTAGTTGTCACACACGATATTTCATCACTCGTCGATCAATCCACACGGATAACAACTATGGGGAGATGAATTGAATTTCGACAATGTTGAGATGTGTTGATGGAGAGAGGAAACACAAAGAATGTGATTAGGGAATTCCTAGAAGCTTGACATTCAGATAAGTTAGTCATCAATGAATAGCTGGATGTATGGAGGTAGATGCAATCTATCAATCAATGGGGAAAATGATAAGCGATAGAAAGGTGAGAGGTCAAGCAAAGGAACAACCAATGAGAAAATCTTTGACCTGATATCGAAGAATATCAAGGAAGGGAATACTATAGGGTCCTTATTTACAGTGGTAAAGCTGCTGATGAGTGCATAACCAATGTGCAGATATCCTTTTTTCAATAAATTACTTTAGCTATTTGTTAAATTTAAGTGTCATTACCAGATGTATCTATATATATCATTCAATTAATTCTACTATTCTAGGAAGAAAAACAAATTGTGTTGTCATGCCATAACTATCTTAACGTCAGATGATTCTTACAGTGTAAGTAAGCACATTTTTAAAAAAATTGAAATTTCATTCCTATCGCTACTTTTTTGTGATAATATTCATTCATTTCAGAACACTGGAGATCATGAAAACTACGAATCATATTACATAATTCATTGGAATTGACTATTAAGAATCTCTGTACTTAGATTTACGTTGGTTGAATTCAAAACAGTACAAAGAAACTGTAATACTTCTCTTACTACTTGGTCAACTTCTGTGAAAGCGAAGAATTTAGATCTCGATATTCCAAACAGTTGACAATAAAATGTTCAACACTGTATCCATTTACCAATGGTGTTAAAATATTCAATAATTCGTCAGGATCGGAAAATTAGACTTCAAGTGAATATAGAGAAGACAGAGGTGATGAAGATACCGCACCAGCAACTCCAACAACAAACTCCAATCACCATCAACGGGAGAAACTTAAAGGAAGTAACCTCCTTCACCTATCTAGGAAGTACTGTTTCAATTACAGGCAGCAGAGACGAGGATGTCAAAGTCAGAATCGGAATAGCAAGACAGGTGTTCATTAGCCTGAATCCAGTGTAGAGATCTACTGCACTCAGCATGTGGGACAAGATGTGGATTTTCAACACCAACGTGAGTCAAGTCAGTGCTTCTCTGTGATGGTTCAGAGACCTGGCGCGTTACGAATAAGATTTCCAATAAACTACAGACATTCATCAAAACTGCTTACGCTCACTACTGAAGATCAGATGGCTAGAAAGAATAAGCAACAAGGAGCTCTGGGAACGAACCAACCAAGAACCTATCACCCAACAAATATGCAGGAGGAAGTGGAGATGGATTGGCATGCACTGAGAAGGCCGACTGAGGACATCACGCGTCAGGCCCTCGAATGGAATCCCCATGGGAAGCGACGAGTTGTGCGTCCGAGGGTGACATGGAGGAGGTCATGCGAGGAGGAAATGAGACCTTGTGGACTGTCGTGGAACCAGGTTCAAAAGATCTCAGAGAACAGAGGTCACTGGAGACGTGTTACTGAAGCCCTATGTTCCACTAGGAACCCAAGGGACTAATAATAATAATAAATCGGAAAATTAAATCATAGGGTTTTCATTTAATTTACTTATGGATTAGTTTATATTCAGGATGATAAACTTTTTAATGTCACCATCTTAGGTTCATAAGGAAGCGAAAAAACTGATTTTGCATTGATGATATTTATCCTAGGTATAATTTGATTGATCGCTTAGCGAATGAGAACACTAGAGGCTGAAATACGCCTACGCTGTCACCAAGTGACCAATCAAATCAAAGTAAGGCAAAGTAGCACCTTATAAATATCCGTACAAAATCAATTATTTCATTTCTTTGTGAAGCTCTTATTCACTGATGACGGTATCCGATATGACATTTAAACGTTTTTGCTAAATGATACCTCAGCTCAGAGAACAAATCACATTGAACATCGACACCCTGAGCTATAAATAGACGTCAAAACTTTTGGATCGATCTATTTCAGCTGGGTCCATTTTAATATCTTTGTAAGTCCTTTTTGATCGTTTATGAAATATTGTATGATACGTGGATTTGTTCCTTCTTTAACGCAATTCTTTCATGTGAATAAGTTGGATACCTACTATTATTGTACTACAAACATTATTCAATAGATAATAATCTTTAACTTTTCAATGCACATAATACAAAAGAAATAATCATCAAGAACTGATATCAGTTTGAGAACCATTGAAAACCTGAAGCTATATTACTGTGTACACTTCATTAGCAACATGCTTCGAGATAGATATCCCAAATTTGTAATGAAAAGCTATGAATTGCATAGAGCCAATCATTTGGAAGTGAAGCGAAAGCTAACTGAAGACATTGGTATACAGTTGCGCTATATCGCGAAGTGATAAAAAGAGTAAACCGTGGACATTTCAACTCTGACTCATTCACTGAATGTTTAACGCGTTCGCCGTTAAATCTGAAGCTCCTGAGTTCGATCATCAGCCGGGTCGTGAATGCATACTGCTGGAGAGTCCTATGCTAGAGCCAAACAGCTGTAAAGCCCTCTCAGGTTTTCAGTAGTTCTTCAACTGATGTCAATTCGTGATGGATTTTATTATTATTTGTTATTTGGGTTTTTAGTGGAAAATAGGGCTTCAGTAGCACGCCTCGATTTCACTCTCTTCCCTGCAGTCTTCTCAACCTGGCTCCATGACTACCCATAACCTCTCATTTCTTCTTCACACAATCTCCTCCATGTCACCCTCACCTTGGATGCCCAACTAATCGTTTTCCCTTTGGATTCCACTCGAGCCCCTGGCCTGGCACTTGATGTCCCTAATCGACCTTCTCAGCGTATGCTTAATCCATCTCCACTTCCTTCCAGTGCATATTCCTTCAGCGATAGCTTCTTGCTTCGTTTATTGGTTCGTTGCCAGACTACAGTTGCTCCTTGCTTATTCTTTGTCGCCTTCTCAGCTGATCTGATCTTCAGTATGGAGTGAGCGTAGGCGGCAACTGTTGATGATATTTGTGTGCAGTTTGTTGGAAGGAAATGCTTTTTGTAATACTTCAAGTCTCTCAGACATCACTTAGAAGCACCTACTTGACTGACTTAGTGTTGAAAATCTGGATGTTTTTGTGCAGTGCAGTAAATGTCCACACTGATTTCAGATTAATCAACACTTGTCTTGCTGTCTTTCCGATGCTGGCTCTGACGTGCACATCTGGGCCGCCACCTGTAGTTGAAACGATGCTGTCTAGATAAATGGGTAGGTGAAAGAAACAAGTTCCTTTACATTCCTCCCATTGATGGTGATTGGTGCTTGTTAATGTTGGTGGTGGTAGTTGGTTACTTTCATCACCTCTGTCTCCTCTACGTTCACCTGAAGGAAGTTGCATCTTCACTACCCTACCTCTCCTGCCAGCTTGTTACTTTCGCCTGTAAATCTTAGAGTTAGTGCGACATAATACATTAGACATAAATCATCATTGGAGAAATGCAAGTCTTGTGGGGCCTTTTCACCGGTCAAACAGTGTTTGCCTCTCTTCTCGCTCCTTACAGTTTGTTGCATAATCTAGTCCACCACAATCCGTGATGAATACTACCTTAAAAACTAAATCTGCCTGAACCTCAAATTACAGTGAACTTATTCTGTAGTACAATGCCTAAAGTTTTATATTACACTGGGTTTAAGCAATTCACAACGTTTTTTTATAACTTTGAAGCATTTCAAAAAGTAAACAGCCTTTCTTATCCAGTCAACGTCATCGAAAGCATATCAGTGGCACTCTGCATAGCTCTACTTACTGTAGACTTTCACCCAGTCAGGTAAACTAATAAGGTAACAAAAAAGATGTTAAAAGTGGCTTGAAACCAAGTTATATCTAATTCCAGTTTTATTCAGATAAGATCACTTTTAAGACTTAGAAAGTGACTGCTTAAACGACTGTTGACTCGGTTGTTTGCAAATTTGTACTCAATAAACTTTCTTCGATCTACCATTGAATAGACTTATCATTTTCTAAAAATTTCTCGATCTCATTGCATCCTAGCAAATAGGCGAATACAATGTATTGTATCTAATCACAAAAAAACTTAAGCAGTTGACGTAATCAGTGTTGTTTGGTTCACATTCGAGAGATTATGATATTCTAAAAGATGAAGCCAAAATTATTTGTGAAAAACTAGTGACTAGATATGTAGTCTCTTTTACCTATCTAGGCAGCACTGTTTTAACTACAGGTGGCACAGATGTGAATGTCAAAACCAGGATTGGAAAAGCAAGACAGGTGTTAATCAACCTGAAACCAGTGTGGAGATCTACTGCACTCCACTCAAATAAAGCGTCAAGAACATCCAGATTTTCAACACTAATGTCAAGTCAGTGCTTCTAAGTGCTTGAGAGACTTGGTGCGTTATGAAAGTCATTTCCAACAAACTGCAGACATTCATCAACAGCTGCCGCCTACGCTGGCTCGCTTCTGAACTTCAGGTGGCCAGAAACAATAAGCATCATGAAACTCTGACCTGCCAAGGAACCAACCAAGAACCAATCGCCCAACAAATATGCACTGGAAGGAAGTGGAAATGGATTGGATTGGGCATACACTGAGAAGGCCGACTGGGGACTTCACGCACCAGGCCAGGTCGTTGAGTGGAACAGAGATGGGAAGCGACAAGTTGGACGTCCCAGCTGAGGGTGACATAGAGGAGATCGTGTGAGGAAGAAATGAGAGCTTGTGGGCTGTCGTGGAGCCAGGTTCAAAAGGTTGCAGAGAATAGCGTGGAATGGAGACGTGCTAGTGAGGCCCTATGTTCCACTAGGAACGCAAGGGATAAATAATAATAATAAGCGACTAGATATAACTTCACAATTATTTTAATCTCCAATTCGCTTTTACAAAGTTACAGAAGCCAGTTAATCTGAAATAGAAACTTTTTACCTTGGTTGCATTGTGTTCTCTGAGCTAGGTTCTTTAATCGTGAAGCTTTCATCGTCTTTCTAGACAGTGACATCATCAGCACTAACTTCACTATGAAGTGAGATGTCAATTTCTCTCCACGAATGATTTTGTAGATTGCTCTAACCATCTGGTTTGTAAATGATGGTTTCTCTTGATTGTTGTGTCATTGACCAACTACATACATCTTCCCATTAGCTGTTCCTCTCCTTCACTTCTCACCTTTCTATCGCTTATCATTTTCCCCATTGATTGATAGATTGCATCTACCTCCATACATCCAGCTATTCATTGATGACTAACTTATCTGAATGTCAAGCTTCTAGGAATTCCCTAATCACATTCTTTGTGTTTCCTCTCTCCATCAACACATCTCAACATTGTCGAAATTCAATTCATCTCCTCATAGTTGTTATCCATGTGGATTGAGCGACGAGTGATGAAATGTCGTGTGTGACAACTACCAGCCAATCGGTGTTCATGTAGATGGATGTGAATGTGGGTGACCACTTTGTCCAATGTAGTGTTGACTACAGTTAGTTTATTTGAGTTGATTATGTAAATGATATATGGTTTGTCTTGTTTGTTTGTTGCATCCTTTGGTGTGTGTGTGTGTGTGTAATAGTGTTTGTAGTGAATTTGTTGATTTTGAGAGTGGCCACACGTATTCCACTAAGTGGTGTCAGTAATCTTATCGTGATTTGTGATACATCTTGTTTATGTGTTGTGGAATGATGCGTTTATTGATTTCTGTCGATGACTTTGTAATTGATGATGTACAGGATAGGCATCTAGAAAGATGATGTAAGCTTCAGGACTAAACAACCCAGCTCAAAGAACACAATACAACGGAAACCATCCACCTGAACTACAAATATTCCCCATCATTTCAAAACTTTTTTATGCTTTTTCAACACTGAAATCAGCATATCTTCCTTGATTTGGTTTTTTTTTGTTCGTTTGTAATTTCTATGTCCTTATCCTTTGTATCTCTTTTATATTTTATCATAACTAGATTATTGTCTGCCTAATCTCAGTAAGGGATATGCTAATCTTTCCATTCAGTATTCAACATCTTAAACAAGAAAATATGAACCATTCAACAAACGATCACATTTGTAGAAATCAACAAAATTCTGATCTTTACACTGATTCTAATCGATTTTGGCAAAATGTTATACAGATTAGCTTACCAAATCCATATGAAGTTAATTTATGCTCTGGAACTATCAGTTTATTCTCAGAAAGAAATGAGCAATGGATTAATAATACTGAATTATTTCATCAATTATATCTTGTATCGTATGGATCAGAATCGAATACAGAAGATTATAATGATGATAATGATAGAAATCATGATGATAATCAAGAGTTAGAAAAGCAGAATACAAAATATTACCTTTGGATTCGAGGTAGATACAATAAATATATGGATAATATTTACAACTTTTTAAAAATGTTTCTTCAAGTCTAATGAGTCAACATTTATGTTATCAAGTTGACTAGGCATAAGAGTAAGAAGCCAAAACTTGAATATTAAAGGGGGTCAAAGTAGGAAAGCTAAACTGAAGGCCGAAATGGTACATAGACTTGGATTTCTTAAGTGAATTCACCAGGAAAGCTTAAAAATTGTTTTTGAACTTGTTATTGCTTGTATAACACCGTTGTTGATTGGACCGAGTTGATCAGTCTCTGTCCCGGTAGGAACAACATCACCCCTCACTGGGAGGCAGGTACATCCAGCTGACTGGTGAGTTCCAAATAGGACGAAATGCGCATCCTAGATTCCACTGCTAGCCACCGCTCATCAATACTATACATAATTATAAACGTGGCTTACACTTCTTAATGGCTTAGGCCTGGATAAATTTAAAGATCCATCCCTAACATGTTATGTAAATAGGTTTAAAGGATGTTGGAAACGTAAATCCTGTGGTCTATCTAACGATACGTTTCATAGTTAATAAGCTTCGATGTCATTTACCAACATTTATGCGTTCAGATGTTTCGATTTGTTTTTGAACTCTACTCACTCCTCACACACTTTGATCCAAGTATATTTTACTGTTAGCTTATACTTATGATTGAAAGGACTCACTGGAACCAAGTAATCAGCAGTTGTCTTAAGTAGAATCTCTCGTCTTTCAGTATAGTTAGTTGGATTCGGTTTAACTGTTATATTTTTATCCTAATATAACACTTCCGTGACGAATACTAACTTGAGATCAATAAAATGAATCCCCACAAATCTTCAAATTGATTTACTCCACGTAAAGTTTTGCAGTGTAGAATAAATATGTCGTAAATCATACTGTACATCAGAAGACTGAGATTCCTTGAAGTCAATAGTCATAATTTCAATCTATGTGGTATACATTCAGATGTATTTCACAATTTCAAATAGTATCATCAGCCATCTCACATCGGAAATACAAAAAATGTAGTTCCATATTAGATTTATGTATTTCATATACAGCAGATATAGTGATACAGTATACCATTTACTTGATGACGTTTCGAGGATAAATCAGCATTGCGTATATCAATGTGGAATCACACACCTTTGCACATTGAATTTTCATAGTCCTGTCACATTAATCTGTTTTTATTTATTAGTAGTAAAATTTTCCATATCTCTAGTATAGCTGTTGCGTCATTTCTATTACATGTCCTGGGTGTTGATTCGATGAACAAAGACTCAACAACGATCCGATAGAACCAATTAAGCAAAATAATCTAATCTGTTAAATTCCATGTCATGACTGTGGGTCATTTAGAACAGTCGAACATAGGAATTTAACTGAATGTAGAATGACAGACCCGAATAAGATCAATAAACTAGAAAAAAAACTCGTCTATTGCAATGTATCATTTATCAATTATCATTCAACAGCTCTATATGAAGACGCCAAATGCCAAGTGATTCACAATGGAAAGCTCAGTAACGCCTTCACAGTGAAGTCAGGACAGGAGTAAGACAAGGCTGCCACCTACTATCACCCATGATCCTCATGATTGTGGTCGACTGGATCATGCAGCAAACTTTGAGGAGCAAGAAGACGGGCATACACTATTTGACCGATGAATAGACCCTAGAAGATTTGGATTTCACCCATGATGATTTATGTCTAATATCTAATGTCGCACCAAGTCGAAGATGTACAGGCGAAAAGTAACAAGTTGACAGAAGAGGCATGGCAGCGAAGACAAGACTTCCTTCATGTGAACGTAGAGAAGACGGAGGTGATGAAGATACCCAACCACCACCACCACCACCATTAACATCCACAAGAACCAATCACCATCAACTGGAGAAATCTGAAGGATGTTGTCTCGTTTACCTACCCACCTATCTAGGCAGCATCGTTTCAACCACAGACAGTGGTGGCGGCACAGATGACGTTGCCAAAACCAGGATTGGAAGAAAAGGCAAGACGTGTTCATTAACCTGAAATGAGTGTGTCGATCTTCTGCACTCCACTGAGAAAAAAGCGTGAACAACATCCAGATTTTCAACACCGATGTCAATTCAGTGCTTCTATATGCTTCAGAGACTTGGTGCGTTACGAAATTCATTTCCAACAAACTGCAGATATTCATCAACAGCTGCCACCTACACTGGCTCGATACTGAAGATGAGAAGAGAAGGCTAGAAAGAATAAGGAAGAAGGAAGTCTGGGAATGAACCAACGAAGCAAGAAGTTTTCACTCAACAAATAAGCAGGAGAAGGAAGTGGAGATGTATTGGATTGGATTGGGCATACACTGAGAAGGCCGATTGGAGACATCACATGTGAGGCGAGGTGGTTGAGTGGAACCGAGATGGGAAATGACGAGTTGGTCGTTTTGAGGCGAGAGTGACATTGAGGAGATGATATGAGTAAGAAATGAGAGCTTGTTGTCAGTGTTGGAGCTACGTTTGGAAGACTGTAGAGAAAAGAGTGGAATGGAGTCGTGCTACTGAAGCCCTATTTTCTATTAAGAACCCAAGGGACAATAATAATTTTATGCATGGTAACCCATAACCATACAATAGATTCAATGGGATAAAGCCACTGTACTTAAGTCCAATATAACTAGGTGGCGATAGGGAGAGACCGATTACTGAATCTTTGTTCATCGAACCAACACGTAGAATAGGCATGATGACGCAACATTCATATATACCAGAGATATGGAGGATTTAACTACCAATATTACCAAAGAATATGAGGTGAGTGACAGATTTATGAAGATCAGATATTGAAAGTAGTGTGATTACACATTGATATGATTATGAGGCGTAATGAGTTATCCTGGAAATGTCATCAAGTAGTGAATAGATGATACTGTATCACTGTGACTGGTGTATATCAAATAAGCAAATCTAATATGGTGTTAAATTTTACAACAGTGCCCAAGTTCTATACTTTGTACTAACTTACCTGTTTTGATAATATTACATTCCAATTCAATGTTCTAGTTAATTACACTGGACAACATACCAGCGAAAATGAAGTGACAGTTTTAATGAGTTGATGTTGACTTACACTAAATAGGATGTTCTGTCGCTTGAAAACTTCCTCCGGCAACTTTATGAAGAAATAATTGTTTATGTTCAACTCTTTTTTCCTGTATTGGAATCGGTCAGCGCTGATGAGAAGACTGTGTACAATTTAACAATGACTGCTATCTTCACCATATCCTAATGATTTTCTCTAAAGCGATTAAGAAGTATTGTAATCCAACCAAAAGTGATTTATGTATCTGGTTATCAGGAATCATATGGAAGAACATGATGCCTACTAAGAAAAACTGTAAAATTATGCTTTAAACTAGCAAAAGAAGCTTTGGTAAAATAACTGACGAAATATTCCCGTTTATTCATTAACATGAACAAGGCATGTATCAGCGAAGAAGAAGCATTTCGTTTCAACAACTTCATCATATCAAACTGTACAGTCATATTTATACTCGGTAAAATGACAGATGATTGCATTGGAGACTTGCTTAGTCAATATACAAAATATACAATAGTTGATGGTGATGGTGGTGGTGGTTATTTGTTCAAGTGGAAGAAATAGAAAATGGATCACTGAATAATAAGTGGTGAGATAAGAGACTTGTTTTGTCAAAGAATTGTAAAACGATGATAGTTTAACTGAAACATACAAAGTAGGTCAATGAATAAGGCAACGAATTGATACTAACCAATGAAATATGGGTAAAAGGTGTTATTAATGAAGTGGGAATTGATGATAATGATGATAATAGGAGAGAAGTGTAGCAGAGTGAAGTGAAATGAAATTGACATAAGTGACCGAAATGAATAATTAAGACCAAGGTAGAGAAAGTGGTTTCACAAAACATTTTTGAATGAAAAGTTTCGATATTTGTTTATGTATAGCTAATGCTTTAGCTATGCATAAGTGATGGAGACGTAAACCTTTGGAGTAGTTCAATTTAACTTCGTAAAATATTTTGAAGGATGAATCTCGATTTGCTGAATGACCTAATTCTACCAGGTGTTCACACATACATGAAGTCGTTAATTAAACGTTCAATTTTCTAAATGTAATGTTAAACAGAAGAGACGATGGCTCAAATCAAAGGTCAATCTATCGAAAGCCAACCTGCACCGGACAGTTCACCAACGTCTATAGTTCGATACCTCTCAGTTGCAAAAGACAAATCTCATTCACTCACTGTGTTCCACAATCTATGAAATCTGTTCAGAAGACACGGTGGATGTTGACATTGAGACTCTTAGAACAACACCATCGAATAACGGATATCCCGTCACACTTCATAAGAAAATCACCATGAATTTGGAATTCAAAAGAGACATCATAGTCGAAATGGTAAACAAACCGTCTGTCAAAGTGTATGAATAGTACCTTCTATGCTCCTAGTCTCAGACTGACATTCTTCAGCAACAGTCGATTCAACAATAGGTTAAGGATAGGCTACCACTTACGTCCACATATTTTTTGTGTCTACAAATTCATATACTCCTGTAAAGCTGACTATATTGGACATTGTGAGTGCGTCCTCTGAAGACGTGTTGCTGAACATTACCAGGTTTGGTGAGTGAAGGGAAACGACTTCATCTGTATTTGAACACCTAGTAGAGTTACGTCGCTCAGCACATCGAGATTCTTCTTTCAAGTTAATTTACAAAATTCAACTGAACTACTCCAAGGGTTTACGTTTCCACCATTATTGCATAACTGAAGCATTAGCTATACATAAACAAATATCGAAACTTTTCATTCAAAAATGTCTTGTGAAACCACTTTCTCTACCTTGGGTTTAATTATTCATTTCGGTCACTTTTGTCAATTTCATTTCACTTCACTTTGCTACACTTCTCTCCTATTATCATCATATCAATTCGTTCCTTATTCACTGATCTATTTCACATGTATCCCCGTTTTACAATTCTTTGACAGCACGTGTCTGTTATCTCACCACTTGTTATCAATTTAACCCTCCTTATTCAGTGATCCATTTTCTATTTCTTCCACTTGGGCATATACCACCATCAACTATTGTATATTTTGTATATTGACTAAGCAAGTCTCCAATGGAATTATCTGTCATTTTACCGAGTATAAATATGACTGTACAGCTTGATATAATGAAGTTGTTGAAACGAAATGCTTCTTCTTCACTGATGCTTGTCATGTTTTTGTTCATGAATAAAATAATTGTAAAAAATAAACCTACTTGTCTTTAGTCATTTTTGTAGTTAAGTTCATACATTTTCATTCACATATTTTTCAACAAGGAACTAAATATGATCCGACGAATGAAGATACACTTCAATCCAAGCTTTTTTATACCTGTTTGCAGTAAGTAATATTATTCATTTATGTATTTTATTGAATTATAAATACTTATAGTAGATTATGTTTGAATGTGAAAGCGTCTTATTCGTCATGTTATGCAAGAAGACTACCTTTAACTCAGATAGTCTCCAGGCTTTTGAGAACGAACACTGGGCTTGTCAATGAAGTGCACTCTGAAATACACTACACTGTTACCTGAGAACAGTTTAGCAAAGCTATTAACAAAAGGAAGGGATATGTGTTTTTATGTATATACACGAACACTATAAAATGTCTTAGTTTTAAGTGTATCTAACTCGGGGTCACTGGTTCGAATCCTGCCACAGGCCAGATTTCCATTTCACGTTCAATCATCATCACTCAGTATTAATACAACCATGCCAAACTATTGCTATCTCAGATAGTTAACCCGTTAATCATAACTATTTGAACGGTGATAGCTAGCATTGGAGTCCAAGAGATAGATTTCGAGTTAATCTGGACTTGTCACACCGGCACACGCATATCCCAATGAGTAATTGAAGTCTCAGTGAGAAGTTGGGAACGATCGCATCTGACCTCGAAATAAATCTAAACACCAGTCAGTATAATTTATGATCATTGATGTGACTAGCATATCATGAAACTGATTTCAAGGGAATTTCAGGCAGACAGACGGATAAAATCAACCTAGAACTTCACAGTTGTATACAAAGAACTAGTGGATGGAGAAAAACTGATGAAAAAAAAGTTGACAAAGTTGCATAGGTGAAGAAGAAATTCAAAAATCAAGGTTATTTGAGACTGGTTCTTATAGTTTCAGGCATCCAAAGAGCTTGAAGTATACCTTTAGATGTCATACAACACGCTTTACTGAATATATTTATTACTACCGTTCTGATTCATCATCAATAGGGATGAAATAAAGTGAATTCTTAGATAAGGTAGACTTTGTTATGAATTAAAGATGATCTTAACAAAGGGGGATTTTATGACCCATTAGCACCAATAAGTATGTGACAAAAATAGCAGCTTTTAAGACGTTTTACCATTGGAATCTAAAGTATTAACTGTATAGTGATGTGTTGAATATGCGACATGGCAATCTCTGAACTGATCCTATTTCTAAACAATGTTCTAAGTGTTCAGGAGTTTGGAATCATAAGTTCTCTAGTTCATGTCAATCTGTAATAAGAACTATCACGAAATTGGTTCACTTATGTTAAAGTTTGTATTCGAATAATAGTTTTTCAGCTAGACTGGCTAAAAAGCTCCAGTTAGACGCCAGTTTTGTGATAAGAATTACACTGTATATTTGATTCTTATTTCTGTCAGAACCTTTCTGATATCGGATTTATTCGCGGGAGAACCTAATAATTGAGTTCTAGTGGTTCTCTTACTCTCAGAGCTTAATATTTCAGTACGCAGAATTGTTATTTTATTTTTTGAAGTTGTTTTCAGTCCTATTTTATTATTATTTTTTTTCGTTTGGGTTCCTAGTGGATTCAGTAGCACGTCACCATTACACTCTGTTCTCTGCAGTCTTTTCAGCCTCGCTCCACAACTGCCCACAAGCTCTCATTTCTTCCTCATACCATCTCCTCCATGTCACCCTCGCCTCAAAACGCCCAACTCGTCATTTCCCATCTCGGTTCCACTCAACCACCTCGCCTCACATGTGATGTCTCCAATCGGCCTTCTCAGTGTATGTCCAATCCAATCCAATACATCTCCACTTCCTTCTCCTGCTTATTTCTTGAGTGAAAACTTCTTGCTTCGTTGGTTCATTCCCAGACTTCCTTCTTCCTTATTCTTTCTAGCCTTCTCTTCTCATCTCATCTTCAGTATCGAGCCAGCGTAGGCAAGTTTTCAGTCCTGCTTCCTTTTATTTATGAGTGTGTTTTTTTGAGTAGAAATAAATTTATCATTTGAATAAATGAGTAAGACAAAGAAACATTTTGCATCGAATTAAATGTTCACCCTCTCCCACGAAATTTTTAGCACCAAGAAATTTGGTTATATATCTCAAAATATCTGTGCTTAAGCTGAAAAATTCTTATAATTGTGATATTTTCATAAAATTGTTTGTCTTCTCACTTTATGCTTATTTCTTAAGATTTGAACCAGTAGAAACTGTAACTGATTCAGTGATGTCGATAACAAGGATAAAGATGAAGAACCATATATAACACCACTTCAGGCTTATTCTAGGAAATTATTGCAGAAAAGGTAAAGTTTTCATGAAATATTGAGTTACTAAAGATAATAATGATTACTGATATGCTTGTTTATTTTTATTGGATCGAATTGTTCGACCTCTATTGGTATATGAGCTCCTATGTGGACGCCTCGATATTGCCTGAATGTTAACTATGGTAATCTGCTTGGTCGAGGCTAACAGAAGAAATCAGCTTGACGTGCATTTCATCCTACTTAGGGCTCATCAGTTGGATGTACCTGCACCACGGTGTGGAGTGATGTTGTTCCCACTGAAACTCGAACCTCATATCCATCACTTCAAACGCCAAGGCGTTATCCACTAGGCCATAGATGGACGACAGCCACTTCTTGTACAACGAGTATTACTCATTACTATTTGTTGACGTACTTGTTATTCTCCATTGTTTTATTGGATTGAATTGTTTGACCTCTATTGGTATATGGGCTCCTATGCGGACGCCTCGATATTGCCTGAATGTTAACTATGGTAATTTGCTTGGTCGAGGCTAACAGAAGAATCCAGCTTGACACGCGTTTCATCCTATTTGGAACTCACTGGTCAGTTAGATGTACCTGCACACCCCTGTGGAATGACGTTGTTCCCAGTGAGACTCAAACCTCTTACCCATTGTACAAGAAGTGGTTATCGTACCTACGTGGGATAGTGGATAACGCCTAGGTGTTTGAAGTGATGGATACGAGGTTCGAGTCTCGGTGGGAATAACATAACTTCATACTTGGGTGCAGCTACATTCAGCTGATGAGTACCATATTGGATGAAATACGCATCAAGCTGGATTCTTCTGCTAGTCAGACCAAGCAAATATGTAGATATCTTACTTTTGAACATTAATAACCATTTTTGAAATGGATAGATATACAGAGTCCTCAGTTGATGCTATCGGCTGATTAGTTTTTCTTTGATAATGATGATATCTAAAGTTGATACAAGGAATCATTCAATTGTGCCTTGTTAAGGTAAACGAATTTTGCAATAAAGTATTTCATTAATCATCTATGTTTCCAATCTTCATACAATTTGATGCCAAAAAATGACCATTTTTTTTAGATTAGTGTAGAATTATTGAGTAATCCTGCAGTTATTAGTTAGATAAGGAGTACTGAAATGAACTGGATCATGTTGTTCTATGAAGCTAATGAAACTAAATTGATCCCTGTCCTAACCATTTACAGTGAAAAATACAACCAGAATGAACATCAATAGGTTTCTTGATGGCTTCATTGAAGAAGTACTAAAATATCAAATATATGGATTATTTTCTAAAATCATTCAACAGTTACGCTTTTTGAAAGACTCATGCATTGGTAAACTCATTTTCTAACATTGTGTGTAGTCTGATTGCCTGAAACTGGAACATCCAGGGGAATGACTGCATTCGCCGATAGATGGAAAAAATACGCTAGAGAATATCTTTTCTAAACTATGTCTGCATCTAGTAATGATTTTATCTGATGACTTTGGTTGTAGGAAACGACGAGGTGGAAGCGAAGGAAGGAATGTTTATTGTTGACATCTTGTACAGTAGTCATCAAATATTGTACACCTTCCACTAAGATAATCATTTGCACAATGTGCTTCACTTCCTCTTCTGCTTCTATCTTAATTTTCTCTTAATGTGCACACATTATCTCTTACGTTTCTCCAGGAAGAATCTTTACCAATTGCTGGTCATTGCCTATGATTTCTGCCGCTCTTTCAAGATATACTACTTATATCCATTCTTATCAGCAACGCCCACTGCACTCGTCCCCCTCGTCAAAATTTCAGGCTTGTAGGCGTGTTGATCGTCTTGGTGCTGTCTTCTCTTGGTGTTCATCCAAACCTTCTTCTTCTTCCTATCGTCTCCTTTCTCTTTGTCCCCTTTTTCGGTGGTTTAAACTGAACCGCACCTCTCGGTAACCATGTATGGTCCTTCCTACTTCGTGGGCAGTTTTTTCCTGTCATATTCACTTCCTGATATAGATCCTCGTTCTATACATTTCACCTAAAATCCAACCTCAAACAGTTTCAATTTACTTCCTTGTGTCTGCTCGGATTTTTCAGTCTCAGCTTTCTCTCTTTGTTCTACATTTCTGATTGTCTGTTTCCGCTGCTTTCTCAATCTTGTCATGTTCCACGGCTATTGCTGGGACCAAGTCTTATTGTGTATTTGGAGCCGTGGTTTCCTACCATACAGTAACTGGAACGATGACTTCTTGGTTGTTCCTTGCACAGAGGCACGATGGACTAATAATATTAAAGGCAGTTCCGTCTACTAATTCCCTCCGTGGCTTTTGAAGCCAGCCACTCCTTAAGTGTAGAGTCCGACTTTTGAAGGCGAATAGGTCTTAATGGGTCCCGTTCTACTGCATATACACCATATGCAATCTCAGTTAGTTTGTTTTCTTTGTGTGATTGGAATAAGAAGTCTGCCAACCAGTTTTCTTTCCAAAAAACGTGGAATCGTACTCTTGCAGTTGTAACATTTAATGTGATGATTTTCCTCTATGGTCATTCGATTTTTAACCACTATGGAATCGTCGATCAAGGAGGTACGATTTTCATTTGTCAAGCGGCTAAACTATCGCAAGACATTCTCTTGATTCATGCATAATGTATGAGCAAAATAAATAGTGAATTATATACTTAATCTCAATGAAATATGTTGACACTTCCAACTGCCTTAGAGTTTTCATAATGTCATAACACTAGACACATGAAAGTTAATTTTAATGTCTTATATATCTCCATACTATTCATTCAACTGTGAATCGATTTTTTTCAATAGTTAATGTGTAATTAAATTTTGAGGGAGTTGTAGAGATTTGGAATTATTTCAAGTTGTTATTCATCGTAGACTGACATCAGTTAGAGTGCGCATCAGTTGGGTGCGCACTGCTGAGGAGTCCTATACTAGGACGAAACAGCCAGCTGTCCAGTTCTCCCAGGTTTCCCTTGCTCCCCGAACTGATGTCAGTCTACGATGAATAACAATTTGAAATATTTCCAAATCTCCACAACTCCCTCAAAATTCAATTGAACTGGTGCTCATTGGTGACTAGCTTCGAGAAGTATTCCCGAAGTTCCAATGAGAAGTCGTGACCGGTGGAGTCAAAGCTTGACGGTTGTGAGAACAGATACTCAACGATGACATTGGGTGGCGGTTGCGCTATATATCGTGAGCTAAGAGAAGTTGGAAATATGGAGCATTGACCCAGTGGCTCAATGGTAACGCGCTGGCTGCGGAACCTGAAAGTTCCGGGTTCGATCCCTGCTGGTGGGGTGGTGGGTGCGCACTGCTGAGGAGTCCCGTACTAGGACGGAACAGCTGTCCAGTGATCCCAGGTTTCCTTTGTTCCTCCAATTGATGTCAGTCTACGATGAATAACAACTTGAAATAATGTGTAATTGTAGTGTTGATAACGTGTATATTTAATGCTTATAAAGTGAATGCTATAAAATTTCCAAATTTCTGTGTACATTAAAAAGTAATCTCTGTAAGCAAATCGACAATTAATATCCAATAAAAACAGTCATCTTAGCACAATAGATTTGATCCATTCTAGAAATATCAGAGGTTTATCATCAGCTATTTTGAAATTGAGACAATTTCGTTATCAAGTAAAACATGTTTGTATACTTGACCTAAGTTGTTCGCAGAAATTTGTTGGCCCCAACAAGAAAAAAGGATTATACATATACGATATATCTGAAGACATATGAATAGGTGTGAGTAAGTTACGTTCCTACCAGTTTGGGAAAAATATGGTCGATGCAGTTAAAAATCATATTTTGGTTTTGTGTATGATAAACCATAATCAGCCATGTGTATGAGTGTTAGATAAGCCCAGATTCTTGAAAGAAGTAACTAACAAACAAACTTATCGAAATGGTGGAGAATATTTGTAGCTCAACTGGATGGTCTTGGTTGTATTGTGTTCCCTCTACTGGGTTGTTTAATCTTGGAGAAGCCTTCATCGTCCTGCTAAACAATATCATCAGCACTAACTTCAGTATGAAGTGAGCTGTAAATATCTCTCCACGAATGATTTTGTAGATTGCTCTAACCATCTGGTTTGTAAATGATGGTTTCTCTTGATTGTTGCATCATTGACCAACTACATACATCTTTCTATTAGCTGCTCCTCTCCTTTGCTTGACCTCTCACCTTTCTATCGCTTATCATTTTCCCCATTGATTGATAGATTGCATCTACCTCCATACATCCAGCTATTCATTGATGACTGACTTATCTGAATGTCAAGCTTCTAGGAATTCCCTAATCACATTCTTTGTGTTTCCTCTCTCCGTCTAACATTCTACACTGTCGAAATTCAATTCACCTCCATAGTTGTTATCCATGTGGATTGAGCGACGAGTGATGAAATGTCATATGTGACAACTCCCAGCCAATCGGTGTTCATGTAGATGGATGTGAATGTGGGTGACCACTTTGTTCAATGTAGTGTTGACTACAGTTAGTTTATTTGAGTTGATTGTGTAAATGATATATGGTTTGTCTTGTTTGTTTGTTGCATCCTTTGGTGTGTGTGTGTGTGTATCATAGTGTTTGTAGGGAATTTGTTGATTTTGAGAGTGGCCACACGTTTCCACTAAGTGGTCTCAGTAATCTTATCGTGATTTGTGATACATCTTGTTTATGTGTTGTGGAATGATGCGTTTATTGATTTCTGTCGATGACTTTGTAATTGATGATGTACAGGATAGGCATCTTGTGATAAGGTTTCGTGCGTAGCCGTTCTTCTTTAGGTTGGACATCAGGTAATTCTGTTCGCTTCGCTGTGAAGTTGCTGTGCTGCAGTGTAGTGTGTTCTCACTCTTTTGAATGGAGTCTGCACTGAAGTTTGTGCGTTGTTGGGGTGTTACTACTGTAGTTGGGGATTTGATCAGTCAATGTTTGCTGGCTTCCCGTACATTGGGGTTTCCAGTTTTCCGGCATTTATCCTACTGACTAGAACATCCAGGAATGGTAGTTGGTTTTTTGACTCCTTCTCCATTGTGAATTTGATGTCATTAATGAAAACGTTTGGCAGTTGTTTCAACACTACGGAGTACCACAAACCTTTGTCAATCTCATTCAACAGTTATATAAAAAGGCCGCATGTCAAGTGATTCACTATAGAAAGCTCAGTAACGCCTTCACAGTGAAGTGAGGACAGGAGTAAGACAAGGCTGCCACCTACTATCACCCATGATCCTCATGATTGTGGTCGACTGGATCGTGCAGCAAACTTTGAGGAGCAAGAAGACGGGCATACACTATTTGACCGATGAAAAGACCTTAGGAGATTTGGATTTCACCCATGATGATTAATGTCTAATATCTAATGTCGCACTAAATCGAAGATGTACAGGCGAAAAGTAACAAGTTGACAGAAGAGGCTGGGCAGCGAAGACAAGACTTCCTTCATGTGAACGTAGAGAAGACGGAGGTGATGAAGATACCCAACCACCACCACCACCACCATTAACATCAACAAACACCAATCACCATCAACGGGAGGAATCTGAAGGATGTTGTCTCGTTTACCTACCCATCTATCTAGGCAGCATCGTTTCAACTACAGGCAGTGGTGGCGGCACAGATGACATTGCCAAAACCAGGATTGGAAAAAAGCAAGACGCGTTCATTAACCTGAAATGAGTGTGTCGATCTTCTGCACTCCACTGAGAAAAAAGCGTGAACAACATCCAGATTTTCAACACGATGTCAATTCAGTGCTTCTATATGTTTCAGAGACTTGGTGCGTTACGAAAGTCATTTCCAACAAACTGCAGATATTCATCAACAGCTGCCACCTACACTGGCTTGATACTGAAGATGAGATGAGATGAGATGAGAAGAGAAGGCTAGAAGGAATAAGCAAGAAGGAAGTCTGGGAACGAATCAACGAAGCAAGAAGTTATCACTCAACAAATAAGCAGGAGAAGGAAGTGGAGATGGATTGGATTGACTGGGCATACACTGAGAAGGCCGATTGGGACATCACATGTGAGGCGAGGTAGTTGAGTGGAACCGAGATGGGAAATGACGAGTTGGACGTTTTGAGACGAGGGTGAGGAAGAAATGAGAGCTTGTGGTCAGTGTTTGAGCTACGTTTGGAAGACTGTAGAGAAAAGAGTGGAATGGAGTCGTGCTACTGAAGCCCTATTTCCCACTAGGAACTCAAGGGAAAAATATGATATAACAACTTTGATTTTTCTTGATGTAATAAAAAAATATTGATTTTAAAAGAAATGTGGGTTAGAAGTGTTCATTCCTTATAACTGACAAAGGAGTATCAAGTTGTTATACTTTTGTCTTTGTGTCTAAATTTTTACGATGATAAATGTTTAAACTGAAATATGAAAAGGATATACTAAAAAGTGTAAAAATTCCTTCATCCATTGTCTACTAATTTTAATGAATTATTGCGATATTGTTTGTTCAACAATCGTAATGTCGTAGAAAGAAAACCGTCTGCCATTCTTGAATATACTCCTAAATCGTAGAAATGATGTTTAAGTAAGACGGTGAACCTACAGGAAACCTACTTGGACAGGTCAGTATTTAAGTTTCCATAGTTTTCGTCCAACCCAATACAAGCGAGGTTTGGTAACTTGCCTGTTAAAAAGGATCCAGCGTATTTGTACCGAAGACTCAATGGATGATGATATCATAATACTAGCGGAAACACTAGTGGAAAATGGATATGCATTGAAGTTCATAAACCGCTGTAAAAATCAGTCAAGACTGAAACGTATTCTGTACTCTGCTTCGAAGAAATGCGTTTACGTAGCGTTACCATACAGAGGAGAATGTAACAGCATAATATTGAAACGAAGGTTAAGGTGTGCTGTTAGCAAAACGTACTATGCAACTAAGCTTATCGTAGTTGAGAAGACCAAATACCTCCTACAACATTAACCTCAACGCTGTATAAACTATTTTATCGCACTCCACTGCGCTTATAAATTTATTTGTGTTTTGAGGGAGTTGTGGAGATTTGGAAATATTTCAAGTTGTTATTCATCGTAGATTGACATCAGTTGGGGGAGCAAGGGAAACCTGAGAGCACTGGACAGCTGTTTCGTTCGTTGGCCGCGGAATCTGAAGGTCGCGGGTTCGACCCCTGGTGGTGCGGGATCGTGGGTGCGCACTGCTGAGGAGTCGTATATTAGGACGAAACAGCCAGCTGTCCAATTCTCCCAGGTTTCCTTTGTTTCCCCAACTGATGTCAGTCTACGATGAATAACAACTTGAAATATTTCCAAATCTCCACAACTCCCTCAAAACTCAATTGAACTGGTGCTCATTGGTGACTAGCTTCGAGAAGTATTCCCGAAGTTAAAATGAGAAGTCGTGACCGGTGGAGTCAAAGCTTGACGGTTGTGAGAACAGATACTCAACGATGACATTGGGTGGCGGTTGCGCTATATATCGTGAGTTAAGAGAAGTTGGAAATATGGAGCGGGTCTATCCCTGGTGGTGCGGGGTCGTGGGTGCGCACTTTTGAGGATTCCCTTACTAGGACGAAGCAGATGTCCAGTGCTCCCAGGTTTCCTTTGTTCCTCCAACTGATGTCAGTCTACGATGAATAACAACTTGAATTATTTGTGTGTCGACAAACATACATAGGGATGTTTAATCTTGATATGCACTTGAGAGCAGGGGAACATGTTCCTATATGGCTACAAAAGCAGCTGGATTCACAAACGTCTATAAGTGCAGGTGGCAGACAACCGTCATCATCTATTACAAAACATATCACTTATAAGAGTCACAGGATTGATATCAAAATAGCCTTAGCAATTTTGTTGAGGCGCTAGCTATAAATAAATTTAACCCTCCATTGTGTGTGCAAAAACAGTTTGTGCCTACATTAACCCTACCTTGGTTATGCTTATTTTATCGTATCGTACCAAGATTGTCTTCAAATCTTATCTTTTTTTTCCTCTCATTATCTTCCTTATTATTGAATTCCTTTATGTCATACTTATCCTTCTCCCACTTCCAGTTTTCATATATAACAAGTAAATGTGTGTAGGGGATCAGATTCTTCGAAATGTATAGCGCAGATATTCTACATCTTCTAATTAGAATATCCAAATTCATAAAATGGATTAATTGTTTCAAAATCTACTATCAGTTTAGAAAAATCTCTTGAAAATGAGGCGATTACTTTTGATAACATGATCATTCTGATTACAACTTAGTTATGTTCAAGGTTATGAATTGAATTAAACAGCACACAGACAAGTGAAGAAGCGTATAGGATTCCAGTTTAATATTGGTGATATAATAACCTCCATGGATGAAGTTGTCAAAGTTACAAGTTTATTTTCACTAAAATATGTGTTAAATGCATAACACATCTTCATATAGTATTTCGCTTCCTTTATATAAGTGTTCTTCAGTAGCGAAATTTCGTTTACAACTTAAATTTACTACTATCAAATTAATATAAAGTCTATGTTACTTTTTTTCTAAAAAAAAAAAATTTTTTGTAGAAATTCCAGTGAAAATATAAGAAGGCAGATATTTCAAAAAGTTTGGGAACAATTACCATCTGAAAATCTTGTACTAATTAATTTTTCTAATTGGATTTCCATTACATTCATTCATTCTGTTAACCTTAAACAAATAAGAATTAATTTACTGGAAAATAAAATCTTTGCTATAATTATATTTGTCATGAGTATTTTGAACGATAATCTCTATAGAAAACTATAGAAGTGATCTTATCGTCTATCGATATATAAAAAAAGAAACATTTCCAATTTCTTTCGAGGATTTCAGCTTAAATTTATTAATTATTCCTGATGAGAACGCTATTCGAATAGTAAGACTGATTACTTAGGGTGACTAAAATACTCACTACCAAAATCTTTCAGTAAAGACTCAAACATACGTAATGCATACTTCTCTATTGCTTTTTAAGAATCAAGAGGTAACTGAAATCAGTCGAAGTTTGAAGCACACTTCAGAAGAGATGAACTGAGGTATTGGCATTTTTTTGTTTTAAATATCTTTCCAGGCAGTAGGTACATCATCATTTAAAATGTTTGTTAGAGTATATATGGCATAATGTATTAACATATTTCCTAAGTAGGTAACCTGAAATATGATCCAACTTGAAGCTTTATAGAAAGTTCAGTGATTTGAGCAAATCTCAATGAATTTAGTAGAACAAACTTTAATTGAATGAAACTGGTATCATATACATATCTATGAAATAAATGCACCGATGTCTGTTCGAATGATTAACGTGACATCTGCTATCAATAAAGTTCACTTAATCATCAAACAATTAGAAAGCACACGTTTAACATTTTGACTATATGAGATAGCCATAGTGAAATGGAAATTTAAACTGCAGTCGGATTCGAACCACCGACCATTGAATTTTCTATCCGATGCTGTTATCAACTGAGCGAAGAAATTTCCATTTCTATTTTCTGACTTGTAGTGGAATCCGGGATGCATTTTTCGTATTATTTGGGACTTCTCAACTGGACGTACCTATAATCCAGTGACTGACATTGTTCGCGTACTAAATAATGCTAAAAGTAGACACACCTAGATTAAATCTTTGGACTGAATGAATTTAGTGCTGTCGAAATCCTTTAAAGCCATTAACAGAGGCTAGATTATCATCCTATAGATCATGTGTAAATACTTTTCTTGTGATTAATCGCAGTTTAAAATCCTAAGGAAATGCTTAAAGACTGATGACACAGTTGTTGACTCAACTGCTATGAGCGTGACATATTTCCTCTTAGTAAATTATCAGTTAATGAAATCTGTAAAGTTGTTTGTGCACGAATATGCTTTTTCTCTTAACACTAGCGAATTTATAAACTTGCTTAAACATTCACAGATCCTGCAAAAAAATAGTTTGTTTTCAACTTCAATTTCTTCATTATGTTCTTATCTTCAAACATCGACATTTCAAGCTTCGGAAACTGATAATGTTTGTAACATTTCACTTCTATTTCTTAGGGGTTGATTCGTGATTTTTTAAATTATGCGTTTTGAGTTGTTTAAGAAGTTACGAATCATTAGGAAGATTAGGGATATTTAGTGATACGTCTGTAAGGATGGCCGAATAGGGGATATTGGGAAAAAGTAAGTGAGAGGCTCCCAAAGGTTAAAAGTAAATATTGTAAATCTGGTTACTAGAGAAGAGTTATAAGATATTATAGGTGTCTCAGAAACAGAAAGACAGCGAGCGGTAGTGCTCTGAGTATGTTACCAGTAATCCATACTAACTAACGCAACTATCTAGCCTTTTGAATGGGTCTACTGAGATGAATGTGACGAAGTCCCGCGGTAGAATATTTCATTAAGCACCTCTCTTCAATTTCTGGCCAAATAAGGCAACAGTATGAAGGAAAAAACACATGAACCGCGTGCTTAGCTTATAACACAAAGTTTTCATCAAAGTTATTTCAGCTTGTAATAACAATTAATGTAGATAGACAGAAAAAATAGATGGAGAACAACAGCATTAGCGTAACTTCTCATCAACTGCTTACATTCTTGAACAAATTTTGACATCAATTTACATCAGTAATGAAGGATAGCGCCTAGCAGTGGAATCCAACTCGGTACGCATTTTGTCCTACTTGAGACTCACCAGTCAACTGGATATACCTCCCTCCTAGTGAAAGATGTTGTCCCCATCGGGACTCGAGCCCGGGACTGATCGCTTCAAAATTTATACACCACACCACCTAGTCACGATAGCTACTTCTTGTGCGACAAGTATAGTTTTAGTATTGTATTATACCGTTCTTGATTGGACCGAATTGATCGGTCTCTACTGATATATGGGCTCCTGTGCAGATGCTTCGATATTACCTGTGTTAAAATTAGTGATGGATAGTGGTTCATATACCAATAGAGACCGATCAATTCCGTCCAACCAACGACGGTATAATACAAGTAACGATACTAATTTACATAAGTGCTTACTAAAGGATGCGCTGGATTTAAAACTACGACCGGAACAGACTGGCTGTCTGGCTGGATTCAAGAAGAACAAATGATGCGCGGATGAAATAGCAACACGACGCTTCGAATCATCATAGAACAGAGTACAGAATGGCAGTCAACATTCTACCTCAACTTAATCGACTTTGAAAAGGCTTTCGACAGCGTCGACCGAGAGGTAATTTGGCAGTTGCTTGAACACTACGGAATATCACAAAACTTTATCAACCTCATTCAATAACTATATGAAAACGCCACATGACAAGTAATTCACAATGGAAAGCTCAGTGATGCCTTCGAAATCAATTGTAGACATGAGTAAAACAAGACTGTCTACTATCACCCACGATATTCCTGATTGTGGTCGACTGGATCATGCAGAAAAACAGACAGGAGAGAGAAGATGGCCTTACGCTGGACCGATGAATAGAGCCGATGGTGATTTATGTTTAATGTGGCATAAACTCGGAGATTAACAGGCGAAAACTAACAAGTTGACAGAAGTGGCAGTAAAAACGGGACATCAGGTGACTGTAGAGAAGACGGAGGTGATGAAGATACCCAACCAACAGCATCAACAACAAACACCACTCAATATAAACTGGAGAAACCTAAACGAAGTAGGCTGTTTTACCTACCCACATACCTAGGCAGCATCGTTTCAACTACAGACAGCACAGGCACAGATGAGGATGTCAAAGACACCATCGGAAAAACGGCAAGACAGGTGTTCATTAACCTGAAACCAGTGTGGAGATCTTCTGCACTCACCATAAAGCCTCAACAAGGTCCGGATTTTCAACACCAATCCAGTCAAGTCAGTGCTTCTCTGTGATCCTTCAGAGACCTGGCGCCTCACGAAAGGCGTTTCCAACAAACTGTAAATACTCATCAACAACTGCCACCTGCGCTGACTCAATACTGAAGCTCAGATGAGATGTCTAGAAAGAATAAGCAACAAGAAACTCTGTTAACGAACCAACTAACCAAGAACCTATCACTCAACAAATATGCAGTGGAAGGAAGTGGAGATGGATTGGATTGGATTGGATTGGGCATAGATTGAGAAGGCCGATTGGGGACATCACGCGCCAGGCCAGGCTGTTGAGTGGAAGCCAGATGGGAAACGGTGAGTTGGGTGTCTGAGGTGAGGGTGACATGTATGAGATGATGTGAGGAAGAAATGAGAGGTTGTGGGCTGTCGTAGAGGCAGGTTGAAAGGATTGCAGAGAAGCGAGTGGAATGGAGACGTGCTACTGAATCCCTATGTTCCACTAGGAACCCAAAAGGACAAATAATAATAATGTTACATATTTGATAATTTTTTTTAAAAAGAAAATAGCCAAGTGTTGAACTGTTTAGTAGGTTTCCAGTTTATTTATCTCTTTATATAACAATTATACAGTGAAGAATCATACTAACTTTTCGTTCTCATTGAATTTATATTACTTTCATGTTGTATTGATTCTGCACTTAATGGACGTATTGTATTCGTGTTGATAACATTGAAGACTGAGTTCACCACATTAGGATTTCCTTGAATAATTGAAGATCTTTGAGTACTAGACACTGGTATACGTCCAGTTGATGTTACAATTATTGATGTTTTACTCTTTAAAACTGAACTAATTGAACGTTTACTTGTATTCAATTGAGATTTAGGTGAACGATTCTTTTTCAATACTCTTGCAATATGCTTGAAAGAAGTTAAAAAGGCAAGGCAGACAAAAAAAACTTGATTGAAAAATCTTGAAAATCATCATATTCCACACATAATTAGATTAAGTGTGTATATGTGTATTGATGTAAAACGTAGCTATTGTTCATTTGTAATTGTACCATAGTTTTAAATGCAAGTTAAAGGTGATTTATCATTTGGCTATATGAGATAGCAACCGTAGTTTGACAGACTAGTGTTTATACTGGATGATGACTAAAGGTAAGATGAAAATCAGGACCGCAGCCCAGTATAAATACTAGTCTGCCAAACCATGGCTATCTCATATAGTCAAATGATAATCAATATGATGCTCCTCCGACCTCCCCGATTTACCTAGATTTCGATTTTGATGAAAAGTCCTCACTAGACAAGCAGCCAATATGAATACGATCAAGTAGTAATAATGCTTCATGAATTCACATTGTAGTCGTTGGGAAAAATCTCACTTGTGACTGAAGTGCAATAAAAATGTGGTCAGTATTCGGACCTCATAGGTGAGTTGGTAGAGCACCGGGCCAGTAACCCGGTGGTAACTGGTTCGAATCCAGCTGCGGTCTAGATTCTCATCTCACCTTCTATCATCACTCCGTATAAAGGTTATTCAATTAAGCGCAACATAACTGTCTATAATGAATATTTTCAAGTTACATTGCGTCATGTTCCACGGACTATCGACGATCATTAAAATAATATTTCATGCAACTAATCTCTTTCTGACATTTTCTAGTCGATGAAGGACAAGTTATTGAGTTTTGCCACTTTCATGTGTATCTACCAATTTAATTGGTTCTGGGAGACATTTATATTGTACGTAAGACTAGGTAACTTAACCAATTTATTACTAAACACCCAGCTTCATGAGTGAGAAAAACGTTTAAATCTGTTAGAAGCTGAATTTTGTTGCATCTAGTTGACAGTCATCAGAAATAAGATAAAACGAGAGCGTTCAAAATGATTTACTGCATCCTATTGAAACTTCCCAATAAAGTCCGAACTCACCTTCTACATATTATTATATTGTTACTTGTCCATTGGGTTCCTAGTGGAACACAAGGCTTCAGTAGCACTTCTCCATTCCACTCGGTTCTCTACAATCTTTTCAACCTGGCTCCAAGACTACCCACAACCTCTCATTTCTTCCTCACACAATCTCCTCCATGTCACACTCACCTTGGAAACCCGACTCGTCACTTCCCATCTGGGTTTCACCCTATGGCCTGACGCGTGATACCCCGAATGGTCTTCTCAGTGCATGCCCAATCCATCTACACTTCCTTACACTGCATATTTGCTGAGAGATAGCTTCTTGGTTGGTTCGTTGCCTGGCCAGAATGCCTTGTTGCTTATTGTTTCTGGCCATCTTAGCTTCAGTATCGAGCCAGCTTAGGCAGCTGTTGATGAATGTTTGTAGTTTGTTGGAAATGATTTTCGTAAAGCGCCGAGTTTCTGAACCATATATAAGCATTGACTTGAGTGAATCAGTTATGAAAATCTGGATGTTGTTCACGCTTTATTCTGAGTGGAGTGCAGAAGATCACACTGGTTTCAGATTAAGTAACGCCAGTCTTGCTGTCTTTCCGATCCTGGTTTTGAAGTCCCCATCTATGCTACCTGTATTTGAAACGATGCTGCCTAGATAGGTGAAAGAGACAACTTCATATAGGTTTCTCCCATTGGTGCTGATTGGAGCTTGTTGTTGCTGTTGTTGGTTGGGTATCTTCATCCCCTCTTTCTTCTCTACGTAGACTTGAAGTTGCGTCTTCGCTGCCTCTCTTGTCATCTTGTTCCCACTGTATGAGAGCCTTCGATGCAATTGGAAACATCATGATTGTCACTCCCTCCGTGTGCTCGTGGTTGTCGTCTAAGTGACAATATTGGAGTAGATTATTGACTCTGCAGTTGACTGTTGAGACAGTCCACTTACATTCCACCTGTTGTCGCAAATTTCTAGCACTCCAATGTCGCACCTTCTCATCTCGTTCGCAATCTGGGCAGCCTTGCCAGGTTTAAACGTAGTGCGTACATTCCATGTCCCCACGTTTATTTCTGCTTTCATCGAGAGAAGACATATTGGCCAATTGACTTCCCGAAGGCTTTCACTAACCGGCATCATTTTGTCTCTCGGATTCCAGCGAGGAATAAGTTTATTTTTTATATTTTCTCCATGCTTTGAGGTTTGTTTAGCGATTGAATTGGTTTTCCGGGGTAGGGTTGCTAGCCCTATGCCCAACCTTCCCTGTTTACCCAGGCTTAGGACCGGCTAGTAACTGGTGAACTACTTAACCAGGCGAGGTTACCTTCCACATATAACCGAGGCTGTCTATAGGAATTTAAATGAGTAATCTGAAGCCCAAAAGAAACTTGAATAGCCTACATCCTTGCTCTGGCCAGGGAAAAATTTACGAATCACCTCACCTACGAATTTTTAAAATGCTTTTCCTCCTTTCTTATTTCATTTTGTCACCCGTTTCACACTACTACTATATTTATACCCAAATTTCATTAAGCCACTGACTTCATCCTTTTGTACTACGCTACTTTACTGTCCTTTTCCAAACTCTAACCTACTCTCTTTGGGTTATATAACGAGGAGAAAGTCACTGATGAGCTACATGTGGTATTGTTTCCGGAATACAATGTATGACATTGAATGCTTTATCAGTATCTGTATGGCACTCTGTGTTTACTAGACGAGCTAAGACAAAACTTTTTACTGCTCTCAGTTCATCTTTTTTAAACCAAACCGGTAAATGTTCTTGCATCCTGAGAGGCATCTTTCTAATCGAACGCTCTATGTAACTTGTTCCACAGGAACAGTTAGACCGTTATATGCAAGATGAAGAGCCATGATCAGGTAAGCTATCCCTTAGTTTCGGACTGATCATTAGCTAGCTACTGAATGATATGCAGAGCCGACCTGTATAAAATTTCTGTTGATTTCTCTACCTAGGCGTTGTGATAGAATATCATTTGTAGAGTCTTCCTTGAATTGTAGTCCAAGAAACAAAAGTTTTCCCACCGCCATCAATTCTCCTTTAGTACCACTGTGATTGATGTTAGCTTTGGTGAACTTATCCGGATATCCCGTTCCTGTGGAACAAGTTACACACAGCTTACGATTAGGCAGCTTCGGATACAAGAAAATTTACCGGCCTGGTTCACAAAAGATGAACTGAGAGCAGTGTAAGGTTATGTCCTAGATAACCTAGTAAGCACGGAGTATCATATAGATGCTAATCAGACTTTCAAAGTCATAAATCCGGTACCAAAAACAATACCACTTGTATCCCCCTAACGCCTACTAAACATCGGTGACGCTATCGCAATAAGATTGATTAAGCCTAGACTTTGTATTCATACAGGACGAGTTCAAACTTTACTCCTCCCATAGCTATCAGTAAACAAAAGGTTGCTCCTGTCTTGTTTATGCATAATCTTTTCTTTGAAACATCACATTCACGATCTGTGAATTTCATCTAAATACTGATAAAGTTAAAGAGAGAAACTGATTTCTTTACAGTCCCTAACTCTCATTTCATTCTGGAAATGTATTCAACCTCAAATCTGGCTTGTTTTTATGCCATACAATTGCACTGTAACCTCGCCTGATTAATTAGTTCACTAGCTACTAGCCAGTCCTAAGCCCGAATGAAGAGGGAAGATTAGCCATAGGGCTAGCAACCCTACACCAGAAAACCAATCCAATCGCTAAACAAACTTCAAAGCACAAAAAAATATCAAAACCAAAAATAAATTTATTCCTCTCTGGAATCGGGGAGATGAAATGATGCCGGTTGGCGAAAGCTTTCAAGAAGCCAGTTGACCGATGTGTCTTCACTCAATGAGAGAAAAAGTAAATAATATAGGGACGCGGAATGTCTGCACAATGTTTGAAGCTGACTGGCTGGCAAGGCTCCCCAGATTGCAAAAGAAATGAGAAGATATGGCATAGAAGTGCTAGGAATCTGCGAAAGCAGATGGAATGGAAGTGGACTCTCTCAACTGTCAACTGGAGAGTCAATAATTTACTCTAATATTGTCACCCAAAATAAAACCACGAGCACACTGAGTTTCGGAATGGCTATTGTGATGTCTCCAACAGCATCTAAGGCTCACTGTCATGCGGTGGGAACCAATCTCCTCCTCCAGGATCATGACAGCAAGATAGAAATCAAAAGGAAGGAAATTCACGATCATTCAGTGCTACGCACCAACAAATAATGCAGATGAAGAGGAATTCTGTGAACAACTACAATCAGTAATGGACAAGACTCCAGCCCAGATGGTGACATCAAAATTTTAATAGATGGTGTTACACGAATCCCAAACTAGGAGAAGACAACCCAGGAAAAGGACTCATCATGGGTCGAGAGGCACTCAGTGAAATGAATGAAATGAGGAACTCTTTCCAGACTTCTGCAACTCCAATCATTCCGTGATTCGAGGCACTGTGTACAAACACAAAGATATTCACAAAGCGAACGACATACATTAGATTTCACCAGATGGACACACTACACTAAAAATCACATCCACTGAACCTCAATCTATAGAAAGTCGAGACACAACCTACTGGACACAAGATCACATCAAGAAGAGGAGCAGATGTATAGGTAGATAGGTTATCATCACTCACTATCTAGTGCAAGGAACCTATCTTCAAAATCAAGATGAAAGCCTCCAAAGAAGCTGCTCATGACAGACCACAGTTCAAATTCAACACCCGAAACACAAAGTGAACTGAAGGGTAAACTCCAAAGAATATCTTCACGTCATTCAGCCATCAGGGGAAAGTGGGAGACATTGGGCAGCATCCCTTAAGAAACCTGCATGGAAGAACACTGGAACTCCGTGAAGGAGATGTGGAAAGAAATCTGCATAACCATGTTGTGAAGCAAGAAGACAAGGACAAGACAAGGAATGGATATCGATGGACACATGCGAGCTGATAGAGAGGGAAGAGGAAGATGGTGAAGCAGAAGATGAACCAGTGCAGTGCAGTGTAGTGTAGTGTAGTGTAGTGTAGTGTAGTGTTGTGCAGTGAAGTTCAGGGATGAACAAGGAAAAGAGGAACTGAGTACAACCTATAAAACACTACACTGAAGAAAGAGGTGAAGAAGAGTGGACGGAAAGATGAAACAAACTTCTATAACACATTTACTACTGAAGTAGAACAGGCTGCAGGAAAGAGGGGCAGAGACCTGACAACAATATGTGTCAAATAACCAGGTTACTATCTGGGAGGGAAGAGATCACCACAGCACAGATGAAATCAATGAAAGATAGTGAAGGAAACTTAGTTACCACCAAAAAGTAGAAACAAAGGAAACGATGGTCTGACCACCCAAAAAACTCTCGAATAGACCACCATCACTCGCAACTCGTCCAGAAATACCACCATCAACCCAGTCACATAAGTTTCAGTGAACACAAACCCTCACACAAAAGCAGAAGTGAAGTCCTGAACGCCTAGCTATAAAGTTGCTCAAATCCGGGAAACAAGCAGGACTAGATGGAATTTCTCTAGAGGCACTGAAAACAGATGCATAGACATTAAAATCAAACATGTTCACGCAACTATTCCAAAAGGTTTGGAGGGAATGAATGAAGGAAGAAGGGCTACCTTGACAAACTCCCAAAGAAGGCTGACGTAAGTGTCTCCAAGAACTGGTGCGGAATCATACTCCGCTTCGATCCACCCCAATCAAAATATTAATCCACGTCATCCTGAAGAGACTGAAAAACGCTCTGGATTTAAAACTACGACCGAAACAGGCTGTCTGTCTGGCTTCACGAAGAAGTAATGATGTGTAGATCAAATTGCAACACTATACTACGCATCATCACAAAACAGAGCATAGAAGGGTAGCTAACTCTCCACCTCAACTTTATCCACTTTGAAAAGGCCCTCGATCAAGGCGTCGACCGACACGTAATTTAGCAGCTGCTTCAACACTTCATTTTCACTACCATAAACCCTTATCAACGTCATTCAAAAGCTAGCTATTTGATAATGCTACATACCAAGTGATTCACAATGGGAAGCTCAGTGACGCCTTCAAAGTGAAGTGAAGACAGGAGTAAGACAAGCTTGCCTACCACCACCGATGACATTCCTGAATGTGGTCAACTGGACCGGACAAGATGATGCAAGAAACTGTGAGGAGTAAGAAGATGGACATACTCTGTTTTACTGGTGCAAAGACCCTAGAAGATTTGGATTTCGCAAATGATGATTTATGTCTAATGTCTCATGTCCCACAAGCTCGAAGATCTACAGGCAAAAACCAACAAGTTGACAAATGAGGCAGGGCAGCGAAGACAAGACTTTCCTCAGGCGAACGTAGAGAAGATAGAGGTGATGAAGATACCATCCAAACAAAAACAAGAACCATGAACAGGGGAATTCTAAAGGAAGTTGTATCTTTCACCTACCTAGGAGGCAGCATCTCAGCTACAAGCAGCACGGATAAGGTCGTCAAAACCAGCATCGAAAAGACAGCAAGACAGGCCTTCATTAACCTGAAATCAGTGTGAAGATCTAGTCCACTCAGCATAAAGCGTGAATAAGATCCAGATTTTCAACACTAATATCAGTCAATTCAGTACTTCCCTTTGATGGTTGAGAGACTTGGTGCATTACGAAAAGTATTTCCAGCAAACTTCACACATATATCATCAACAGCTGCCGCCTACGCCCACTCCATACTGAAGATGAGATGAGATGAGAAGGCGAGAAAGAATAAGCAAGCAGGAGCTCTGGCTTGGCAACGAACCAACCAACGAAGCAAGAATCTATCGTCCAACAAATATGCAGAAGAAGGGAAAGGAGATTGACTTGAATGGATTTGACTCTACACAGAGTGAGAAGACGGTTTGGTGACATCGCACGTCAGGTCAGGCCTTCGACTAGAACCGAAATTGGAAACGACCAGCTGGGCGCTCGAGTGTGACACAGAGGAGATCGTGTGCGCAAGAATTAAAAAGTTATAAGCAGTGGTGGAGCCGGGTTCAAAAGACTAGCGAAAAGAGATCAAAGTGATGACATGCCACTGAAGCCATTTGTTTTACTAGGAACCCAAAGGAAAAATAATAACAATAGTAATACAACTGCACTTTATAACTGTTGAATGGAATAAGGTTTTATCGAAAAAATATTCCTCGACGTTCAAACTGTTGCGTATTCTTATTATTATTATTATTATTATTATTATTATTATTATTATTATTAGCATTATTATTATTATGTTCTTTTAATTCCTAGTGGAACATAGGGATTCAGTAGCACGTCTCCATTCCACTCGCTTCTCTACAAACTTTTCAACCTGCCTCCACGACAGCCCACAACCTCTCATTTCTTCCTCACATCATCTCATACATGTCACCCTCACCTCCAACACCCAACTCACCGTTTCCCATCTGGCTTCCAATCAACAGCCTGACCTGTCGCGTGATGTCCCCAACCGGCCTTCTCAATCTATGCCCAATCCAATCCAATCCAATCCATCTCCACTTCCTTCCACTGCATATTTGTTGAGTGATAGGTTCTTGGTTAGTTGGTTCGTTAACAGAGTTTCTTGTTGCTTATTCTTTCTAGACATCTCATCTGAGCTTCAGTATTGAGTCAGCGCAGGTGGCAGTTGTTGATGAGTATTTACAGTTTGTTGGAAACGCCTTTCGTGAGGCGCCAGGTCTCTGAAGGATCACAGAGAAGCACTGACTTGACTGGATTGGTGTTGAAAATCCGGACCTTGTTGAGGCTTTATGGTGAGTGCAGAAGATCTCCACACTGGTTTCAGGTTAATGAACACCTGTCTTGCCGTTTTTCGGATCGTGTCTTTGACGTCCTCATCTGTGCCTGTGCTGCCTGTAGTTGAAACGGTGCTGCCTATGTAGGTGAAAGAGGCCACTTCCTTTAGGTGATTGGAGCTTGTTGTTGTTGACGGTGGTGTTGGGTGGGTGGCATCTTCATCATCTGTGTCTTCTTTACGTTCACTTGGAGTCCCTTCTTCGCTGCCTCGCCTCTTCTGTCAACTTGTTAGTTTTCGTCTGTAGATCTTCAAGTTTGTGCGATATGAAATGATATATCCATTAGCCATTCACTTCTTTCTACATCAGACTGTGCAACTGAACTACTGTAACTGGATTTAATGAACTATTCAGGTTGAAACAAGGGAAACCATCTGAATTTTCACAATAAAAACAGTTAGATGTAACATGAATACAAATGAAACGGTCAACTCGACAAAGATATCTTAGTTAGACGGGTACAACAATGAATAACTCCAAGTGAACGTAGAGAAGACATAGGTGATGAAGATGCCACCCACCCAACACCACCGTCAACAACAACAAGCTCCAATCACCTAAAGGAAGTGGCCTCTTTCACCTACATAGGCAGCACCGTTTCAACTACAGGCAGCACAGGCACAGATGAGGACGTCAAAGACACGATCCGAAAAACGGCAAGACAGGTGTTCATTAACCTGAAATCAGTGTGGAGATCTTCTGCACTCACCATAAAGCCTCAACAAGGTCCGGATTTTCAACACCAATCCAGTCAAGTCAGTGATTCTCTGTGATGCTTCAGAGACTTGGCGCGTTACTAAAGGCGTTTCCAACAAACTGCAGATATTCATCAACAACACTTTGAACTTTTGAAGATACCACACCCATAGATTAAAAAGTTTGTTTCTCTGATCAGTTAATTTTAAAAAAATCCCAAATTTATAATAAATAAGGTTTTTGTAGTATTATGAATACTATATAGCACTAATCTGGATGTGAGTCACAGAAGGCTGTTCAGCTATGAAGAATAGTCCTCTAAACTTTATGATGAAAATGAAGCGAGAGAAATTTGCGAGAGTTAGGATTGTATCTAGCCAACATTTAAAGGATAATCAGTTTCTTACCGGGTTTCAGCTATCATAGTCAGACTATGCGAACAACCTTCAAACTAAATTTCTGTCCAGCCCTCGTTAGTGATAATATTCACGATGGATTTCCAGAAGTTCTGATAAGAGGTCATCATCTATGAGGTCAATCCGATTGGGTGTGAAGACAGAAAGTCATTGATGAGACTGGATTATGGTCGTGCTACATTTATGGGTTTATGGAAATATGAAAATGTAGACCATTTTATTCTAACAGATTCATTAGATGTCAATGTGCTGTCCTTGATTCAACTGTACATGGGGTAGTGAGTAGACACTTCTTAAAAGTCCCCTATATTAGGATAAAACAACTATTTAATGCTCTCACATTTTCATTGGTTCTTTAAACTCCAATAAGCATGTTCCCTCCTATTCAAGACTAGTCAGTTGGAGTGACCATTGTGACTGAGTTAAAAAATTAAAGTGAAAATTTTAAAAAAGAATTACATTCATAATAATCATACCTTTTGCCAACTTGATGGAAATGCGTTCAGTAGACAAGCAATAGTAATTAAAACTAAACTTGAAATCTGCACTGACGACATGATAAATCTTTGCTTCATCCAAAATAATTCATAGACTATGAAATAAAAAAAATTTAGACTAAATTAAATAGGTAGTGAATAATGGTAATTAGGTGATTATACTTATGAAAGTTTATAATTCATTGGTTGAAATGGGCTACCCTAACAATTTTATAAAAAGACACATAGATAAAGTCAAGGGGAAATAAATCTGGAATTATTGCTGTACAAAAGAAACCATTCTTCATGAAATTATAACTTACTGGAGATGAAGCAGGAGAAGTTTTATATCAGAGACTCTCTAGAACTATTAAAAAGACCTTCTACACCGTACAACTTTGTCTATCATTTTCTAGTCGACTAATTGTTACTGCTTAGACAAAACATAAGCTATCTAGTGTTGTTATTTCTATGTGTATTTACAAGTTTAGCTGCTTCTGTGGAGAAAGTTATATAGAGTGTACTACTAGGCAACTTGAAAAACGTGTTACTGAGCATCAACCTTCATGGTTGTGAAAGGGACAGATAAAATTCATCAGAAATTCAGTTTGATCTCACCTAGTTGATAGTGGTCCTTTCACGATTATTCACTGCATATCATCTCATCTTTCGAAAGGTATTCAAACTCGTCTTTTATACCACATAGTAGAAACTGTGGAAATTCGAGCTAATAGTCTTAATCTTTGTATCCAGAAGAAATTTGTACATCCCTTATCTCTCCCTTGGTCAAGGAATACGTGACAAATAGCTATATCATTAGAATTTTTCCATCCTTTTCTTATCCGTCACCTCCTTCATATACTTACTGTATTTGTTTAGACTTTGTTTTTCCATTGAATTCATCCTTCAGTATTACGTAACTTTTATTTTCTCAAGCTTCTGACTCACTTTTATTATCATAGTGTCTACATTTTCATGCTGCTTTCATAATCATATAAGTACCTTTTGCCAACTTGATAAAAATGTATTCCAAAATAATTCATAAACTGTGAATGAAAAGAATTTAGACTAAGTTAAATAGACAGTGAAAATTGATAATTAAGTGACTATACTCATAAAAATGTATGATTCTCCAACTGGCATCAGTTCCTGATGAATACGACATTGAAATATGAATGAGTTTTGCAGGTAGCTTCAATTCGGAATACGAAAGTGAAGAACATGACCTAGCAATGTTGGATTGCAAGAGTAAACTAACACAAGAAGGAAATCTAGAGATTAGTGTCTATAGGAAACTTACCGATTCGAGTCGATACTTAGGCTTCACGTCTTCCCACCCCATTTCAATTAAAGTAGGCCTTGTTAAATGCTTACGTGATAGAGTGAAAAAGGTTACTAGTACATAGGAAAATCTATGACAAGAAATTGGACACATCAAGAATACCCTACGTCTCAATAATTACCCATCTAAATTGATAAATAAATGCATGAGAAGTCGAAAGAAAAATATTAGCAGTGGTAGTAGTAGCAACAGTAATGCAGGTGTTATTAATAACAATTCCACTACTAAAAGTGGTGATAATGGTGACAGGGTTGAGAGAGAATTCAAAGCCTCTACTGTGCCACCATACAAGGAAGGCACCTCAGAGGCATTACGAAGGATTCTGAATAGGTTCAACTGGAATTAAAGTGGCTAACATTTAAACTAACAAACTCAAAGCTTAGAAACAAGCTTTATAGGTTAAAAGATCCTATCGATGCAATTCAGCAAACTAATCTGGTTTACCAAATCCCCTGCAATGATTGAGAGGTGAGGTACATAGGTCAAAACAGTTGACCAACCAGGGTCGATTAGAATAACAGAGACCAAAAGGTTGGTTAAATCAAGATTAGTAGATCCTAATAAGAAATTGAGAGGAAAGGTGGGGGTATAGCTCTGCATGCAGTTGCACACAATGATACATTAGGGTGGGATAGAGTGATAGTGTTAAAAACTAACAGTTGAGTGAAGGGAAGGAGAGATTGGTAACCGAATCTCTATATTAGATTTGTTTATTTGATATATAACGCACAGTCATACAGTATTATTTATTTGATTACGTCTCGAGCATAAACTACCATTGCTCATAATCATACCAATGTAATCACATACAAGTTTCGATATCTGATTATATAGTCCTGTCACCTGATCTCTCTGTTTTTTGATTGGTAGTAAAGTTTTCCGCATCTCTGGTATAGGTGTTGCATCATTCCTATTACATGTGTTGGGTGTGGATTCGATGAACAAAGATTCAGTAATTAATCTCTCTCTCTCTCCACCTAGCTATATTAGACTTAAGTACAGTAGTTTTGTCCCACCCTATTGTGTGGTTATGTGTCAATGAATGTAATGCAATGGCTGTGTTTTTCTGGATTATTGATCTTATTGGGGTCTGTCGTTCTATGTTTAGCTAAATTCCTATGTTCTGCTAATCTAACTGACCCCGACCGGCTAGTTTGACCTATGTATTTGACCTCACAATCATTACATGGAATTTGGTAGAGTATATTATTTTGCCTAATTGGTTCTAACGGATCTTTTAGCCGACAAAGCTTACCTGTAAGTGAGTTTGTTGGTTTAAATGCCACCCTAATTCCAACCTTGTTGAGAATCCTACATATGGTTTCTGATGTTCTTTCCTTGTATGGTATCACAATAGAGGTGTTGATTTCTTTTCTACTTATGTTGTCACTATTGTTTGTATTTATATTACTGTTATTATTTTGCTTCTTATGTGTACGTGTGAATTTCTTAATAAAATGATGGGGATAATTATTAACGCTTCTTTGATGTATTTCAATTCCTTACAATGACTAGTGAGTTTCTCAGCTCTGTTATTTAGACATTTGACTACATTGGTATGATTATGAGCAATGGTAATTTATGCTCGAAACGTAATCAAGTAAATAATACTGTATCACTGTACGCTATATATCAAATAAACAAATCTAATATGGAATTACATTCTACCACAGTGCCCAAGTTTTACACTTATATTAACCGAATCTCTGTTTATCGAATCCACATCAAATTCATGCGGCAGTCGAAATGATTCTGCACTTGTCCCAGATATATCGAAAATTCTACTATCCTTGTCATGACAGAGAAGGAGAGAAAATTAGGAATATGACAAGGTCTATCTCGAAGTTGTGGAGTTAGTTACCTGATGTGAATATGGACAATAAATTGTGTCCGAACAGTACGTCATCCAGTAAATGACACTGTTCCTTCACTGTATAGCATTTCTAATAAATAGACTAAAATGGAATTACAATCGACTACAGTGCCCAAGTTTTACTCCTTTATTTATACGCAATTGACTTTTGATTCCCAAGGCTTAAACTTCATTAATTTAACTGAATAACTGAGTATTTCTGTTTTCCTGTTTTTATTATCCTAAAGACCATGAATTGAATAACGAGGTGGTGGAATAACTTATCTGGTATCGTATACAATATTGTTTATATACAATTTATAGCCTAGTCATAAATAATTTTTCAAGTTGGTATTCATCGTAGACTGACATCAGTTGGAGGAACATTGAGAACTTGGAGGTACTGGATGGCTGTTTCGCCCCACTTGTGTGGGACTCCTCAGCACTGCGCACCCACAACCCCGCACCACCAGGGATCGAACCCGCAGCATTCAGGTTCCGTGGACGGCACGTTACCATTGTGCTAGCCACTGGGTCGGAGTCGAGTGGTCCATATTTCCAACTTCTGTCAGTTCACGGCATAGTGCGAGAAGTCGTGACCAGCTGGACGAACCTGGTGGCTGTGAGGACAAATACTCAACGATGACATACGGTGGCGGTTGTGCCATGTCGTGAACCAATAGGAGTTGGGAATATACATCACCAGATTTTGACCCAGTAGGTAGCTTAATGGTAGAGAGCTTGCCGTGTAACCTGAAGGTCATGGATTCGATCCCTGATGGAGTCAAGGGTGCTCAATGCTGAGGAGTCCCGTACAAACAGCTATCCAGTACCTCCAGGTTCCCAATGTTCCTCCAATTGATGTCAGTCCACCATAATTACCAACTTGAAAAAGATTTTTTAAATTCTCACAAACCCCCAAGGTCAATAAGTAATTTGATTATGGATGTGTACAGAAATACTACGCAAATGTATAAAAACATTTATTCTTTCTGTTCGACCTGCTTAAATCTTGGGTTACCAGAAAACCTTCCATCGATTATACTCGATCAAATTCTTCACTTACAGTTTGTCTTCTAAACGCATCATATACTCTTACACATTTTAAAATTTTTTCTCGGACTTTCGTATCTCACTTTAAGAACAATACAAAGGAAAAATGTTCCATCGGTTGGAAATAGATTTGTAAATGCTCAAAAACACACCATATTACTATTCTTAGGATATTTGTATGAGATTGTGAATTTCTGTGCCGACTGACTGACTGAAATGCCACCATCAAAATTACTCTCAATTTTGTATTAATTTCCGAATCGACAACATATACTAATGTAACACTAGCTGCCCGTTTCATACTTATGCCTTCAATAGTGTTATTATTAGCACCATACAGACATAACAATAGTCTGTTTCAAAAATATTGTATAGGAAACGAGTGTTTTGGAATATTCCATGCTGAAAATTCCATACTGTATTATACATGCTGTTTGGAATAAGGTGATTACTATTATTATTATTATTATTAACTTCTAATATGGAGCACAGTTCAACACAACACAAAAGGTGTATTACCATTGTGACACTGATCGATGCTTAACACTTCAGACTAGACAACTGCACTAGTTACCTTTCAGTGATCATTTCATAAGCACAGTATAGTCCTATAAACGATCAATTATTATCTGAATATCAAGAATGGTCAAGATTTTTATTGCGGAGTAAAGTGATGAGTGTTTGAATCTCCGTTGAGACAGAGATATCTCATTACTGATGAGTACCAAACACAAAGCCTAAGTTCATGAATTCCTGATCATGATCCTTAAAAATCTAACGTCTAATGTCACGTTATCAGAGATGATAACATATTAGAAAGTATCAACATGGTAAAGTTGGAAAGTTTGAAACTTGGAAATATGGATGACTAGATTCTGACACAGTGACTCAGTGGTAATGCGCTGGCCACGGAACCTGAAGGTCATAGGTTCGATCCCTGGTGGTGTGGGGTCGTGGGTGAGCACTGCTGAGGAGTCCCATACTAGTTGGACGAAACAGCCAGCTAGCTGTCCAGTGCTTCCAGATTTCCTTTGTTCCTCCAATTGATGTCAGTCTACAATGAATAACAACTTGAAATATTTCTAAATCCTCACAATCCCCTCAAATCCAACTAAAAATAAATTATTACAGCGGAACTATCCATAGTAAGAAATTCTATTGTCTATCTAACTGACAATTTGAAAAAGCAGTAGACAATGTTAAGGCATAAATCTTCATTGATAATTTATTGTGAGCGAAATTAAAGTGAATCAATATATAAAACGATCAGACATTAGGACTTTATACCATTTCGAGTGAAATTCTCATCTTGATTGAAAAAAATAGTCCAGATTTCAATCTGTTAGCAGTTGTAGTTGGAGGAAACAGTCAAGGATACGTTACAAACACATATAATACTAGAAATGGTATGGATTTTATTTACTCACTTTAAGTAATAACCACATTTTTAGCGATTTCCTACTTTCCGTGAACTGATGATTATCGAACGATCGACGTATGAGTTTTCTTACTACAGTATAGTAAATATTGTATTTTGAGACGAAATTTTATCAAAGTACTTACCTTTTATTAATGATGGGTAGTAGCTAGCAGTGGAATCCAGCTTCATGCATATTTCGTCCAGTTTGGGACTCACTAGTCAGCTGGAAACACAAAGAATGTCATCAGAGAATTCCTAGAAGCTTGGCATTCGGATCAGTCAGTCAGTCAGCAATCAATAGATGGATGTATGGACGTAGACCGAATCTACTAACCAGTGAGAAGGCTGATAAATGACCGGAAGGTGCGAGATCAAGCGAGGGACAGCCAACAGGAAAATCTATGCAGTCAGTCAATGATGTAACAATCAAAGGAAACAACCAGTGACAAATCAGTTGGTTAGGGCGAGCTACAAAATCACTGACGGATAGACATTGACAGCTGACTTCATAGTGAATTTCGTGGTGATGATGTTGTCTAGGAAGACGATGAAGGCTTCTCCAGGATTAAACAACCCAGCTGGGAGAACACAATACAACCAAGACAAAACCTAATCTCTCGTTTTCGTGCTGCCCTCTTTATTTTGTCAATTATAATCCCATTCGCTTAATTAACCTTTCTAAGTTTTATAGAAATCTTTCAACAAGTTGATGTGTGATCAGATTGTTCGAAATATACAGCGATAATATAGATGTTTCAGACAGTCTCCGTTTTCTCATTACCTAGTTTGAATTTCAATCTATTGACTGACTGATAATGAGTTTGTTATGAGAAGGGGGAGTTGTTAACTCGAGCATCTACCAACAGAATAGTGAGTACATGCCCTTGAGGAGGAGGAAGCAGCTTTCTACTACATCTAAGTTCTGAGTTCATATAGTAGTAAAAACTGTCGTATTGTAAGGACTGTCAGGATTCTAGGATAAGTAATAGAGAGAAATTTGAATCAACATCTCGCTTGTTGCCATAGGATTAAGAGATTTGAAAGAAGCAGAAGAGATGGGCTTGGTAATAGTTATTTTTACCAATAATTGATCATTGATACTCACCTATACATATCGGTAATGCACACAGAGGTTGAATCGATCTTATAACTCTCTTTGATTTACGACAACTCATATCCATTGAAATTATGATACCTTTTTGAATTAAAAGTAACATATAACAGATTAACAATACGAAATGATAAAAGAAATACAATTAATAGATTGAAGGTTAAGTAAATGCTCATACTTTCAATGTCACAATTCCCAAGTGATTAAACCTTAGTGATTAAAACTCGCAGATGATTTCGTTATGTTGTAATCTACTTGGTAGCTATCAGTGGAATCCATAAAACGCGTTTTATCCTATTTAAGATTCGTCAACTGAATCTATCTGCACCCAAACGAATCGCGTTTTTCTCACTGATATTTGAACTTAGTATACATCACTTCAAACTCCACAATGTTACTCACTTTGCCATTGCAGCATAACAGCTAATTCTTGTCTAACGGATCTCAGTTGTATTGTTTATTGATACTCGTACTCCGATAGCCTAATGGACAACGCTTTAGTATTCGAAGTGATATGTACTAGGTTCCAATATCAGTGGGAATAACATCACTCACTGAGGTGCAGACACATCCAGCTGACTAGTCCCAAATAGAATGGAACACACGTCCTGGATCCTACTGCTAGTCACCAAATAGAGTATGATTTGACAAAAAAAACTTTGTCAGCAGAATGCGAGCAGTTCGACCCAGTATAGCAGGGTAAAATTAAAAATACCAGCTCATGAGAACCCAAACAAAGCCGTCTGTTAAATAAGATCCTGTCTACTTCACTTTGGATTTTCGCTTAAAATCAACAAACATTTGTAAACAAGTTTTATTTTTTGTTTAAAAATAAGCTCCTTTTTTCTATGTGAATGAATTTGGTGCCGTTTTCGACCTGAGCAGTTTTTTTAATTGATTCGTCCTACGAAGATTATAATCAGCTGTCTATCGTTATTGTTATGCGAAGGTTTCATTACCAAGCTACAAACAAAAGCGTACTTAACCTATAGGACTTGCGCTAACCATCAAGTTAACTAAAATAACCACCTACTATTTTTATCACTAAATAAATGGGTTAGTGAAAGTGAAATGTCTTCTAGAATAAAGAGTATTTAAAGTAATTGATCACTTGTATAGATTTAAACAACGTAATGAGAAGACGAAGATTATCTGAAACACATCCGCTTGTATTAGCGATATACACTTTTCAAACAATTTGATGATAACACATAGACTACTCGAATTATTTAGATGAAAAGTTACGAAAAGGGTCAATCAAGTTATTCTTGGTATGAAAACTATTACCAAGATAGACTCAATGTGGGTACAAATTGTTTCTGTATACATGAAGCAGGGGGTTTGAATTCGCAAACTACAAGAGCTTCATTAAGTGTAAGCACTCAACCGTAACCACTTTTATGTACTACTTACAAGGCTGTTTTCATCTCTATTCTATAGTTAGTTTCTAGTATACGTTTAAGTGATAGACGAAGATGGATGTTTGTCACCTACACTTATCTGTTGATCTGTTGAGATCATTTGTTTTTGATACCAACTACTGAGGTACATGTTCAAACTTCCTTAACTGTAGATCACGATCACTCCTCCCCATATATGTGTATCCACACATACATGTAAATTGATAAACATAAATTCACATTAGCCTGACTTATACACAAGAAACCAACAACCAACGAACTACCGTTCCTAGACATATTACTCAATCGACAGGAGGATGGCTCCATCACGAGGTCAATCTATAGAAAACCTACATCGACAGGGCAGTATCTTAATTTCCATAGCTATCACCCAGTCAAATATAAACTCAAATCAGTTACATCCTTATTCAACAGGATATATCGCATGTGCACCGATAACACCAAGGAGGAAGAAACCAACTTACTGACGACAACACTAACACTGAATGCATACCTGTTGAAATTTATCCACAGGTGCAAACGTTATCTACCATTGGAAAGTACACAGTGTTCCGTTGCTAAGATAAATGTGTCTACATCTCATTACCATTTAGAGGTGATTGTGAGGAACAGACTCAGATTAGCCATCTGTAAAACATATTATTCAGCCAAGTTCATCATTGTAGAGAATACAAAATGCATGTTACAACACAGACCACAGCAACACATAAACAACGACAGCACATTCCACTGTGTTTATCAATTTATATGTATGTGTGGACACATATATAGGGAGGAGTAATCGTGATATGCAGGTAAGGAAGGTTGAACATGTACTACATAGAAGTGATCAGAGTCGAGTGCTTAAATTTACTGAAGCTCTTGCATTCGCGAATTCAAACCTGCTGCTTTATGTATACATGAACAATTTGTACTCACATTGAACCTATCTTGGTGGTGTATTGATTTTAATAAACATATGAAGAGTAACATGATTAAGGTTGTTTTTTCTTTACCCTTCCTATTCCTTTATATTTCCTATTAACTTCATTAACCCTTTTGATAAATTTTCATAGTTCGAGTAGTTCATATGCTATCATCGAATTGTTTGAAATGTGTATATCACTAATACAAGCGGATGTGTTTCAAATAATCTTCATCTTCTCATTACGCTGTTACAGATAATTTCAACTGTATTTTGAGTGAGATTCATACTGCAAGTGAATCTGCCAACCAACAGTTGTGTATTTTACAATGAATAAATTGTTGACACCAACTAGGTACCAGTAAGCATAATCTGAATCATTATCTCAGTACAAAATCAGACAGCTATCTACAATTTTATAAAGAACTGTATAATTATTTCTTCAAAAGGTGTTTCACTCAACAAAGAATATTCTTTTCGATAAATTCTTCAACTTCTATGGTTAGATGTACATATGGAGTAATTTTATTTCAACAGTTTCGAGATTTCATTTAACAATTTGGGAATAACGTTATACAATGAACTACACAGACTATTGGATGAAGACGCGATGAGGTCGCCATTGCATCTATATTAGCGGACATTTTTCTCTCTCTCTCTCTCCCTTTCTCAAAACTGGAGATTGATTTGCTTCAACGATCATTTTATTCTTAATATATCAATGATACGTTCATCATGTACGAAAGTGACATGAATGTGTCAAAAAATGCTTTGTAGATGGTACACAGTACACTCAACGATGAAGATTACTTGTTAGGAAGAGTCGGAAGACAAAATAGCTGTTCTTGATGTTTTTCTTTTAAGGCAAATGAATAAATCGATTAAGAGGAATTTGTTTACGAAAACTACAAAGATGGGAATATATATATATATATATATATATATATATATATATATATATATATACATTTTCGTCGCTTAGTCCCTCTTCAGTACAAATCAAATTTGATGAAAGCAATATGTTCCGAAGATACAACTGAGGAGGAAATGGTAACTTTATGCAACATACTAATTGAAAATCCCTATCCTGATAAATTGACAAAGAGAAATATGATTACAAAAATGGTAATATCGAAAGAATATTTGAACGGCTAGCAGAAAATCCTTATGCATTCAGGCATAGTTTAGAGTCAACATGATGAGCAAGATATCAATTCTCAAATCACGCAGATCAATTCAGAGAACTTTTAATTCTGGTAAATTACAAATTACGTTCTCCACAGGTTCAGTGATGACACTGAGACTGAAAGATGAATTGCCACTTCCTTCTGTGGAGTCAGTTGAGTCAGCTACTGCACTAGTAACTTACTTTTCCATACTAATGAACATCTTACAGAGTGGTTACGTAATGCTATGTGTGTGTGTGATAAAAACCATTACTAATTCTGTATTGATACACTTGGTTGAAACGAACCATTCCCATTAACCTGTCAAGACGCATCCAGCTTCAAATCCTTCAAACTGCAGAAGCAGTAGCAATCAGAACTAAACAGCCAGAGTTATATGTTCAAAAAGTAAGTGTTGTTGATAGAATTACCGCAACCCTATTCGAAACAAGTAAATTCTTCCATAGCCTATCTCAGATAATCTAATTTTGTTATTCCCCTATAATCTGAAACATTTTTAGTAAATTCTGTGACTCTATATTATCCCCCAACATGGGTCACATTGTATCAGGCTATTATTCCACAAATTATGTTTCTTTGTTTATTTTATCCACCTGCCATAAACACCTTCCTATTGTTTTATTAAACTATCACCAATACCATATACTCGTTTAGCTAAACAATTATTTTTGATTAGACTTCCAATAATGTTTGTTGTAGACATTTTTTCGAGTAATTTCTTCAACTGTCTACTATTACTCATAAACTGTTAAGCTAAATTTTAATATTATTGACACAATACCTATATATCACTGTTAAATGTGAAATCCGAGTTATCTAAAAAGAATATTCTTTGTTCATACTTCGTTTGTACAATTACTTGGCTGATATTTACTTGATCATCGTTAAGCAGTTTATAAATAGGACTCTACTCTTGTCATCCCCTTTCTAAATAGATATTCAAGTAGGTTGTTTACTATAGTTTAATTAACCTCCAATGGAAAACTAATCCATTTTACTTAGTGTTGTCAAGTAACCATTGCTTAGGCTGATGAAGATAAATTTGTGACAACTTCAGCCGATATATTCGTGAAATTATTGAATATTATCAGTGTTCCTTAACTATCCAAACAATAGTGCATCACAAACCTCACTGAAACTAACGCTTTTTAAAGAAAAACCTATCTGGTCAGCAGTCGGACGTCGTAGATCACTTGGTAGAGCATCAGGCTGGGAACCTAGTGGTTGCTAGGTTACCTCAGTATAAATACTGTAAGTCTTCCAAATCACGGCGATCTCATACAGTCAAATGATAATCATCATAATGCTCCCCGTCTCATTTTGATTCAGTTAGATTTCGATTGGGATGAAAAGGCCTGACTAGGCAAGCAGCCAATGTGAATACGATCAAGTGATAGAAAGACGTCATGAACTCACATTGTAGTCGTTAGACAAAACTCCGCTTGCAATTGAAGTGAAATAATAATGTGGTGAGCATTTGGACCTCATAGGTGAGTTGTTAGGGCATAGAGTTATGAACCCGGTGGGTGGTGGTTGGAATCTGGCCATGGTCTAAATGTTAATTTCACCTGTCCATTAATTCTAATCATTTCTGATTGTTTGTTTTAAACAAAACTATGTCAGTAAAATCTTCTACTACTACTGGTCCCATATTTACCTGGAGTTTCAAATTCTATGACTATCATTTAACTGTCAGACATCCAGTTTGATACCTAGCTATCTCATCCCAGCTTTCATTATGAAACAACCATCATGTAGTATTATCCTTAAGAAGTTACCATGGTTTTTGAATAATTACACCAAGCTGTTCATGATTATTGAATGGATTTTTTTTAAACTTTAAATTACAGAGGTTAGCCACTGTTAAACAAAAGTTTATACTGAAAATCTTTGCAGTGTTGAGTTTAAAACTAATAGTGATATTAGATATTATTAAATGGTGATATTAGATGATTGGGTGAGTAATCGACTGAGTGAGTGAGTGAGTGAGATGAGTGAGTGGGTGAGTTGATGAATGTGTGAGTGAATGAGTTGCAGAGTGAGTGGGTGAGTGAGCGATTGAGTGACTGATTGGGTGATTGAGCGAGTGGGTGAGTGATTGATTGATTGGGTGATTGAACGACTGAGTAAGTGAATGAGTTGCAGAGTGGTTGGGTGAGTGAATGAGTGAGTTGCAGAGTGAGTGAGTGGGTGAGTGGGTGAGTAAGTGATCCAGTGAGTGGGTAAGTGAGTGGTTGGGTGAGTGAGTAAGTGATCGAGTGAGTGAGTGAGTGAGTGAGCGAGTGATCGAGTGAGTGAGTGAGTAAGTGAGTGAGTGAGTGAGTGAGTGAGTGAGTGAGTGAGTGAGTGAGTGAGTGAGTGAGTGAGTGAGTGAGTGAGTGAGTGAGTGAGTGAGTGAGTGAGTGAGTGAGTGAGTGAGTGGCATAACTAGTCGATTAACCATTATAGCATAATCCTAATCAAAATCCATCATAAATTAGGCTTCTTAAGTTTTCAGAAACACATGCTGACTGATGATGAAGATATTTTGATCGATAAATAAAGTTGAACGAATTTGATACTGATTGAATATCCCACTTTATGTTGTTCATTTATTTTGTAAGAAATTATTTCATACATGATATTTTTTGTAGCTGATTTTATGTCCTCCTCTTGAAAAGAATGCTCAAAACAGATTTTCATCCGCAGCATTCAAAACAATCCGGAATTCTACATATATACAGCACATTTTAGATGATATACCTGGAATGCCTGCACCTTGGTATCTTAATGTGTAAAACTATAGAAGCATAACTTGGGCACTGCAACAGATTGTATATTGATCTTGCTAACTAAGAGAGGAGTCTAGAACGCTCATTTCATCCTATTTAGGACTCGTCAGCTGGATGTACCTGTATCCCAGTGAGTGATGTTGTTCCCTCCCCCCCCCTCCCTGAGGCTTGAATCTGGTACTCTTCGCTTCAAACGCCAAACGCGTTATTCAGTGAGGCACTGGGACATGATAGTCACCCCTTGTGCAACGGATGTCAACTGTTGTTATTTCCCATTGCTATGCAGAGCCGAATCGATCGACATCTGTGTGGCATTTGAAGCAAAAAGTACCGGGTTCGAGCCTCCGTGGGGACAACAATCACTCGAGTGCAGGTACATCCGGCTGACGAGTCCAAAATAGGACGAAAAGCACGTCAAACTGAATTTTTCCGCTAGTCTTCAAGATTAATATAACATCATGAATATCCGGTAATATCAAAGCATCTCCATAGGAGCCAATCTGCTATTCGAGGTTGACCAACTCACTACTGTATAACAACGGGAAATGACATGTATAATTGAAGCATCATTGGATTGCAGTTCCTTTTCAATTGATTTGTTAGATATATCACACAGTGGATCAGTATTATCTACTGGATGGCGTTTCGGAGATAGTTTATTGTCCACATTCATATCAGGTAACTTGATAACTTTCAGACATGGTTTATATAAGCCTATCTCTTTCTTAGTGTTATTGCTTGTATTACACCGTCGTTGATTGGACCGAATTGATCAGTCTCCGTTGGGATATGGGCCCCTGTGCGGATGCCTCAATATTGCTTGTGTTCTTACCTACGTATAGTAATGACGGGTAGTGGCTAGCAGTGGAATCCAGGATGCGCATTTCGTCCCTTTTGGGACTCACCAGTTAGCTGGATCTACCTGCCTCCCAGTGAGTGATGTTCCCACGGAGATTCGGACTCAGCAGCGACCGCTTCAAACGTGAATCCTGGATTCCAGTGCGAGCCACTACCCATCATTACTATACTATCTCTTTCTTTTTGATAAAGGCAGTAAACTTCAACTCGTCTCACCCAATGTCGGTTAAAGTTGGCGTGGTAAAATTTCTCAATAAGAGGGCCAAAAAGCGTACTAGTAAAACGGAAGATCTAAAACAAGAAACCAGATACGTCAGGAACGCCTTACTCATCAATAATTACCCTCTCAAATTAATTGATAGGTTCCTTAGAAATCGTAGGAGAAATATGACTAGTGTTAGTAACACAAGTGTTAATAGTAGTAATGATAGTGGAAATGCTGTGAAGAGAGAATACGGCACTTTTATAGTATTACCATACAAAGCGTGCACCTCAGAAACACTACGTAGAATTTTAAAAAAAGCTGTGATTAGAGTGGCATTTAAACCTACAAACATAAATAAGCTTTGTTCGAATTCGGATGAATAATAATTAGGTTTCCCAAATGCCTTGTAACGATTGTAAGGTCAAATACATAGATCAAAATAGTCGATCAGAACACAAAATCTAGCTACGTCAAAACTGGTAAATCATAGTAAGATTAGAAATTGAGAAAAAAGAAGCTTGACCATACAATTACACTCAACTACACAGTAAGGTGAGAGAGGGTGGAGGAAGAAGTTGATAACTGAATCTTTGTTTATCGACTCAATACCTAGTACATGCAATAGGAATGATTCAGCACTCGATCCTGATATATGGAATATTCTTTTACCTATATCCCATGGGAGGTGTGAGAATTTGAACTAAATAAACCATATCTCCAAGTTATCAAGTTACCTGACTTAAGTATGGATAATAAATTCTATTCGAAAGGTTATCCAATAAATAATACTGTTTCACAGTGACCATTTTAATAAGCAGACTTGAATAGAATTCAGCGTAACCCCTTCAACTCTTTCAAATGGTGTAAAATAAATATCGTATCAAATTTCTGTATGTCAATTTGACTCCCCATAATACTTTGTCAGATATTTTACGTGAAATTCACTGGTAATTAAAAAATTTACTCCTCATAATCAAAGAAATTCATCAGGTATTACCTTTGGAGATGAAGATATTGGCATTGATAGATTAAGCGACATTTCTAAATGTAAGTAGGAAGGAATGCTTAAACATGTTAAAAGTGTTACCAAGCGAACACACAACAGCTTAAGTAGCCACTGCAAAGAGGAAGGCTAACATGCTTTCAAGACGACTGACAGCTTTGGCATTGCAAAGACAGTCACCGAAGTTCTCCAGAACAAGACCCTATGATCGTGATTAAACCACAAGTAGAACTGCATCAAGATGTGCTGATACACTTGCCATGCAATTATTATTATTATTTTTCCCTTGGGTTCCTAGTGGAAAATAAGGCTTCAATAACACGTCTCCATTTCACTCTCTTCTCTGCTGTCTTTTCAACCTCGCTCCACCATCACCCCACGCTTTCATTTCTTCCTCCCACAATCTCCTCCATGTCACCTTCAGCTAGGACTCTCAACTCGTCGTTCCCCAGTGGATCCCACTCGACAACCTGGTCTGATGCCTGATGTCCCCAATCGACCATCTCAATTTACGTCCAACCCATCTCCATTCCTTCTGCTGCATATTTGTTTGGTGATAGTTACTGGCTTTGTTGGTTCGTCTGCGGCCAGAGTTCCTTATTGCTTATTCTTTCTCACCTTCTCATCTTATCTCATCTGATCTTCAGTACCGAGCCAGTGTAGGTGGCAGCTGTTGATGAAGAATGTGTCGTTTGTTGGAAGTGCTTTTTTGACGCGTCAAGTTTCTTAACCATCACATAGGAGCAGTGACTTGACTGGATTGGCGTTGAATATCTGGATCTTGTTGACGCTTTGTGCTGAATGCAGTAGATCTCCATTACCAAGCAACCGAATAGAACCAATAGTTGAAACAGAAAACAGTTTAGGCAATATTTCTGTTATCATCAAATATCATAGGTTTTTATTTAATCATCGGTATATAAATGTGTGTACAGTTTATTTATCCCTCCATTTACAACTTTAGCAAAAATAAACACATATATACTTAATTCTCAATAAGTAAATAATTTAAACCTACCTAAATAGGAAACTCCAATACCAATAAAATGATACCATGGTAAATATGCCCAGACTATTGTTTCTGTTGAAGTGAGTATAGAGGTGAATAAAACAATCGGCCAAGTTGTAAAAATGTTGAATAAACCTGTTAAGAGATTCAAAGATAATTAAAAGGTAGGTGTATATTGGTGTCACCACTTATTTCGGTCTATACTCATCAGTTCTATGAGAATTCTTATTGATATTGTAAATTTATCAGACGAGTCAATTCTTCCCTTTAACACTTATTATTTGAGAGTTAATCAATCATTTGATATTTCAAGTTGTTATTCATTGTAGACTGACATCAGTTGGAGGAACAAAAGAAACCTAGGAGCACTGTACAGCTGGCTGTTTCGTCCAACTAGTATAGGACTTCTCAGCAGTACGCACCCACGATCCCGCACCATCAGGGATAGAACCTGTGACCTTCAGATTCCGTGACCACACGTTACCATTGAGCTAGCCACTGGGTCACAATCTAATTGTCCATATTTGACATTCCTTAAACTATTCACCTTATTCATTTCTAATATTGATTGTTAACAAGAACAAGGGATGTATCAGCGAAGAAGAAGCATTTCTTTTCAACAATTTCATTATATAAAGCTGTACAGTAATATTTATACTCGGTAAAGTGACAGATGATTGCATTGGAGACTTGCTCAGTCAATATACAAAATATACAATAGTAGATGGTGACGGTGGTAGTGGTGGTATTTGTTCAAGTGGAAGAAACAGAAAATGGATCACTGAATAATAAGTGGTGAGATAAGAGACTTGTGATGTCAAAGAGTTGTAAAACGATGATAGTTCAACTGAAACATACAAAGTAGGTCAATGAATAAGGCAACGAATTGATACTAACAAGTGGAATATGGGTGAAGTGTTGTCAATGAAGTGGGAATTGATGATAATGATGATAATAGGAGAGAAGTGTAGCAAAGTGAAGTGAAATGAAATTGACAAAATCAACAAGAATTGTAAAGGCCAAGATAGAGAAAGCGGTTCATAAAATGTTTTTGAATGGAAAGTTTCGGTATTTGTTTATGTATAGCTAATGCTTCAGTTATGCATAAGTGATGGAGACGTAAACCTTTGGAGTAGTTCAATTTAACTTCGTAAAATATTTTGAAGGGTGAATCTCGATGTGTTGAGTGACCCAATTCAACAAGGTGTTCACATATGGATGTAGTCGTTTTCCTTTACTCACCTCTGTTAAGCCAAACCGGGTAGTGTTCAGCAAAACGTTTATGGAGGGTCCGCTTACAACGTCCAATACAGTCAGCTCCACAGGAGCACGTGAACTTGTAGATATACACAGATGTGGATATAAGTGGAAGCCTATCTTTCAATATTGATTATGGTCGTCTATTTCGTCATTACTTTTATACATAATGAATAGTTCTTATACCCAGTAATATAATAATATTAACAAAATTATTAGTTTGACTAGCTGATAAGCCGTGATCTGATAGATGTATGGAGATCACTGGTTAGAGTTATGGTTCAAATTATCAATTCACCTTCAATCATCACTCAGTATTATTAAAGTTGTTGACTTTTGGTTTATACTGGATGATGACTGAATGGCGCAATGAAAATTCGGACCGGAGTTTGATTCCAACCACCACCCACCGGGTTCATAACTCCATGCCCTAACAACTCACCTACGAGGTCCAAATGCTCACCACATTATTATTTCACTTCAATTGCAAGCAGGGTTTTGTCCAACGACTACAATGTGAGTTCGTGACGCCTTACTACCGCTTGATCGTATTCATATTAGTTGCTTGCCTAGGGAGAACTTCAACTACCAACTGACATGCTATGTGAATTCAAATCCTTATAGGTTCTTGTGTTACTTTTTCACCTCGCAAGTGAATATTTCAACAGTCTGTTTACAGCTACTTTCAACTTCTTGTACTTGATAAACATATAAATAACTTGCAAGTTTCTCATTGATTCATTCTTTTGCTTAAGTTCAGATTTTTCTATTTCCATGAATCATGTTTAACTATTGAACTCCTACCCAGTAGTGGAATGGTTAACGGGTTCGCCGTGAAACCTGATTCTCAATGGTTCTGCAGCTAATATCAGTCTGTAATGAATGCTACCTTAAAAAGATGAAATTCCAATCAACTTCAAAATACATTAGTGCACAGTGCTCATTAATAACATGCTTCAAGATGGATAACTCGAAATCGTAATAAGAATCTGTGACATGTCACATCAAAACAGTCGGAAATGAAGTGGATACCAAGTGACGAACTTTAGTGATAGGCGCCGTATACCGCAGTTTGACAGAAGTAAGAAACTGAACTCTGAACAACTGGTTGAATAGTTAAATCGTTCTACATGGAATCTGAATGTCATGAGTTCGACCAACGGAGAGTTAGAGTCGTGTGTACGTATCGCTGAGTCCCGTGGTATGACGAAATAGATGTCCAGTATTACCAGGTTTCAGCAGTTCTCCAATTGATGTCAGTTCATGATGTATACTGAGTTGAAATCAATAAATAAAAAACCTTTCTTCGTTAAATCATCTTTCTATCAGTTTGACTATATGAGATAGACGTAGTTTGTCAGACTTGTATTGATACCGCTTGATGATGATGATGATGGAAGGTGAAATGAAAAACTTGACACCAGCAGGATTTGAAACAGTCACTTCTTGGTCACTGCTCAACTGAACTGGCTGCTAACCAAATCTTTATTTCACTCCAATCCTCAGTCATTTTGCCCGACTGCCATGTGAATTCATCGTGCCTTACTATCCCTTTCATTATCTAATCGGATTATTTATGATCATATTTATTTTGCTCCAAATTCACTCAGTTTACTCATGATTGCATGAAAAGTTGTCACGACTTTGATATCAAATAACTAAGACGTTGTAGCTCAGTTGGTAGAGAATCGGGGAGGAAACCCGGTGGTTACTGGTTCGAATCCGACCGTGATACAGATTTTCGTCTCACATTCATTCGTCACCAAGTATAAGTACTAATCTACCAAACCACGACTGCTATCTCAGATAGTCAAATAACAATAAATAATGAAAGACAGACTTCAATTTATGTAGTAGGAAATGTGAACCAATGGACTGCAACACAGTGGCTACCTAATGGTAACGTGCTGCCCATGGAATCTGAAGGTCGCGGGTTCGATCCCTAGTGGTGCAGGGTCATGGGTACACACTACTGGGAAGTTTCTTACTTGGACGAAACAGCTGGCTGTCCAGAGCTCCTATGTTTCCAATCTTCCTCCAACTGATGTCAGTCCATGATCAATTCAAACTAAAAATCAACTAATCAACCTTCACAAACCTGCAGATAAAATTATGTACTAAAACTTTATTCTAGAAAGGATTTTACAAAGAAATGTGGAGGTAAGAAGTTTAAGCTTGGAAAATTTGGGTTCCTAGTGGGATATATGGCTTCACTAGCACAGCGTCATTTCACTCTCTTCTCTCCAATTTTCTTAACCTTGTTCCACCACTGCCCCGAACTTTCATTTCTTCCTCACATCATCTCCTCCATGTCACCCTCGGACGCCTAACTCATCATTCCCCATTTCGGTTCCACTTGATGGCTTGGCCTGATGTGTCATGTCCCCAAGTGGCCTTCTGAGTGTATGCCCTACCCATTTCCACTTCAGCATATTTGTTGGGTTATGGGTTCTTGGTTGGTTCGTTGCTAGAATGAGCTCCTTGTTGCTTATTCTTTCTGAACATCTGGTATGCAGTGTCAGTATCGAGTGAGCGTAGGCGGTAGCTGTTGATGAAGAATGTCTGTAGTTTGTTGGAAAGGCTTCTTGTAACGCGCCAAGTCTCTCAACCATTATCATATAGAAGTATTGACTTGCCTGAATTAGTGTTGAAATCCGGATGTTCTACTCTATGCTGAGTGTATTGCAGATCTCCACACTGGTTACAGATTAATGAGGGCCTGTCTTGCTGTTTTTTCAATCTTGGCCCTGACACCCTAATCTGTGCTACCTGTATTTGTAACAATGCAACCTAAGTAGGTGAAACAGACAAGTCTTAACAAAATATTATCTGTTCATTCCAATTAACTTGTCTCATTCATATTATCTCATCCTTAAATTGTTAATTAACTCGATCAGGTTTGTACCCAGTTTGTAATCTATAAGCACCTTATAAACGGCTAAAAAAATCCTACGTAACCCTGTTTTGTTATTAGTCAACTTTAATGCCATCAATTAACAGCATTGTCATCATAACAACCATTAAAGTTATCTCAATCTCCCATCATTTAGGTATTACTTTACTTATGGATACAAGTCTTTAAGTATCATACATGCAATATACGAAATGGACAGATTCAGAATAATTTGACTGGAAAGAGCCCTCTCAGCTGAATTTCTTGTTTTCATGTCAAAGTGGGAATTATAAATGTATAATTATATAAGGTTTAGCCTTCTGTTCATCTATTGATTTGGTGATTGGAGGCAGTGTGTACAAAAACAAGGATATTCACAAAGCGAACGACATACATTAGATTTCACTAGATGGACACACTACACTAAAAATCACATCCACTGAACCTCAATCTATAGAAAGTCGAGACACAACCTACTGGACACAGGATCACATCAAGAAGAGGAGCAGATGTGTAGGTAGGTAGGTTATCATCACTCACTATCTAGTGCAAGGAACCTATCTTCAAAATCAAGATGAAAGCCTCCAAAGAAGCTGCTCATGACAGACCACAGTTCAAATTCAACACCCGAAACACAAAGTGAACTGAAGGATGAAACTGCAAAGGATATCTTCACGTCATTCAGCCATCAGGGGAAAGTGGGAGACATTAAGCAGCATCCGGTAAGAAACCTGCATGAAATAACACTGGAACTCCGTGAAGGAGATGTGGAAAGAAATCTGCATAACCATGTTGTGAAGGAAGAAGACAAGGACAAGACAAGGAATGGATCTCAACGGACACATGGGAGCTGATAGAGAAGGAAGAGGAAGATGGTGAAGCAGAAGATGAACCAGTACAGTGCAGTGTAGTGTAGTGTAGTGCAGTGCAGTGAAGTTCAGGGATGAACAACGAAAAGAGGAACTGAGTACAACCTATAAAACAC